TCGGCTCAAACTTCCAAACAGCATGAAGATTCATCCAGTATTTCATGCCAATCTATTAAGACTTGACTCGAATGATGCAATCGAAGGGCAGCAACAGGAGCCAGAGCCTCCAGTCATTGTCAATGGCGAAGAGGAGTGGGAAGTGGATGAAATCCTCGACTCAAAAGTTATTCGAAAGAAGCTTTTCTACAAGGCAGCTTGGAAGAACTATCCACCGGAGTGAGACATGGTATACTGCAGAGAGCTTTGAAAATTCTCCAGAAGTTACCCAAGCATATCACAGAAAATACCCTCAGAAACCAAAATGAGAGCTGGAGACAATGTTTTTTTTTGAAAATGGGATTTCTTGATCAGGAGATCAACTCTGGAGTAGGGGGGGGTAGTGTTACGATATCAAGTGCGCCTTGCAGCTCGAGTGGGGGTTCAGAGGTGTGGGGAGCTTTCCGGGGTTGGAGCGAAGTTTTCAGTTGTGGAGTGAATTCTCAGAACTGGTCTCGCTAAAGAGAATTCACTCCACAATAGCTGTATATAGATCGAGCCACTGCTCGAGTGCTCCTCTTCTCTTTCCTTTCTTCTCTAGATTGAGTTTAATTCATAATACCCAACTGGCGCCCTATGCCTTGGTGAACCGTGACAAACGATTACATGACGGAAGGAATCAGGGCTTTCAACACATATCTGCGAATGATGAGCCCCGCGGAATGCTTTCAGGTAGTCATCAATAATAGGACACACACAATCCTCCTAATCGCAGAAGACGAGCTTGCTATTGATGATAGGATGCATGAATCTGCAGCGAATCTCCACGCGGAGGCAACCAAGAGAGTCATTGGTTTGAAACGCAAGGCCACCGAAGATCTGTCTCACACTTACCACGCACGGAAGATGGTTGTCTGCACCGATAGGAATGAGCTACCGTAAAATGCCAGGTACTGTAAAGTCTTCTGCACCTTTGGAATGAGCTACCATCATGTTACTTGTACCGTCATTTTGTTGGTAGTGTAGTGTCTTCTGCGTCTTTGGGAATGAGCTACCGTTTGGCAAGTTCCATTGTCAGAAGTTCTATTTCCTTTGAGAGTCACGTGGGTGCATAGTAAAAATGGCAACGGTATCATGACATTGCAGAGTAATTTGCAACCAGGATTGCTAGGGCGTCTAGAGAGTAATATAGCTAGAGAGTGACATTAAGTATAAGAGAGCCATAATTTCCCACGTGACTGTTACAGGTAAGGAAACTTTCTCGAAAATGCAGGTGAGGGTTTATTTGGCACTAAATTAACTTATTTCAAGTGGATCGAGGGGTTTTTCTTTCCGCTTGTAATTAGTAGGAGAGCACAGGTACAAGGGAAGATTTAGTGATAGCAAGGCAGTTGGCGCTACCGCCTAAGAGCGGAGCTTGGGTAGGCACGGCGTGACGGCAGGCGGCAAAGAGGCGGCTGCTTGGGGATCGAGAAATTCTTGTGCTTATGGCTAAGCGCACCCCCTGCCTTACTCATGAAGGCGTCAGTATGGGCGATGAGTGCTTTATTGATACTGTATGGATTTGAGGTGAAAGTGTCCAGGATGCATCTATGACCTCGAGGTGTGGGTCATTACTAGGCTGCGCACTACTCGCCCAATACTCGGCTCACTCACTCAGTGGGTTACTCAGCTGGGTGAGTAGCTGAACCTTTCACTCGACTCGGTGAGTGAGGCAATACTCAGTTACTCTGTAAAAACCCAGTGAGTACTCGGCTGTCACGTGTAAGATATATGCATTACGTGAACAGTCCCTCATACGATTAATACTGTTTTATGGTTACAGTTGTAAGTTAACTTAAAGTATTACATTTATCAGCATCACTCTACCATCTCTAATAAGCTGTGAGAACGAATCACGTATATTCCTCTATCTAAGTACCACGATTATCAGAAGATTATCAGAACACTATATTATATATGCTCAAGAACATCTTTCCACCTTGCTTGATGAGGCCGGCCAGACCTACTAATACCTAAAGTATTTATAGGGTCTTGACGAGTAGCTTGAAAGATATCAAGTAGATCTCTTCCAGTCTTCCGAGGGCGTTGGATAGGCGTTGGTGGCGAGGACGGCATATCCTTATCTTCATCGTCATGAATAGTTGGAAGTATAGGCTCCTCATTATTACCATCTTCTCTTATATCTTCATTATCTGGGATATCGTCATCTGGGATGTCGTATAAGGTCTCGTTAAGACGGTCAGCCCTATCTCTTTCTTCACCTTGTTGGTAGCGCATTTGTCGTTCTTCATGTGCAGCTTGTGATAAGTCTTGCTGTTGCTGTGGCCGCTGAGGATTAAACGGAGGATATTGTACCTTTGAATATGTCTCTCGATATGTGTATTTGATCGTGGTTCTTCTTCATCGCTGATATATTGTAACTCGATAGAATTGCACATCCGTTGTCGTTGTGCCTCATACTCTTCTTCGACTTGCTCCTCAGTCATATCAACGACGTCCATCATATCTGCAAGCTTGTCACGATGACCTTGACGATTCTTGTATTGTCGAGAGTAATATATAAGCATAATCTCTTAATCGTCTCAGGATAAGTTGACCACGTCGGTGCCACATACGTCCCTTGCGGCACTAAAGACTCGCTCAACTCCAGACTCAGCAGCAGGAATACAAAGTATATCACGAGCCATTGCTGATAGACCAGGAAATTGCTCTTCCTTTTGTTGCCAAAATAGCAATATCTTGTGTAGATATGTGCTATACAAGTTAGAATAAGATTATCAGAAGATTACCAGAAACTTACGAGCATCAAGATAGAGATCAGCCTCATTCACATATTCCTCTCGCTGGCCCGAGTCCCATTTAATGTCTGACTTTGCTGCAATACTAAGGCTAATGGATCCATATCTGCATCTCGTAATCCTGATTGACTCGCAACTCGCACTGTAGAGTACTGCTCTTTATAAAGGTCCTAAACTGTTGTTCAAACTCTGTCTCCCAATTTCGTATTGAAAAGTCAAGCTTGCAAACCTTTTTTGTTAAAGTGTGAGAGCTTCACACTAGGATTTAAGATACTAGCAAATGCGAAGATAGATCCAGTATTTGTGTATAGCTTGTTATAATACTTCCTAATCTTCTTCTCTGCAGCATCGATTGCTAAAGTCATCTTTGCTGCCCATGGATATGTCTTATGCCGTAGCCGGTGCCGAGTTCCTTCAAGCGTTGATAAGAGTTTTTGATATACTCCAAGTGTATAGCAGACAGTAGGTCCGGCTGACGATCCAATGTTTGTTGTAAAGAAGTTGAATGGCCTTGTAAGATCAATGATGTATTCGATGTGCTTCCATTCTAGCTCGCTAAGTCTGAACATGTGAGCACCATGATCGCCTCGAGTATATTGATTGATTGTTGACTTGAGTTGCTGTGCTCGCAGAAGCATATGGCATGTCGAATCCCATCGAGTTGATACATCTTGAATAAGTCGAAGAAGCCTCTGAGATGATTGACCCCGGTTCATGTTTGCCTTTTGCAAAGTCATAAACCTGTTCCTTCGAGTTTGACTTGAATTAACAAAGATAGTGAGCTTCCGGAGCTATGAGATATTAGAAAAGACTACCAGAAGTTTACCAGAACTAACAAGAGAATATATACCTTTCCAAGTGTAAATCCAATACCCTTGTCCTTCTGCAACTTTGCAAGGCCCTCCATCTGATTCTCTTCTTCCCAGTTCATTAAGATCTCTTGATTGTTGGCGTAATCCGGATTCGACCAAAGAGAGCACTAAGGGCAAGTTGAATAACGTGAGCTAGGCAGGGTATGTGTTGTACTTTTCCTCCAATGAAATGCTCGTTGTCTGCAATACTATCAAGCATTATTTCCACATCTCTCATCATTGAAGTGTTGTTTGACGCATTATCAGTCGTAATGGATATAATTCGTCCTTCTAAATGCTGCCTTGTGATAACTTTTTCAAGTATTCCACATAACTCAGCACCAGTATGCTCTGTATATATAGGTTCAAACCCAATCAAGACCTCTTGCATTTTCCAATGACGGTCGATAAATGATGCAATAACACCCATAAATGAAAGTCGAGTAACACTTGACCAACAGTCGAGCGATAATGCAATCTTTGAACCAGGAACAACATCTTGTTAGCATCTCTTCTTCGATTTGTGTGAGCTTTGTTGTTAAGAGGTTTCGAATAGTTGTTGCTGAGGGTAGTGGATAGTGAGGATTCTGTAAGATAGCAAGCCTTTTCCATTCAGGATCCTCGACTGAGCGAACGAGCTATGAGTTGAGATAACTGTGTATAGAACTTGTTCGTAAAATGCCTCTTGTGTGAGAATATGATCCTATTATAGATATTAGCCTATATAATTCTGGTAATAATCTGGTAATCCTTACCTGTTGAGGTCGCATCTGATTGATTCGCATTTGATAGAGACTATCCTTACCCATCCGTGACTTCTTTTTGCAAATGTCTGATGCAAGATGTGTTGCCATAGACTTTGGGCCAGCAGACTTGATTGCAGGATGCGTAAGGGCCTTCGAACAATAGGTACAAATGACACATGGTTCTCCAGAAAGCCGGTCTGCTCCTTGGTGATAAATTCTCCAGTATTGAGAACTCCGGTTGGTTGAATCCCATGCAATCTTCGTAAGAAATTTCTAGTATGATCTGAGTGTTGTTCATACCATCGTGATAGCTTCCACCACTCAATGAATACATCGTGTGTATCCTTAGTCCATTTGATGAATTGGGTTTAATTTGCCAGTATATTCGAGGCCCGCAGGGATTTGATTTAATGAAGTAGTCGTTGAGAAGAGGGAAGAGAGTCTGAGAATATATTAGAAATAGGATTGTCAGAGTCAAAACAACTCTGAATATTGCGATGACATTTGGCAAGTAGCAAATTGTTTGATTATCAGAAGATTACCAGAAGTCTGGCTACGATGAAATACTTAAATCTCTATAGCCCCTATTCGCGTCGGAAAATCAAATACTCCATTTCTCTCCTCTACTCTAACTCCAGAAACAACATATCCTGTGCAGCTGATACCTTAGCCCACTTTTCCTTATCAAATTTCTTAGAGTAGACAAGTAAGAACGCCTCTTTGAAGCTAGAACTATGAGTGGAGACTTGTAACCATCCGTTGTCGACAAGATTGTAAGACTTTGGGTACCACTGCGCAGGTCCTGGTAATTGGGCCCACTTTCCAAACTTCCAAGCTGTAAAGTTTGTCCAAACTGCCTGCTCGTACAAACAGAAATATTTATGTGGTGGGATAACGTTGTGAAAAAGTGCTATAATAAACAATTAGTATCTCTAGAAGATTGCTAGAATGATCAGAGACGTACCCTTCTTCTACATCAATCCATGGCATATATTCAAAGAGATGCTCAGGCTTCTTTCTCAGCTTTCCAGCCTTTCTCGTATATGAGCGGATACAGCTATCCCAGAAATGTTGCCACTTGCGGAAATTGGACTCTTCATGGGCCTATCAACCGTTAGTATTACCAGAAGATTACCAGAAGATTACCAGACTATGAGGTACCAACATCAATGCGTGCTTGAGTTAAGAGAGCCTGGATGCTAGCGATCTCTTCATCAGAAAGCTCATCTGGTAGAACAGCCTCGTCATTTAAAATATCGTCGCGCCGTAACATAAGCTCCAACTCTAAATCGTCTTCAACCTCAGTATCCTCCCATTCGCTGTTATGATCGTCATCGATTGGGATACTGGTGATACCCTCAAATGCAGCAAGCTCAGACAGAAGTTGTGGCGGAGTAGATGGTGGGGCTTGTGGAGAAGAAGAAGGGGCGCTAGTATTCTTGACTTTCTGATTCGCAATGCAAGATGCATGGGTGCCCTTTTCAGTCCTGTTTATAGTTAGATTAAGGCTACCAGAGATTACCAGAAGGAACTTACCGAACACGAATACGCTCAACCTTCAATTCATTCTGTAGACGTGTCTTGTCTTCAGCAGAGGCAGCGATATACTTTGCAGACTTGTATAACTTCTTTAAGTAGTAGCTCAGATCGCCATGGTCAGCCTTGAGTGCTAAATGAACAGCCTTCTCATCTTCAGTAAGGTTGGAGACGCGGTTGCGAGCTTTGATAGTATTCAAATTAGTGGAGAGTTCTTCAGGTGCCTTGCGTTTCGCCATGCTAAACACGTGATTAGCAGAAGATCATCAGAAGTTCTGACTGTAGAATCAAGATAATAAACTTACTTGAGGTCCTAGTGAAGAGGTAAAGCGCAAAAGAGAAGAAGAATGTGTAGATCGGAACGTAACCAAGGAAGGTGGTTGGTTGTAAGGTTGTTGTTTTTTTAAAGTTGCAAACAATTATATTCGTCAAGGAATATTCACCTGCAAATAATTACTGTTCTAAACAACACTACAACGCGTACCTTCAAATAAAACACATACCTTTCAACCTCTACCTCTTTCTTTACTCTTTCTACAACATCCTTGCTACAAACTCACTGTAAGTACATATATCTTTTTGATCTACTTCTTTGTCTTGTGTATACTTCACTAACTCATCTTAATGTTAGCAAATGGCTCGTATTAAGCAAACTGCTAGGAGATCAACTGGCGGCACAGCACCAAGGATGCCACTTGGATTACAGGCTGGCTCTAGGCTTGGTGGAAAGGGAAAGGGAAAGGAAAAGGCTGTGCGCACAGCAAGAAAAGCTCCAGTTCGCTCATCTCAAGCTTGCAACAATCATGCTCAGAAGGCCATGCGCCGTGCAAAGTCTGGTAAGAGGATTACCAGAGGATTACCAGAACTCTCTAATAAACATATAGGCACCAAGGCTCTCCGCGATATCAGAAGACAGCAACTTGATACTCGCCTGATTATTCCAAAGCTCTCATTCCAGCGTCTTGTTAGGGAAATCGCACAAGACTTCAAGTCCAATCTTCGCTTCCAGCAATCTGCTATCCTAGCTCTCCAGGAAGCTGCCGAATGCTTCCTCATTCGAGAATTTGAGAGTATGATACTTGAACATAGTGACAGGGACATACTAACAGTTATAGTGACAAATCTCCTTGCTATTCATGCGAAGAGAGTGACAATTCAGGCAAAGGATATGGTATTGGTTCGGCGTTTGCGGGATATGATGTTTAATCATGGAGCTGTAGGCTTAATCGATGGAAATGTCTCTCACCCAGGAATGAAGGTTAGATAAGTTCTGGCAACCTTCTGGTAACCTGGTACCTAAAGGCAAAGGTTATAGTGTGGAATAGGATATCAACGACATGGGAATGGAGTTATTGAGTTATGGCGTTTTACGATATCGATATCAATGTGAAGTCACGATCACACCCCCTTTTCAATGACTAATCAAACACGTGATATAACTGGGTTGCCAAGACCTATACTAGGTACCCGGCAAGTGAGTAATCCTCATTCAACAATACTCGGGATATGAGTGAGTAACTCAGCTGGGTGAGTAGAAATTCTACTACTCGACTCATGAGTACCCAGTGCGCAGCCTAATCAGAACACTATATTATATATGCTCAAGAACATCTTTCCACCTTGCTTGATGAGGCCGGCCAGACCTACTAATACCTAAAGTATTTATAGGGTCTTGACGAGTAGCTTGAAAGATATCAAGTAGATCTCTTCCAGTCTTCCGAGGGCGTTGGATAGGCGTTGGTGGCGAGGACGGCATATCCTTATCTTCATCGTCATGAATAGTTGGAAGTATAGGCTCCTCATTATTACCATCTTCTCTTATATCTTCATTATCTGGGATATCGTCATCTGGGATGTCGTATAAGGTCTCGTTAAGACGGTCAGCCCTATCTCTTTCTTCACCTTGTTGGTAGCGCATTTGTCGTTCTTCATGTGCAGCTTGTGATAAGTCTTGCTGTTGCTGTGGCCGCTGAGGATTAAACGGAGGATATTGTACCTTTGAATATGTCTCTCGGATATGTGTATTTGATCGTGGTTCTTCTTCATCGCTGATATATTGTAACTCGATAGAATTGCACATCCGTTGTCGTTGTGCCTCATACTCTTCTTCGACTTGCTCCTCAGTCATATCAACGACGTCCATCATATCTGCAAGCTTGTCACGATGACCTTGACGATTCTTGTATTGTCGAGAGTAATATATAAGCATAATACTCTTAATCGTCTCAGGATTAAGTTGACCACGTCGGTGGCCACATACGTCCCTTGCGGCACTAAAGACTCGCTCAACTCCAGACTCAGCAGCAGGAATACAAAGTATATCACGAGCCATTGCTGATAGACCAGGAAATTGCTCTTCCTTTTGTTGCCAAAATAGCAATATCTTTGTGTAGATATGTGCTATACAAGTTAGAATAAGATTATCAGAAGATTACCAGAAACTTACGAGCATCAAGATAGAGATCAGCCTCATTCACATATTCCTCTCGCTGGCCCCGAGTCCCATTTAATGTCTGACTTTGCTGCAATACTAAGGCTAATGGATCCATATCTGCATCTCGTAATCCTGATTGACTCGCAACTCGCACTGTAGAGTACTGCTCTTTATAAAGAGTCCTAAACTGTTGTTCAAACTCTGTCTCCCAATTTCGTATTGAAAAGTCAAGCTTGCAAACCTTTTTGTTAAAGTGTGAGAGCTTCACACTAGGATTTAAGATACTAGCAAATGCGAAGATAGATCCAGTATTTGTGTATAGCTTGTTATAATACTTCCTAATCTTCTTCTCTGCAGCATCGATTGCTAAAGTCATCTTTGCTGCCCATGGATATGTCTTATGCCGTAGCCGGTGCCGAGTTCCTTCAAGCGTTGATAAGAGTTTTTGATATACTCCAAGTGTATAGCAGACAGTAGGTCCGGCTGACGATCCAATGTTTGTTGTAAAGAAGTTGAATGGCCTTGTAAGATCAATGATGTATTCGATGTGCTTCCATTCTAGCTCGCTAAGTCTGAACATGTGAGCACCATGATCGCCTCGAGTATATTGATTGATTGTTGACTTGAGTTGCTGTGCTCGCAGAAGCATATGGCATGTCGAATCCCATCGAGTTGATACATCTTGAATAAGTCGAAGAAGCCTCTGAGATGATTGACCCCGGTTCATGTTTGCCTTTTGCAAAGTCATAAACCTGTTCCTTCGAGTTTGACTTGAATTAACAAAGATAGTGAGCTTCCGGAGCTATGAGATATTAGAAAAGACTACCAGAAGTTTACCAGAACTAACAAGAGAATATATACCTTTCCAAGTGTAAATCCAATACCCTTGTCCTTCTGCAACTTTGCAAGGCCCTCCATCTGATTCTCTTCTTCCCAGTTCATTAAGATCTCTTGATTTGTTGGCGTAATCCGGATTCGACCAAGGAGAGCACTAAGGGCAAGTTGAATAACGTGAGCTAGGCAGGGTATGTGTTGTACTTTTCCTCCAATGAAATGCTCGTTGTCTGCAATACTATCAAGCATTATTTCCACATCTCTCATCATTGAAGTGTTGTTTGACGCATTATCAGTCGTAATGGATATAATTCGTCCTTCTAAATGCTGCCTTGTGATAACTTTTTCAAGTATTCCACATAACTCAGCACCAGTATGCTCTGTATATATAGGTTCAAACCCAATCAAGACCTCTTGCATTTTCCAATGACGGTCGATAAATGATGCAATAACACCCATAAATGAAAGTCGAGTAACACTTGACCAACAGTCGAGCGATAATGCAATCTTTGAACCAGGAACAACATCTTGTAGCATCTCTTCTTCGATTTGTGTGAGCTTTGTTGTTAAGAGGTTTTCGAATAGTTGTTGCTGAGGGTAGTGGATAGTGAGGATTCTGTAAGATAGCAAGCCTTTTCATTCAGGATCCTCGACTGAGCGGAACGAGCTATGAGTTGAGATAACTGTGTATAGAACTTGTTCGTAAAATGCCTCTTGTGTGAGAATATGATCCTATTATAGATATTAGCCTATATAATTCTGGTAATAATCTGGTAATCCTTACCTGTTGAGGTCGCATCTGATTGATTCGCATTTGATAGAGACTATCCTTACCCATCCGTGACTTCTTTTTGCAAATGTCTGATGCAAGATGTGTTGCCATAGACTTTGGGCCAGCAGACTTGATTGCAGGATGCGTAAGGGCCTTCGAACAATAGGTACAAATGACACATGGTTCTCCAGAAAGCCGGTCTGCTCCTTGGTGATAAATTCTCCAGTATTGAGAACTCCGGTTGGTTGAATCCCATGCAATCTTCGTAAGGAGTTTTGTAGTATGATCTGAGTGTTGTTCATACCATCGTGATAGCTTCCACCACTCAATGAATACATCGTGTGTATCCTTAGTCCATTTGATGAATTGGTTTAATTTGCCAGTATATTCGAGGCCCGCAGGGATTTGATTTAATGAAGGTAGTCGTTGAGAAGAGGGAAGAGAGTCTGAGAATATATTAGAAATAGGATTGTCAGAGTCAAACAACTCTGAATATTGCGATGACATTTGGCAAGTAGCAAATTGTTTGATTATCAGAAGATTACCAGAAGTCTGGCTACGATGAAATACTTAAATCTCTATAGCCCCTATTCGCGTCGGAAAATCAAATACTCCATTTCTCTCCTCTACTCTAACTCCAGAAACAACATATCCTGTGCAGCTGATACCTTAGCCCACTTTTCCTTATCAAATTTCTTAGAGTAGACAAGTAAGAACGCCTCTTTGAAGCTAGAACTATGAGTGGAGACTTGTAACCATCCGTTGTCGACAAGATTGTAAGACTTTGGGTACCACTGCGCAGGTCCTGGTAATTGGGCCCACTTTCCAAACTTCCAAGCTGTAAAGTTTGTCCAAACTGCCTGCTCGTACAAACAGAAATATTTATGTGGTGGGATAACGTTGTGAAAAGTGCTATAATAAAACAATTAGTATCTCTAGAAGATTGCTAGAATGATCAGAGACGTACCCTTCTTCTACATCAATCCATGGCATATATTCAAAGAGATGCTCAGGCTTCTTTCTCAGCTTTCCAGCCTTTCTCGTATATGAGCGGATACAGCTATCCCAGAAATGTTGCCACTTGCGGAAATTGGACTCTTCATGGGCCTATCAACCGTTAGTATTACCAGAAGATTACCAGAAGATTACCAGACTATGAGGTACCAACATCAATGCGTGCTTGAGTTAAGAGAGCCTGGATGCTAGCGATCTCTTCATCAGAAAGCTCATCTGGTAGAACAGCCTCGTCATTTAAAATATCGTCGCGCCGTAACATAAGCTCCAACTCTAAATCGTCTTCAACCTCAGTATCCTCCCATTCGCTGTTATGATCGTCATCGATTGGGATACTGGTGATACCCTCAAATGCAGCAAGCTCAGACAGAAGTTGTGGCGGAGTAGATGGTGGGGCTTGTGGAGAAGAAGAAGGGGCGCTAGTATTCTTGACTTTCTGATTCGCAATGCAAGATGCATGGGTGCCCTTTTCAGTCCTGTTTATAGTTAGATTAAGGCTACCAGAGATTACCAGAAGGAACTTACCGAACACGAATACGCTCAACCTTCAATTCATTCTGTAGACGTGTCTTGTCTTCAGCAGAGGCAGCGATATACTTTGCAGACTTGTATAACTTCTTTAAGTAGTAGCTCAGATCGCCATGGTCAGCCTTGAGTGCTAAATGAACAGCCTTCTCATCTTCAGTAAGGTTGGAGACGCGGTTGCGAGCTTTGATAGTATTCAAATTAGTGGAGAGTTCTTCAGGTGCCTTGCGTTTCGCCATGCTAAACACGTGATTAGCAGAAGATCATCAGAAGTTCTGACTGTAGAATCAAGATAATAAACTTACTTGAGGTCCTAGTGAAGAGGTAAAGCGCAAAAGAGAAGAAGAATGTGTAGATCGGAACGTAACCAAGGAAGGTGGTTGGTTGTAAGGTTGTTGTTTTTTTAAAGTTGCAAACAATTATATTCGTCAAGGAATATTCACCTGCAAATAATTACTGTTCTAAACAACACTACAACGCGTACCTTCAAATAAAACACATACCTTTCAACCTTTACCTCTTTCTTTACTCTTTCTACAACATCCTTGCTACAAACTCACTGTAAGTACATATATCTTTTGATCTACTTCTTTGTCTTGTGTATACTTCACTAACTCATCTTAATGTTAGCAAATGGCTCGTATTAAGCAAACTGCTAGGAGATCAACTGGCGGCACAGCACCAAGGATGCCACTTGGATTACAGGCTGGCTCTAGGCTTGGTGGAAAGGGAAAGGGAAAGGAAAAGGCTGTGCGCACAGCAAGAAAAGCTCCAGTTCGCTCATCTCAAGCTTGCAACAATCATGCTCAGAAGGCCATGCGCCGTGCAAAGTCTGGTAAGAGGATTACCAGAGGATTACCAGAACTCTCTAATAAACATATAGGCACCAAGGCTCTCCGCGATATCAGAAGACAGCAACTTGATACTCGCCTGATTATTCCAAAGCTCTCATTCCAGCGTCTTGTTAGGGAAATCGCACAAGACTTCAAGTCCAATCTTCGCTTCCAGCAATCTGCTATCCTAGCTCTCCAGGAAGCTGCCGAATGCTTCCTCATTCGAGAATTTGAGAGTATGATACTTGAACATAGTGACAGGGACATACTAACAGTTATAGTGACAAATCTCCTTGCTATTCATGCGAAGAGAGTGACAATTCAGGCAAAGGATATGGTATTGGTTCGGCGTTTGCGGGATATGATGTTTAATCATGGAGCTGTAGGCTTAATCGATGGAAATGTCTCTCACCCAGGAATGAAGGTTAGATAAGTTCTGGCAACCTTCTGGTAACCTGGTACCTAAAGGCAAAGGTTATAGTGTGGAATAGGATATCAACGACATGGGAATGGAGTTATTGAGTTATGGCGTTTTACGATATCGATATCAATGTGAAGTCACGATCACACCCCCTTTTCAATGACTAATCAAACACGTGATATAACTGGGTTGCCAAGACCTATACTAGGTACCCGGCAAGTGAGTAATCCTCATTCAACAATACTCGGGATATGAGTGAGTAACTCAGCTGGGTGAGTAGAAATTCTACTACTCGACTCATGAGTACCCAGTGCGCAGCCTACTAATAGCAAAGGAAAAACGCCAAGAGCGCGTATGTGACAGGAAATACCGTGAATTATTTCATCGGAGATATATTCCCTTGGCGTAAAAGAACGAAATGCTAAGATTTGGCAGAGGCAGAGGCAGAGGCAGAGGCAGGGGAAAAATAAAAATCTTTTGCTGGGAATATTCTCTGTTTATAGTCGGAGTCGGTTGATAACCCCGCATTAGATAAGATGGGCGGGGAGTCACGTGGCATGCGTCACAGTAAAATGGCTATATACGGAGCCGGAGAAACCTTGCTAAGATTGCCGAGAACACCCTTGCCTTCCTGGCTACGATCCACCACGGCGGCGTCACCACGGCGTCAGTAAAGTTCGTCCCTGCCTCCTTGAAACCCCTCCGTCTTCGCCGCCGAAACCCTACTACTCGATCTCTCCAGCAGTACCAAGCTGCTCGTTTCATGGCCACTATAACTTCTTCTTCCAACATTATTATTCAAAGGCCTGAACTGACCTGTTGTTGAGCCGGTGCTACGTCAATGCGCATAGTGCCAACCACGAACTGCAACCTCACAATCCATCTTCCGCACACCTCCACTACCGTCACTCTCGCCTGCTGATCGCCATGTCTCTGCCGCATCATTGAGACAAAACAAACCCCGTGTTCGCGACTTCCCTCACCTCCCCCCATCGATCCATCCGGTGGCTGGAAAGGTTTAATGACTGTCGCCACGCTCTCCTCACCAGCCTCCCGACCTTAGATGACCGCCAACCCAACCCCCCAGCTTCTCTGCTCGACAGAACCCAGAGCCGCCGAACGACCGCACCTCGCATTCCCTATCTGATATATAATACATAATACCTAGTTTCTTCTTTCCCAAACCCCGAAAATGGACAAGGCACGCGCCACAGCTGCCTCGACGGCGGTGGCACAGCCGCAGATGATCCCGCCGCGAACACCCGCAGGTCCGTCCAAGAGCCAGGCCAAGCCGTCGCCGTTGGCTGTCTCGGTGCCGGCGCCGGCGCCGGCGACTAAGGTGCGCAATAGCGTGATGGCACCCGACGCTTTCTCTTCGTCTGTCGTCACAGAGAACGGTAGCTACGAGTTCGATCGCGTGCTCAAGAGCGGCTACGTGCGCAAGCGGACGCGCAAGACAAAGGTGAGCGAGCGAGCATACGCCCCCCGGGCCCAGACCCAGGCCCCCTCCTGACATCTAGCTAACCCTCTCCTCCAGTCATGGAAATCAATCTACCTCGTCCTCCGCCCAACCTCCATATCCATCTACAAAGACCAAGAGGAAGCCAAGCTGCGCCACAAAATCCTCCTCTCCGACCTCACCGCCGTCGCCTTCCTCAAAGACCCCAAACATAAGCGCCACAACGTCTTCGGCCTCTTCTCCCCCTCCCGCAACTACCACCTCGAGGCCCTCTCCAAGTCCGACGCGGCGGAATGGGTCGACCTGATCCGACGCGAGGCGCGCATCGAGGAAGAGGAGGAGGAGATGTTCCTCGCGTCCCCGACTACGAATACTACGCACAACTACGCTGGCCTTGATGCTGAGATGCGCAAACGCACGGCGGCGGCACTCCGCGACGCACCGCTTGAAACACACCGCGGCTCTTCATCCCCTGAACCCTCGCCCGCGCGCGTCAGACCAGTCCATCCCCCGCCTCTGGATCCGAAGATCGCAAGGCGCCCTTCGCACTTCGAGTACTCCGGCACGGAACCAGCGTCGCACTCTGATTTCTCCGACGTAGAGACGCACTTTAACCCCTCTCTCCGCCCCAAAGCCGCAGGCTCCTCGCGGGTCTCCATTCCCGAGATTGGGGAATCGTCCGCCTCCGCTGCTGTTGTGCCAGGGTTGCAACAGCAGCAACAGCAGCAACAACGTCCCATAATCGGCGCCCGCAACGGCAGCCAACTCAGCAGCCTCAACCTCACCCCCGACGCCGACCCGGAACGGGTGATCTGGCAAGGCCACCTGTTGTACCTGAAATCCAAATCGGGCGTCCGACAATGGAAAGACCTCTGGTGCGTCCTTCGCGCGCGCACCTTCGCCCTCTACAAAGACGAGAACGAGTACGCCCCCCTGCTGATATTGGAGCTGGGGAATATCATTAATGTAGTGGAAATCGACCCTGTGAGCCGCACGAAGAGGAATTGTCTGCAGGTTATTACGGAGGAGAGGAGTTATCGGTTTTGTGCGAGGAGTGAGGAGGGGTTGGATTTGGCGTTGGGGGGGTTTAAGAGTTTGTTGGTGAGGAGGAGGGAGGGGAGTGTGGGGAGTGGGGGGGCGTGGTTGGGGGTGCGGGGGTTTGAGAGGGGGGGTGGAACGGGGGTGTATTATGTGTATTGTTGATTGATGATGAGTAATGATGGGGTTTTGGGAAAAGTTTGGCCCCGACCGGCCGACTTGAATGCCAGTTTCTTTTTCTTTTTTGGGAAGACTGAGCTGAGATGGTCGGGGGGTGGGGGTGGTTTGAATGGAGGGGGGGGGTAATGCCGGTAATGCCGGTCATGAATGAGGTTTTAACGAGGTTATGGAAAATTAAAGATCATTTTTATGTTTGACTATCTGAGTTCCTTCTCTGACGGCCCGTCTCCATTTGAACCCCCCTTTCTCACCGACTAACCTACTGCGAGGTATTCATCACACACCCCGACTTCCCCGGATATGAGATCTCATGAACGCTCAAGAACATTCCGGATCCCCTCCACTCATCCTCTCTGTCCATGGGTGATGGGCCGGGGATATCTACGGGGCACCCGGCACCCCACAGCACTGCATTGTGACGGAGATGGGATGGAGCTTATGATCCTTCCTTGGGCGGGACCTTCACTGTTTCCCCCATCTATAACAAGTTCGTGAGTGAGTTTTGGCCAGCCACCCAGGCTCTAGGCGCGCAAGGCTGCACCACACCCGATCCACACTAGCGCCATAAGTCCCTTGGCCGCACCGCTCTAGTGCAGCACCACTGCCTGTTTCTCATGAATAATCGTTTCCGTTGACACATCTAGGTTTCACGCACCTGACACACGACACTTTACAAAGATAAGGGACACTTCATGACGCTGGGACGGTGTGATTTGTTGTTGTTGTTGTTGTTGTTGCCTTCCGGTCGGTTTTGAGTTGGAAAAGGACGGGATTTGTGGGAAAGGGAAGAGATACGAGGGGTTGAGCTTGTGCTCGAGGACGGAAGGACGGAAGGACGGAAGGGTCGGGATACAAAGGACGACGTAGACATGGCGGAACAGTTTGTGGGCTTGACGATGCTGGTGACGCTCAGTTCACCGCTGGATGCGCAGTTGAGGGGGAGGGTGTCGAGTGTTGTCGCTGGACAATCTTTGACGTTGTCGGATGGTATGTTTGCGATTCTGTGGAGATAAAACTATGCTGCGGTCAAGCTAACTGCCTTTCTAGTTTACTGCCCGAGCAATGGCAAATACATCACAGAAATCACGATCCAAGCCAGTCACATCAAAGACCTAGCTGAAGCAGGCAACGAGAATGCAGCGCCCAACCCAGCTATCCAAGCCGCTGCTGCACACCCACAAGCGCAGTCAATCTCCAGAATCAAGCAATCCAGCTTCGAAGACCCAGCAATCGTCAGCGTCGGCCGACCATCCCTCTCACGCCCCCCAGCAATAACACCAATCCCCACCCCCCCCCAAGTCTTCACACCCGAACTCGACTCTAGCAAACCCACCACCACCACCATTCCCCCTTACCCCGCTCAGCCGGTGCATATGTCCCGCAACTCGTCCGCCATCAAGGTCGCACAACAAGAGCGCTCGGTTACACCCGCCGCGATCCTGGTTGACCCGATGGGGAACCTGGAATTGGGGAATGAGAATGAGGATGCCGCCGATGCGGAGGTGGCGGCGAAGGAACGACATAATAAGCGGCGCCGCGGGCGAGGCGCGAAGGGGGCACGCAGGGGGAAGGCGGCCGATGGGACGGATGGCGATGAGGGGTTCCCTGCTGTTACGCCTGTTACCGATACGAATCGCTCGAAGGGATGGAGACAGACGCCATTGCTGGAGCCGAACCCGTCATTCCAGCCTTTTGCGACGCTGAAGAAGGCGGCGAGGGGGCGTGGGGGGAAGGGATATGATAATGGCTGGGCCACCGAGGACGCTACGGATGTGCAGGACATGGGGGACTTTGATTTCGAAGCCAGCCTGTCGAAATTCGATAAGCGCACGGTCTTTGAGGGGATTAGAGCGGATGATGTGACGGCGGATGAGGATCGATTGGTTGGGCATAATAGGATCCCGAAATTGGGAACGATGGGGGGGAGGAACCTGCATCCGTCGGAGAATGTGCTTGATCATATTGGGCGCGTTGCCCCCGCGTGGAATAGCGAGGCGGGCGATAGTGAGGATGCGGAGAATATGGGCGTCAGCCAGCGCGGGTCGGGCAGTGGCCGCACGTCCCGTCGCGCGGAGTCGCGGCTGCGCATGCCGATGTCGAAGAAGGAGACATCGTCGCTGCACTCGCAGTCTCGACAGTCCATGTCAGCACCCCGCGCGAAATCCCGCGCCCCTCCCTCCTCGCCTCCGCATGCAACTACGAAATCCTCATTCTACCTCGTCCCCGCCGATCGCCAGGTCGAAGTCGCGTCGGCGCTGCAGATGCTCAATCTTGAGAATATCGCGAATAGTGAGCTCGGACTTACTGAGGATATGATGACCGAGAATGCCGCGCGCGGAATCGCGGAAGTCGCGTTATCGACTCTGAACTTGGGGGGTACTCGCCATAGGACGCAGAGGAAGGCTAATACACTCCCTTACGTCGTCATATACGCCGGGAACAGCAAATCCGGCATCCGCGCCATCGCGGCCGGCCGCCACCTCCGCAACCACGGCACCACCGTCGCCGTCTGCGTCCTCGGGCTAGAGCGCGAACCCGAGCTCCTTGACGGGGTGCGGCGGCAACTCAAAGTCTTCCGCTCCTTCGGCGGAAAGGTGTTCACCAAGATCGAACTCATGGACTACCTCAAATCCACCGCCGTGCCTGTGGAACTCATCATCGACGGATTGCTGGGGTTGACTATCAGTTTTGAGGAGCTGAGGACGGGGGATCAGGCTACGGCGTTTGAGTTGATTGAGTGGGCTAATCGCTCGAAGGCGGCGGTGTTGGCGCTGGATGTCCCGACTGGTCTGGACCCCGGCACCGGGTTGCCGATGCAGATTGACGGCCGCGAGCTGTGGATCCAGGCATCCCTCGTTGTTAGTCTCGGGGTACCGAAGACGGGACTCTTGGAGGCGATGAAGGTGGGGTTTGGGACGAGCGATGGGGAGACAGAGGCGTGGGGGCTGTGGGTGGTGGATGTGGGGATTGCGAAGAATGTGTGGAAGAAGAGTGGGATGAGGATGAGGAGGGGGGTGGAGTTTGAGGGGACGTGGGTGCTGGGTATGAGGTTCCAGAAGGGGACGGATTAGGTGGGGGAGGGATGGGGACATTGCAAGGCGTTTGGAAAGCGAAAATGGCTAGCATAGCTCTGGTTAAGGAGTATGGGGATCACGCGGGCTGGGGAGGGGTCGCTTTGCATTGGGCTTGGAGTTTTTTGATAGCTAGTTGGTGTTGCTCTTTTGAAAGAAGAGCTGGGACGTAGGCACAATGAAGTAGATATGCTGAATGAAGTTAAGACTTTATATCCAGATTTTTTGCACGTGGAGCGATTATCATCTTTTGGCCAGCCCATTTACAACATGATGCCCCTTCATCGCCCCCGTAGCAGAATCGTCAGCCGTGCGGCTGCCTACAAGCGGGCAGCAGCATCAATTTCCTGTCGGGCCCGTCGTACCAATGAATTAGCCTCTTGTCGTTGCGTATAGAGCTCATTCTTCCGGGTATAATAATCAAGCTCCCTCAACACTGTCTCGTACGCCCTCAACTCCTTTACACGCTCCAGCTGACCACTTCCTTATACGTCGCCTCATCCAAGGAGAACGACCGCAGGCTGCGCTTGCGGGCGGTGGGCTCGAAGCGCGCGGAGAAGGGGACTGTTTCCGGATGCGATCGCATCGTAGTATATAGCCAGTTTCTTTCGAACGTACCGTAGCATCTGCGCCGGGGTCGGGTCCCGTCATCGTCGTCGTGAGGTTGAGGCCATCCCTTTAGGCTCCTCGGCGACGGTTGCTTTGCTTTCTTAGCCTTGGTTTTGTCTATTGCAGAAGCTTATTTGCCACAGCAGGTTCTCACACGGCGACAGTTTTGTCAACCTCTTAAGGGCTGCATATTTGGTAAGGCGTACCTAATGCCAAGGTGCCCACTCCGGCCCCACGTGCCCAAATAGGAAAAGGGACCGTCACACTGTGACGGAGCCATTTCTAGCCTAGTAAATTAGTAGTGTATCGTATGTATTTAGCCATAATCAACAATTTGAAACATCCTATGCTGAAATAGGTGAATACTGTATATTACTCTATAATAACTATAGAAGCTGACCCTTATGGCATCTAGCAATCAGCCTGGCTTGCTATGCGGATAGCAAGCTAACTGTAATGGTGGGTGCACCAGATGTGAGAATCTAGCCACCCAAGGAAGGGATGATTCTACTAAGACAACACACTGTCTTAGGAAACAGAGCCAAAGGGTTGTAGCTTAGACTATTCCACAACGCAGCAATCAGGTGTGTGATGTAGTGAAGTGGTTCAGACAAGTTGCAACAAATGTTGAGTCTGGGAACTCAGGGGTAAGTCAGAGGTTAACACCTCACTGACTTTTCAGAAACAAGGAGTAACAAGATGAATGCTTGGAAGCTTGTAAAAGACGTGGAGGTATGTGATAGTCTATTTACTGTATTGCCTGCTTGCCCTTTCTTAAGGAAAGGGCAATCCTATTTATGCCAAAGGAGTGTAGTTCTCTCATTTTCCATGACTTTCCATGAGTAACCAGGCTTGGTAAATGTATTAGAAATCAAGTGCGACCCACAACTAGCTTGCTAATCATGTAGTGAACGTAAGAGAATCCCATAGAACCATCTCTTGGGTTCCTAGCCTATAGGAAGTGAAAAGGAGGTCCAAGGTCAGAGTACCTATAGATAAATTATGTCATAACTTAACCAATCTTGTGGGTAACTAAGGAGCGATGACGTGTAATGAATCATAGAGGGTTGTAGAAGCTTTTAGAGCTATCGTTCATGTTCCCAGGCCTCTAGTTGGTAGAGATATGCCATGTGGTAGTATTGGCCCACCCCCTTAAGGAGGAGATTTTCTTAATAACTTGTTCAATGAGTGTCCAAATGATATGCCGTGATGTATGTAGCATAAACAGATGTAGTAGAAGAGTTTGCAGCAATCGTTGAGTAGTATTGCTTCTGTTGTTGGTGTGATAAGCCAAGATATGTATGGTGACTTGTAGGTTTGAGGAGGAGATTTCTAAGTTTGCTCTTGAGTTTGATAGCAAACTGAGTGCAACGAATGTCAGTATGACACTAACTCCCTGAACCTATTAGAGCCCTAGCCCTAGCCTCGACTAGCTTAGCCTGCTCTAGCCCTTAGAGGAGCCCCCTAACTACTCGCCTATAGATTTCCCCCTCTTCCCCTAAAGGGCCTAGCCAGCCTCTAACCTAGACAACAATGACGACAATGGCGCCACTAGCGCCACCCCTAGCATTACCAGTAGTGGACAAAACCATATAACTGCCAAGGACATGCTCTTTGTCGTATGGCTCTACATCGAGTAGCAGGCCGCATATGGCCACTAGTCTAACTAAGCGTTTTAGAAGCAGATTGCTAAGCTCCTTATAGTAGACTAAGGTAAAGAGCACTAAACTCTTAGCTAGCCTAGCAGCAGGCCTCTCTTGCACTCCCTAGGCAGACAAGATGCAGATCTTAAGAGGTGCTTCTTATGCCTCCTAGTAAGAGAACGAGGAGGACGAGAGTAGCACTGCCCCTAAGACCCCGAACCCTGCAACTACAGACCCTACAACCTAACGACGACAACGACTAGCCGCCCTAGCACTAGTTATAGCCCTTACAGGGAATCCTATCGCTATAGGACTCAAACACCTCTTTAGCGTTGTTAAAAGGGCTGCAAGTCAGATAGGCAGCACCTATCTGACTTGCAGCCCTTTTATGCATATTCGTGAGCAAGACAGCGACGACAAAGTATGTAGCGACAGGCTATATACCAGCCCTTAGCCCCTTGCTAAAGGCAGAATACGTCTAGCTTTGCTAGTAACAGAGGACAGAGTAGCGTTCCATCGCTACTAGTCCTTAGGCAAGCTAAACCACCTAAGTATATGCTCAAATGGGCACGTAGTGCCAAAGGCAGCTGAGTAGGCTAGGTCGCTAAAGACATTGAGGGTCTTATGACCCTCTATGATCTGTAACGCTGACTTCTAAACAATAGAAGACACAGAGGTTTCTTGCGTAAGATTGACTTGACAGAGGAGGCAGGGGATTAAACACAAAGGCTTTCCAAGTAACATGTTACAGTATTGTAAAGAATACTATATTAAGTTAAGCACGAAGCTCCTATCTAAGGAAATACTATCTACTTATATAGTGGTGTCGTGCCTCCTGGGTAATCTGGATAGTTGGCGGATAGCTAGATATTCAGGATAGTTCGTGGATAGCTCAACTATCCAATATCCACTAGTTTCTGCAACTATCCATTAGCCCCGTCACATGGCAGCCTACCCCACTTGCCCCCTGTGACTCACACGTCACGTTACTAGGCCCTGGTCCTGTAACCATGACATCACGTTACCGTAGCTGTAACAATAGGCTAGCAAATGGCCCTATGAGCAAGCTGATCAAGCCATCTAGGGTACAGTGCTAGTTAACGCTGTGAAGGCGCTTGTGCCTAGAGTTGGCCACATTGCCTTATAGCTGGCAATGTAGACAGAAAGTGCCATCTACAAAGCCCTAGACTCCCCTAACCCCACAGACTCTCTTAACCCTAGTAGCGAACTCTGCTAGCTAATGGTATATTAGCTAGTGGTGCCACTAGAGAGTTGTCCTAAACTAGGCTGTAAGGAATAGCACTGTGTCATTAAACACAGTGCTAAGCTAGGCCTTAGAGCGTCTAAAGACGTGACAGAGGCTGACCTAGGGGCAGGTCCCCTAGGCAGAACGACTGGTGTCTATAAATGAACACTAGCTGCCAAACCACTTATAGCAACCGCTGCTGCTACTGCTTAATTAGACGGTGACAATACATTGTTGCAGCCTAGGCTGTTGCTATTTGAGCAGCAACAGTAGGAGCACCTCCCCCTCATCCCGCCCTTGTCCTCCTTATGTGCTAATGCCTAGCACTAGTCTTTGGCCTTAATGAGGAGGGCTTCTAAGTGCCTTGCAATGAGGGCTTCTAAGTTCCTTGTAACAAGGGCTTCCGAGTGCCTTATAACGAGGGCTTCTAAGTGCCTCATGACAAGGGCTTCTAAGTGCCTTGTAATGAGGGCTTCTAAGTGCCTTGTGATGAGAGCTTACAAGTGACTTGTGATGAGAGCTTACAATTGCCTCATTAAGGGTGGTAGGTGGTGAATCTACCATTCGTTAGCCCTACTAATTGTCAGGGTTGACAGGCATAGTAGTGATGGCAGGGTATGGGCACCTTCGACTGGATATTGTCCTATAGAGAGCCTAGTGCTGATTTAGGAATAGAGGGGGCAGGGGCTGTAGGGACCAGGGCACCCAGCTCACAGTAATAGCATATGAGAGTGCGAGTCGGAGGCTAAACAGATGCTATCCTATAGGTCTACTATGAAGGATACAAAAAAGATGAAGGGGGAACCCTGTGAGTCGATTCCCTCAAGTACCCGAAAACCATCCGACTCGGTTCCGACTCGGTTAGCCCACCCAAATGATCACACGTGACCAGGGGAAACCCCGTGAGTCAATTCCTGAAGTACCCGAAATCCGTCCGACTCGGTTAGCCCACCCAAATGATCACACGTGACCCCGCAGCTACCCAGAGTCTACTCCTTAGAATGAGAGATGAGAAGGCATCCTTACAGGGGCCCTAGTTACTGTCACATGCTAAAAGTGCAATAGTAATTCAGTTGCTAAATTGCTCTAGTAGAGTCTTAATAGGACGATATTCAGTTAGACGATATTTTTGTTAGAACTGATTGATTTTACATACAATATACGATATTCACAATATCACTCTAATTCCTTAAAAAATCGTCTTATCATAATACCTTTCTGTAATCTATACTGTAATAATGTAACATATGGGGTAGTCGGACATATGGGGTAGTCGGACATACGGGGTAGTCGGACAAAAATGCCCGACTACCAACTCAGAACCTTCATACCTTCCACCATGAACATCCCACAACCATACAGTCATGCTCAGATTGAAGACAACATCCAAAAGGCTGTCATTGCGCTCCAATTGAAGGAATTCAAATCAATTAGACTTGCTGCAGACCACTTCGAAGTTCCTAAGTCAACTCTTGCTGATAGGATGTCTGGGAAGAAAACGCATGCTGTAGCTCACGAAATTGAACAAGCTCTCTCAAATGCAGAAGAAAATACACTAGCACGATGGATTACACGTCTCACTGCCACGGGTTTTCCTGCAACTCCTATGTTGATCAAGGAAATGGCTGAAGGAATTCGCGTACGATGCGTCCAAATCGCGTCTTCTCAAACCACTCTTCAGACCAATCCTACCCTCATAGGCTATGAATGGATCTATAGATTCTTAAAATGACATCCAAACTTTAAAGGGGTCTACTCAAGACAACTAGAGTCTGCACGACATAAAGAAGCCACTCCTATAAAGATTTCAGCTTGGTTTGACGCGTTTAAAGCACGAATTGAAGAGCGAAAGTACAAGCCATGCAACATCTATAATATGGATGAGACAGGTTTTGCAGTTGAAGAGACTCAATCCACGCAAATAATTGTTGATTCTACCTTGAAATCCAATTGGAAGGTCACAGCTGGGAAGCAGGAGTGGATAACTGTACTTGAATGCATTGATGCAGACGGTGGTGCTTTACCACCTATGATTATATTCAAGGCTAAGAATACCAATTCAAGTTGGATTCCAAAGGACACCCCTACAAACTGGCACTTCTCAACAAGTAATAGTGGCTGGACTTCAAACAGTCATGGATTTGAGTGGTTGCGGAAGGTATTTGAGCCTGAGTCACGCAAAAAGTCTGGAAATCACCCGCGAATGTTGATTATGGATGGCCATTCTAGTCACATTACTGGCGATAGCATTGAGAATGACATCGACCTTCTTATTCTACTGCCTCATTGCTCTCATCTACTCCAACCACTTGATGTTGGGGTGTATGGACCTCTTAAGCGATTTCATGCTCAGGAAGTAGATCGGTATACTCGAGCAGGAATAAAGCGAATCCAGCGCTCCCACTGGGTTGAAATCTTCCAGTGTATTCGAGAGAAGGGTCTTATACCTCAAAACATTAGAAGTGGGTGGAGGGCAGCGGGTTTAATACCCTTTCTCCCAGAAAGAGTTCTGGCTAACCTTCCACTTCCACCAACCGAACCACCTAGCACTCCTCAAAACTCAACCAATATCACTACTCTGGATCTCTCAATACTCTGAAGTTCTCCTCCAGATGGAACTGAACTAAGGCATACAAATTTAGTATTTAATTCAAGTATGGCAACTTGTGACTCTCTGTTACGTCTATAGTAACATGATGTCATGGTTACAGGGCCAGGGCCTAGTAACGTGACATGTGAGTCACAGTGGGAAGCGGGGTAGGCTGCCATGTGACGGGGCTAATGGATAGTTGCAGAAACTAGTGGATATTGGATAGTTGAGCTATCCACGAACTATCCTGAATATCTAGCTATCCGCCAACTATCCAGATTACCCATGAGGCATGACGCCACTATATAAGTAGATAGTATTTCCTTAGATAGGAGCTTCGTGCTCAACTCAATATAGTATTCTTTACAATACTGTAACGTGTTACTTGGAAAGCCTTTGTGTCTAATCCCCTGCCTCCTCTGTCAAGTCAACCTTACGCAAGAAACCTCTGTGTCTTCTATCATTTAGAAGTCAGCGTTACACTCTCCTGCTTCACCAACTCGACGCTATGCCAAGAGAATGACTAGGCTGGTTGAAAGTCAGAATGCTGAACTCAGCATCCTTCGAAAGGAGGTGAAAGAGTACAAAGAGATACTTGAGACATGAAAGAAAAGAACTACGGGCAAGAGAATTAAGTTGCAAGGCGAATTTGTATTCAGTACCGAGGAAGTGTTGAAAATTGTCCGGGAGGCAGAGTTGAAGTCAACCGAGAAAAGACCACGTGGAAGGCCACGCAAATGGCCAATTGAAGAAGTAGATGAGGAAGTTGAAGAGGAAGAGGTAGAGAACGATTCAAGCGACCCAGAATTGGAATTGGAGGAGTGTGTGGCATGTAGGACTCAGTCAACTAGAGTAGAATAAACTTTTTGTCCGACTACCCCATACGTTACGTTATATGATATTAAAGCCTTTAATACTTAATATGCTATGAAAACAACATCCACATACACTAGCAAGAAGCCCTACGTATGTAGGCCTTTAAACAAACTCCTCGACCTTCTTAAAAAGCCTATATTACATGGTTCTATGATAATTATAGCTAACGAATAGGACAGTCCACTGTCTCTAAGTCTCTCTTGACTCATTTTAGGTCTATTAATAACTCTAATAGGCAGTTAATGTGCATACAAACCAGAAACTAGCTAGATCTTAAGGCAGTTCTATTTAATTAGCAACCCTAAATCAAAGAATAGGGAGGTGTAACAAGTAGAGAACTCCTATACCAGAAGCCTTAACAAATCTAGCGTTAATTTCCTTAATATTCATAATTTCCTTGCCCTAAGTTCAGTGTCAGCTAGCTTTAAAAGTTCAAACAGCAACATTATATTTAGGATTAGCTCTATGTTATGGCTATAATAACATGACATCAGTTATAGGGCTAGCTGTTAAGCACATATTTAGAGTTTAATGACTTAATTAAGTAAACTATAGGTGTAAAGGTATATATATACTGCCTAGCAGTATATAGACTACACTGTGTAGCGTACTTCTAGGAACGTAGTTCTAACACTAGTAGGGCTAGGCTCTAGTAACGTGACCTAAGAAGTCATGAGGCTAGCGGGGCTAGGCAGTAGCGTGACCAGGCTAGTGGATAGTTGCAGAAACTAGTGGATATTAGATAGTTGAGCTATCTACCCGTATCAACTATCTAGATTATCTAGCTATCCATCAACTATCTGAACTATCCCTAGGCACGACACTACTATATAAGTAGATGGTATTCCCTTAGATAGGAGCTTCGTGCTGAACTTAATATAGTATTCTTTACATACTGTAACGTGTTACTTAGAAGCCTTTGTGTCTAATCCCCTACCTCCTCTAATAAGTAAACCTTACGCAAGAAACCTCTGTGCATCCTATCTGATAGGAAGCGGCGTTACACTTGGCTCCTGCTAGGCCAAATACTTTGTTTTAGCGCAAGGCGCTACTGATAAGATTAGATCCTAGGGAATCTTTATCTTGGCCAGCCGCCTTTCTCCAAAACTGTAAACATCCTCTGCCCCAAGCCAGTTCTTGAGCAACCGCAAAGATGGGTAAAGGTAAGTCATCGTCATGATCGCCTTGAATCCAATGATCTATACTAACTCAACGTCACAGGAACCGACAAACTCTACGTAAGTCCCTCTCGACTCCTCCGCGGGCAGACCACACGACCTCACCCATTCCCCATCTACACTGTACTGACTTCTATTCCTCCTAGATCACCCACTCCGAATGGTCCTCCTCCGACCAATTCTCCGCCTCCGCCGGCTCTAATGTCAACGTCCGCGCCGCCTCGGGCTCCTTCAAGCGCCTCCCCTTCAACTTCTGCGCCGCCTCCCTCCAGCCCTTCCACCACCCCGTCTGCACCCCCTCCGGCACAATCTTCGACATCGAAGTCATAACCACCTGGCTCGCCACGCACTCTACCAACCCCGTCACCGGCGGCCCCCTCAAAGCTAGCGAGTTGATTAAACTCAACTTCGCGCGGAACGGGGACACGGATGCGGGCGCGGCGGAGGGGAGGAAGGAGGCGTTGGGAGAGATGGTGGATCCGGTGACGTTTAAGGTGTTTACGGATAATACGCATATTGTAGCGATACGACATGGCGGGGAGGCGAATGTGTTTGCCTGGGAGACGGTGGAGAGGTTGAATGTCAAGGCGAGGATGTGGCGCGATCTAGTGGACGACCGCGAGTTCAGCCGGAAAGACATCATAACCCTCCAAGACCCGCAGAACGTGGAGAGTCGCGACCTGAGCCAGTTTAAGTTCCTGAAAGAGGGGGAGAGCGTGCTTAGTAAATCTGAAGAGGAGGAGCAGAAGGGCGGGAGCGTGAATGTCGCGGCGCTGGGAAGGGTGGGGGAGAAGGTGTTGAAAGCCAAGGAGGCGGTGGAGAAGGCGAGGCGAGAGAGAGAGGCGAATGGCGATGTAAATAGGAGTAAAGCTGTTGCGAAGGCGAGTGCGCCGGCGATGAGACCGCAGATGCATACCCAGAAGAAGGAGGTGTATAACGCGGCGCAGTATACGACGGGGAAGGCGGCGGCGTCGTTTACGTCGACGGGGTTGACGCCTTCGACGAGTGGGGAGCGCGCGTTGCTAACGGAGGAGGAGTATATGTTGCGCCCGAAACGGGTTAAGAATAAGGGGTATGCGCGGCTGGAAACGAATTATGGGTCGTTGAACCTGGAGCTTTACCCTGAGACGGCGCCGAGAGCGGTGTGGAACTTTATACAGCTCGCGAAGAAGGGGTACTATAAAGGCGTTATTTTCCACCGCAGCATCCGAAATTTCATGTTGCAAGGTGGGGACCCGACGGGGACAGGGAAGGGGGGGACGAGCTGCTGGGGCAAGAACTTCCAGGATGAGTTTGACGGCCCGTTAACCCATGACGCGAGGGGGGTGGTCAGCATGGCGAATAAAGGGAAGAACACGAATTCGAGCCAATTCTTCATCCTCTACCGCCCACAAAAACATCTCGATCGGAAACACACCATCTTCGCGCGCGTAGTAGGCGGTATGGACGTCCTAGGCCGCATCGAAGCCGTGCCTGTGGATTCCGGGGATCGGCCGACGGAGGAGGTGGTCATTGAGGATGTAGTAGTGTTTGTGGACCCCTTTGAGGAGTTTCAAGCCGAGAGGAGGGAGAGGGAGGGGAAGGAAAGGGAGAGGGAGGAGGTGGAGAGGATGGGGGGGAGGGAGGATGATAGGACGACGTGGACGGGGAAGAGGGTTAGGGGTGATGGGACGGTGGTGCAGAGTGAGGAGGCGGGGGGGGTGGGGAAGTATTTGAAGGCTGCTATTGAGGAGGGGGGGAAGGGGGGTGCTGGGGAGGGTGCTGGGGAGGGGGAGGCGTGGGAGGACGAGCCGGTGAAGAAGAAGGTTAAGGCTGCGGGGGGGTTTGGGAATTTTGATAGTTGGTGAGAGATGGCTGGAAGGTTGAGGGTGGGTGTATATGCATATAACGGCGTTTGGAGTGGTGGGATGGAGGGAGAGGGATGTAAATGTAGTCTGGATACACATTGAATGTTGGTGACCGCCGAAGATAAGATGTCTCTTTGTCTGTGATATGAAAACAGTGCGCATTGAGTATATCAACGAGTAACGACGACTCGCGCCGTCGTACGCTCCCTGGAACAGTACAATAAAAACGGCATATACATCTCTTTCTTCCGCTCACCGAGTCGATCTCTGAAGCTTCCCCATGTCCCCACCCCCCAGCCTGCTATCTCCAACCTCATTGTTCCCTCATCTCCATAACAACCGTACCTCAAATTCACCTCCCATTCTCACCGTTTACTCCATTCCTGTCACCACAGCCTCTAATTCACGCGTCCAAAGGATAAGTCGGGCCTGCCTACCCGGCAAAAGCTGGAGGATATATAAGGCGAGGATTCGGGTGGTTTGTGGTGGCTTCCTTCTTCCTTCTTCAACCACCAATAGACCTGTTTACGCACCACGCAACGACCACAAACGGATACATACTTACACACACATACTTACACCTTGTTGAAGTCTTCGACAGACTTTGAAGACTGGATTCATCGATAGATTCGCTGCATTTTGGAGATTCGAGAGTGGGTGTGAAGTGGTCTGGACTCTGGTGGCTCGTGTTGACTCCATGCAGGTGTTTTGAGAGAGGGCTGGTTTGGAATATCATACCCGAGGTCGTTGGTGAGGTGAGGACACGCCGCAATATTACACTCCATTATACCCATTATGTCCATTGTCTCTCTGGCACTATTGGACATGTCTAATGTCTTATTCGACGCGTCCATGACTAAAGTTATTTCCATTATTTGTTGTCGCTGCTCGTCGGGACATGCCCCAACGGGAGTCGGTGTACGAATATCATTCTCACCTTCTCCTTTCGTCGTGAGCAAATTGTGGATTTGTCTGCACTGCCTTGTGAGGAACAGGCAATGGTGGACTGCTAATGGATTGCTAACCGTCACATGCAGGGGAGGAGATTCCATCTCTTACACAATCTCTAACAAGCCCACCCAATTAAGAGGCTACTACGCGTTTTATATATTTTCTGCCCTAGGAAAGAGTGGTTATAGACGCAAAACTTATATCTTATACCATCACTTTGGTTTATCAGCAAACAATCAACGGCTAGTTATCTGCTAAAGTAAGTCCCAGCTTAAACCCTTCGCACTTTCATTTATCCCCTCCGATCAGACTAGTGACTAAATCGGTTTAGTCACTTTTCGTCGTCAGCTTTTCCCCGCGTCCGCCCCTCTTCGATCCTGAGAAACCCAACCAAAGAGCCGCCGCAAAGCGAGGCCATCCGCCCTTCCATCACCAAAAGCCCGGCAACAAAATCCTGCCAGAGCAATGGCGACAACACACCAGGTTTCCCAGCAGTCCTCGGGAAACGTTAATTCCACCAGTGGCGGCGCCAATGGGAAAAACGAAGGCTCTCCCCAGCCTACCACCCAGCACAAGCGTGTCTACCAGGCCTGCATCCCATGTCGCAAGCGCAAAGTCAAGTGCGACCTGGGCTCCGTCGACAACCCCAATGCCCCGCCATGCGTCCGCTGCCGTCGCGAGTCAAAGGACTGCTACTTCTCTGTGACCCGGCGCAAGCAGAGACTCGACGAGAATGACATTCCCATCTACGACCCGGACTTCGTCGACCGCAACGCGCGCAAGAGGCAGTATACCAGCGACAGCGGCTCGGAGCCGCCAGAGGTGCGCCCGGAGTCGTCCGCGGGGTCGCGCCCGTTAAACCCTGCGTACAGACATACGCCGATCCAACCGCCTAATGTTGCTACGTCGCCAGCTGCGAGTGTCAGTCGCTATGATTCGCAGCCGGGGCGCGAGCATCGCAGGGCGGGGTCGCGCCAATGCGACTCGAATGTGCGCTATGAAAACCCTGAGGCGCAGACTACGATGAGGAAGGGAATCTATGGACCGCATGATGCTCTGGATCTGCTGTACCAGGCCGCGACTGATGGGTATGTTTGTGTGATGTCTCTCAGATGTTGGTTGTGCTAACGCAAGCTGCAGTTCCCCGACGAAGCGCATGAAGCTGCTCAACTCCAGCGGCATCGATGGCTCTTCTGCCCGCGACAACCAGGGGTTCCCACAACAGCAACCATACAGCACTCCGAGGTTCATCCAGGCAAACAACCTACGCCCAATGGGTCCTCCGTCGCAGGCACACAACGAGACGAGGGACACGAGGGGCTCTATGCCAGTCGATAACGATACTATAAACCGCATGAACGACCCTGGCTACAAGACAGCAGTTAGGGCTTGGGGCAGGTTTCGTTTTGTCCGCGCTGGATGGTTCACTCCTGTAGAAGCCATTGCGTATATCGAATAGTGAGTGATGGCTATCTCTACAACCATCAAAGCGTATGCTGACCTTTATAGCTATTATCGGTACCTGTCGCCAATGACGCCAATCTCGCCTCCCACCTTCCAAAACCCCTCAACGCACGTCACTTTACTCCAGGAAGAGCCCATCCTGACGGTCACGCTGCTGACTATTGCGTCTCGGTATTTGCAAATCCCAGGAACCGGCGGCCAGTGTCGGTCTCACGCAATCCACGAGCAATTGTGGACCTACCTTCGCGGCATGATCGAGCGCTGCCTCTGGGGCCAGGAATCATTCGGTGGGGGCTTCTGCGGATCAGGTGCCACGGATTGGGAGCAGACTTCAAGCACTGCACCATGGCGTGGGATGCGGAAAGGCTCTCTTCGGACTCTCGGCACGATTGAGTCGCTGATGATTCTCACCGAGTGGCATCCTCGCGGCCTCCATTTCCCTCCACAAGACGCTACTGATGAGCTTATGCTTCCGTCGTACGACGGCCCCGACAACTTTTCCACGGATGAAGATGGAAACCAGCGCGCCCTGAACGGTGTCGGCGGTAAGCGAATTGAGAGCTGGCTGGAGCCGGCATGGAGATCCGACCGCATGTGCTGGATGCTTCTGAGTACCGCCATGGGCCTTTCCTACGAGCTTGGCGTCTTCGACCAGATCGACCAGCTGCTGGAAGTAGGCGGCGACATGGCTCGTCCCGAATATGACGACGAAGCATACCGCCACCGTGCTGCCCGCATCAAAAAGCTGCTGCTGATTTACGTGACCCAGCTTGCGGGGCGTCTTGGATGGACCAATATGGTGCCTGAGAACCTCAGAGCGTATGATAAAATGCGCAAGAGGACGGCTTCTGCGGACCCAAACACGCCGAACACAACCGCGTCCATACTGGCTTCGTTCAACTACATTCCCGACTTGGAGCTCGACGACCAGATCATCCACTGCTGGGCGGGAATTACCACGGCTATGGGGGCGGGCAATGACAAGATCTTCCGGTCGCGCAAGTACACCACCGATATCATCACGACCGGCAAGTATCTCGATCTCTTGGCCGAGTTCCAGCCAATTCTGGCCACCTGGAAGCGGACCTTTGTCAGCTACCCCCTGCCGCAATACATTCGCCACATCTTAACCATCGAGTACGAGTATGTTCGGATATACATCAACTCACTTTCCCTGCAAGCCGTCGTCGAGCGCTGCACCAACAATGCCGCAACGACCGAAAACCGCCACCCCAACTTCCTCAACCAGATCCCACTGACGCTCTACGGTGGCTTCACAACACGCGACCAGGAATACGTCCGTGAAGTAGTCGACGGCTCACGCAACCTCCTCCGAACAGTGGTTGAGGGCCTCCTCCCCAACGGCTTCCTCAAGCACGCCCCCGTCCGCACATACTTCCGCATCATCTCCGGCGCCATGTTCTTGCTCAAGACCTTCGCCCTCGGCGCCTCCAAGAACGATGTCGAAGTTAGCATCGGGCTCATGGACCGCGCTGTTGAAGCCCTTCGCGACTGCGTTGTTGATGACGTACATCTCGGAACCCGGTTCGCGGACCTACTGCACACCCTCACCACGCGCCTGCGCAACCGCTTCATGCACGCCCCCGTCTCATCCGAGGCAGGCGTCAACGATTCCCAACAAGCTATCGCGGGAGGACCACATGGTGGCGAAGATAACGGACACTGGAACGGCCCTAGCATGCCTGCCTTCTCCGACGGAGGCAATGGTATGCACCCCCCTAACTCCTCGTCCTCTATCAAACACCAACTAACCCCCACCCCCCCAGACATCAACATCTCTGCCACCGCCTTTGATCTCGGCAGCAACGCCTTCCACGGCAACGCACCCTACGGCTCCACCGGCGGCAGCGCACAGAACCCCTTCGGTGCCCCCGCCGTCTCCGAGGGCGGCCCAGCCTTTGGTGGCAGCGACTGGGGCAACGCGGGCGAGATGTGGTATCTCCCACCCGGCGCGGCGTTCTTTCATAATGCCAATGCGGATACGAGTATCACGCAGACGAGCGAGGGGGTTAATCTTGGGGGGGTAGATTTGTTGGATTATATGGCCATGGATTCGATGGATCAGTATCCGGGGGGGATTGAGTCGTTGGTGGGGGAGTATAGGGAGTATAGTCGTTGAGATTGTGGAGGTGATGTGTGGGAGGTAGGTGGGCGGTGTGGTTTATGCGTTTTTTTAGCGGAAGACTGGGTAGATAGCGTCGTTTGGGACGAGTTGTATGGAATTTTTTTTCGTGTGGGGCAAAATATTGGGGGGATCTGGGACTTTTCTTGGGATAGGGGGGTGTTGGTATGGAGGGGACGGAAGGGGGGACTTTTTGTGTATGGCGTTATATTAGGTATAATTAGCGAGCGCGAGAAATTTTACTATATTTATATCCCATCTTCCTTCTTGTGAGGGTTTCCCTATCTGATACATTTCTATTACAAGAGTCTATTTTTTTAATTGTGTAATTCAACTTTAGCATGAAGGTTCCGAGACCGCCTTCTTCTTTCGCCTCCAATGGCCCACCATATTCGTCTCATCCTCCGTCTCATTCGCCGCTCCATTTGGCGTGCCATGATGGCGAGTATTGCGTACGTTAAGGGGGCAGATGTCTTCGCAAGCATAGGAACTTTCCTCCCGAAGGCCTGTTGTGCATCGAACATGTCGAGCCATGGAGCTACCTCGTTGATGTAATTCTTAAGCCACACTACACGTTCACCTGTCGACACAACCGTATGTATGAACCACATTCCATGTTGATGCATTGGAGTCTGAAGGGTGAAGATAATACGAACCTTTGTCATCTCCTGCGACTGGGCTGCCGACTCTCGTAGGGCCCGCAGAATGAGCAGTATCGAACAATAGCGCTCAAAACTGTCTCTGTGACTCTATGAATCTGGGGTTGTTCAAGTATTCATCATATGTGGAAAGGTTCATTGGAGAAGTGTTTAAAGTAGCATTATATGCCAACGCATAGTCTTCTAGACCTGCCTTGTAATGAGACTTGTTCCATTAATATCGATGTTGACAAGTTATCATAGTATGAGCAAATCTTGTGATGTATACGAGCTGACTGAATTTGAGCGTCGTTGAACAGCTTTGAAAAACCAAGCAGGTGGCTCGGGCTAGGCATTCTGGAGTTTAGAAAGGTCGGTCCACAGTAATAAAGTTAACCCGCTCATCTGACTTACGGTCTAGGACTTTGGTTACGAATATAAGGGTGCATATATCCTGCCCGTTGACTGGCAGGCGGCCTTTAGTGGGGCCTTGTTGCATCGTGAGTCCTTTGCCTTCAACCAGGTCTCCTGAGGTTAATCATCTGTAGCGCTTTTGTTGGATCCCTCGGAATTGCGTATCTTGCAGACAAGGTGGGGAGGAAATGGGCGTATGCTCTTGTCTTGTATTTTCATACGTCGGCATCACTCTCGAGTTCGTTGCTTTATGCTTGCTTTTATAATGAGCAATATAATTACTAGTAGATTGCCCTAGTTTTTTTATTTCTCTATAGGTGGCTAATAAAAGTTAATAAATATTAATAAACTATAAAAAGAGAATACTTACTTGCAGAATTTTTAAGAACACTTAACAGTAAGTGTCCTAGGTTGATTTTCAATAATTGGATTTAATGTCATACTGACATTCGTTGCACTCAGTTTGCTATCAAACTCAAGAGCAAACTTAGAAATCTCCTCCTCAAACCTACAAGTCACTATACATATTTTGGCTTATCACACCAACAACAAAAGCAATACTACTCAACGATTGCTACAACCCTCTATGATTCATTACACGTCATTGCTCCTTAGTTACTGGGCCGATATGACCACATAGCATATCTCTACAACCCTCTATGATTCATTACATGACATCACTCCTTAGTTACTGGGCTAATACTACACATGACATATCTCTATCAACTAGAAGCTCCAAAAGCTTCTACAACCATCTATGATTCATTACACATCATCGCTCCTTAGTTACCCACAAGATTGGTTAAGTTATGACATAATTTGTCTATAGGGGTACTCTGACCTTGGACCTCCTTTCACTTCCTATAGGCTACGAACCTAAGAGATGGTTCTATGGGATTCTCTTACGTCGACTACAGTTACCAAGCCTGGTAAGTCATGGAACTCTTGGAAAATGAGAGAACTACAGTCCTTTAGCATAAATAGGATTGCCCTTTCCTTAAGAAAGGGCAAGCAGACAATACAGTAAATCGACTATCACATACTTCCACGTCTTTTCCAAGCTTCCAAGCATTCATCTTGTTACTCCTTGTTTCTGAAAAGTCAGTGAGGTGTTAACCTCTGACTTACCCCCGAGTTCCCAGACTCAACATTTGTTGCAACTTGTCTGAACCACTTCACTACATCACACACCTGATTGCTGTGTTGTGGAATAGTCTAAGCTACGACCCTTTGTGGCTCTGTTTTCTAAGACAGTGTGTTGTCTTAGTAAATTCATCCCTTCCTTGGGTGGCTAGATTCTCACATCTGGTGCACCCACCATTACACTGAACCCTACACCCTTACCGTCCCCCACTATAGTGTAACTCGCTATGTCCTCCTCTACTGGTTCGAAACCACACTGAGTCGGATTTCATGCTTGTGGTGACCGTAACAGCTCATAGGCAGGTTCTTCGAGTATCTAGGTAAGGAGGCATCCTTACATGTATAATAATAGGAGTTTTGTTATAAAAATAAAAATTTAAGAGGGAGATTATTATTATATATATACTTAAAAGCTTTTACATATCTTTATATGTCTTTATAAGCATCTATAAGCATCTATAAGTATCTATAAGCATTTATAAGCATTTATAAGCATCTATAACGTACATGTATAGCGAAAGCGCCAAACAAGCGAAAGCGCCAAAATGATGCGGTGACCAAACCCCCCAACTAAATGTTAAATTCCTCAACAACAAAACATGCCCCATAAAAACGATGAAAGCCAATTAGTGCTAGCTATCCAGGCTATGCAAAGCGACCCAAAGTTACGCCTTCGAGTTGCTGCTAGGATCTATTCTGTGGACCACCGCAAGCTAGGTCGTCGTCTAGAAGGTGTACCTTCACGACGCGATATCCAAGCCAACTCACGGAAATTAACTAACCTAGAGGAGTCCGTCCTTGTTCAGTATATACTCGACCTAGCTGCCAAAGGGTTTCCTCCTCGGCTGTCTGTTGTTGAAGATATGGCAAGTCGACTACTTGCAACACGCGACGCGTCACGCGTTGGGTCGCGTTGGGCTTCAAACTTTGTTAAGCGGCGTGTAGAGCTCCAGACACGCTTTCAGTGCAAATACGACTACCAGAGGGCTAAGTGCGAAGATCCAGAAGTTATTAATGGCTGGTTTGAGCTTGTGCGTAACACAATTGCGAAATATGGTATCGATGAAGCAGATATCTACAACTTTGATGAGACTGGGTTTATGATGGGCGTTATCTCAACTGCTATGGTTGTAACAAGCTCAGACGGGCGGGCAAAAGCAAAGAAGGTACAGCCTGGTAATCGGGAATGGGTTACAGTAATCCAAGGCGTTAGTTCTCAAGGTTGGGCAGTACCACCATTTATCATTGTTGCAGGCAAAAACCACCTTACATCTTGGTATGAGAATAGTGGATTTTCAAGCGATTGGGTGATTTCTGTTACTGAAAATGGCTGGACTACAAACGAGAGAGGCATGGATTGGATTCAGCACTTTGAGAAGCATACAAAGGCCCGGAGTGTTGGTGGTTATCGCTTGTTAGTCCTTGATGGTCATGAGAGCCACCACTCAGATGAGTTTGAGGAGTACTGCAAGGAACACAACATTATTACGCTTTGTATGCCTGCTCACTCTTCTCATCTACTCCAGCCACTTGATGTTGGCTGTTTCGGCCCGTTAAAGCAGGCCTATGGTCGGCAAATTGAAGATATGATGCAGGCTCATATTTCTCATATTACAAAGGATGACTTCTTTCCTGCCTTCCACGCTGCATTTAACACTACAATGACGGAAAGTAACATTTGAGGCGGGTTCCGAGGGGCAGGGCTTCTTCCATTTGACCCTGAGAGAGTGATATCTACACTTGATCTTAAGTTAAGGACACCAACGCCTCCAAGCTCCCGCCCAGGTACTGCTCAACCTTGGGTTTCTCAGACACCAAACAACCCAATTGAAGCTATGTCACAGTCTACATTTATTAAAACTCGGATTTCACGCCATCAAAATAGCTCTCCAACCTCAATCTATGCAGCTGTTGACCAGTTTACAAAGGGTGCATCGCAAATAATGCATCAATTAGCACTGCTAAAGGGAGAGAACCAAAACCTACGACAGGCAAATGAAGTACTAAGCAAGCGCCGGAGAGCTAGGAAAACACGACTACAGCAAGGAGGATCACTTAGTCAACAAGGGGCGCAAGAGCTACAGGATGAGAGGAATGTTGTGCAGCAGGTAGAGCAGGAAATAAGGGCAAGCCGTGGTCGGAAGCCAAGGGAAGAAACCCGTGCCCGTCGCTGTGGCAAGTGTGGTGAGACTGGGCACAATGTGCGCACGTGTCAGATTGTAATAGACACCTCTGAGGAAGAGGACTCCGAGTAGTTTCAATTGATTTCTAATGTTGTGGTAGATTTATCGCAATGTTTGTCGTGAGGGTAGATAATTTTGGCGCTTTCGCTTGTTTGGCGCTTTCGCTATACATGTACGTTAAGCAATTACATTAGTAATTTATCTTATCTTATCTTATCTTATTGCAACTTAGTCCTAATTAGGTAATGTATATACCTAAATAGGTTTAATACTTTTTCTAACTCATTAACTCATAAGTCTACTCGAGTTGGTGAGTTTGAGTTTGAGTACAGGTCTAAACTCAACTCAATGAGTTGAGTTTGGTTTCAAACTCATGAGTCTACTTGAATTGCTAACCCTGACCTATGGTATCTAGGTATTTACCTAGGTAATTTCCTACCTAGACTTATTATAAAATATCTAAGTATCTAGGTATTTTCAGATACATACCTAGATACTAGCCAAGAGTTGCCAAGAGCACTAAGGCGCACAAATACTAACGTCTAAAATCTTGTCTTCGTGCTTAATGTGGTGATAATTAGTGTAAAGATAAGCGACTCTCCATTGTCTAAGGCATTACGGGTGTAGCCTTAGCCACCAAGGTTACAACCGCTAAGCAGACAACTGTATGTTATGAGGAATAGCCTCACCTTCCTTCCTTCTTCTTCTTCTTCTTCTCTCTTTAGATTCAATCTAGATTACTTTTCCTGGACTGGCATCATGACCTCTATGACCATCGTAACAGGAACTATACTGAGTATGCTGCTGTTACTGCTCATTGGATTAATGAGAAATGGCAACAAAGGTCAAAGTTGCTTTCAAGATCCTATTCACAGCGGCAAGTACTTAGCTAAGCAGTTAGCTACAGTAACAGACAGTCTAGACATCACAGGTGCAATCTTTACATACACGTGAGACAATGCATCAGCAAACACTATGATGCTCTTAGAATATGAGAAGTTAGCAAACAACTGTCAAACATCAACTTAACAACCTTAGACATTTACTGTTAAAGAAGGTGACATTCAGTGCATTGCACATATTATAAATATTGCAGTACAAGCTGCTTTTAAGAGCTTAAAAGCTGACATAGATACAGAGACAGAAGCATACTGGTGTAAGCAAGGTGTAGCTCGGATTCCACATACTAGGAATACTTATGTAGAAGTTATGAACACTCTAGCAATATTACGAAGGCATATTTATGTATTCCGCAATCGATGAGCATAGAAGGATGCTTTATAACGGCAAACTAAAACAGCAGGCTTAAAGCCACAGCAGTTATCACTTGATATGCCTATGTGTTGGAATTCAACATATCATATGCTTCATACAGCACTAAACCTCCACATATCAATTATAGCAGTTTGCACAACACAGCAACTTGATATTAGTATGCAAGACATTGCATTAACTACAGAAGATTAGGCTATTATTAAGGATCTTGAACAACTGTTCTTAATATTCTTAAAACCATCAAGATGACTACAAAGTGATTCTTATCTAATGCTAAACTTTGCTATTCCACTTTATTTAAAAATGATAAATAAAGTTAAGAAGATGCAACATGATGTTGGCGAGCACTCTATAATTAGTATTGCGTACGCAGCTGCTTATCTAAAGCTTCATGAGTATTATACTCTTACAACAAACCAACAATGCAAGCACTCAGCTGTAGCTACAATTTGTGATCTACAGATGAATCATATCATATTTAAGAAGATTTATCTAGACAGTATAGATGATATACGAAGATCACGGGCAAGAGCTTAGTTTGAAGACGTCTATAGAAAATACAAGACATGACAATATCATCTTGATACAGAGCACATTGAGCATTAGGAAATGCAAATAACAGAGAACAAGAGCCGGATTCTAATGAAGACTTATTTGCATCAAGGCATATCATTTGAAGAGCCAAAATGGAAACGATGGATGCTTGAACCAAGAACGGACCAAAGCCACAAGGTCTGCCAACCACTGTGGGATGCAAACACAAGTGCGCCTTTCCGCTCCACGTGCATCCGACGCAGCTTGATTGCCGTGCAAAAGTAGTACAGGAGACAGCGCCGAACTGCAGCCTCACAGGCTCATGTCGGCGCCTTGCATCTCTGCAGCGCACTGAGCCTCATGAGACAAGAGGTTGCATCCCCTCGCAGCCCTGGAACAGAAGCGGGATTTTTTTGGGCGGGAATTGGCTTGGAGGCTTGGGACTGGGTTATTGGGGTAAGGATATAAGTTACGGAGTATATACGGTACTACAATACTCGTACAGTACTTTGGGACAATAATTGTTAAACGTGCAATGATCGTCTCCCCCCCTGTAGAAGTGTAGTCCAATAAAAACTAAAACAGCGTCGAGGTGGAACTACTACATGGGTCCCCTGTTACCAAAGAACGAGTACTACTATATACCTATATAATACCATGGTGCTGGGGAGGGAGCGGCGGTTTTGCGAAGGGAGTGGCGGTTTTGCGAGGAGGGAGCGGCGGATTTGCGAGTTACGGTGTGGGGAACATATATTAGACGGAGCGAACGGATGGGTATCTTTAAATATTGGTCTTCAAAACAATATCAGTACCTAATAGTTGCTCAAGTTGCTCGAGACCATCTGCCCCATCAGAGCGGGTATTTAGCAATGGCAGTGATATTATCACAAAGAAACGAAACAAGTTATCACCATTAACAATTAGCTATCTACTCTGCTTACGGAATTGGGGTCAGTTGCCAGATGCTAACAGCGACGGGGATGATGCAGATGATGAGGCTGAGAAATAAGGCTTAATTTGCAGTATTATATTTTGTTATATAGGTCGCGGGTTATCACTTCTATAGCCACATTTCATTGTCTACAGTAATTATCAAAGCTTCATTTTTCTTAATTGAGGCTCAAATTCCTGTTAAAGTATCTGTAAATACCTACCTTAGCTGGGCAAGGTCGCCTAGATACTTACCTTACCTGGTGAGGACCTAGATACAACCTGGGACACTGATTTATTTTGTATGAATCAATTAAATGTATACAACGAACATATATTCCTCAAACCGAACCAAGGAATCACTACCATTGAACATTCTTTGAGACATAGATTTAAGCTGAATAGTACGAATATTATCTTCTCCTTGTATAATAGCCTACAATACCCCTTTCTAACATTACATACCGTGGCATGACCGTATAATATACTCCCGCTGAAAAACTTCCCGACTCCATCCACATCATCGCATTTTATCATTCGAGGCTAGTCATCCTTATTGCTACCTGCAATATCGCCGCCGAAAAGACCGAGCCAGAAATCGAGCCACCACATCAGCCTCCAGTAGAAGCTGGCAAGCACCCAGTCGAATTCCCCGTCATCCTTCCTAGTCACCTCGCTCCCAATGATATCTCCAGTAATCCAGCTGATGACGGGTATGCTGGCAAGTAGTTTCTGCGAATAGCTTTGTTGTGGAAGCAAGGTATCTGATGCGGGCAGGAGCTGCATTTTCTTCGCTGTAGGAATGCGTCGGCAGAACACATCGTCATCCTTACTCCTGGCAGGTAATTGAGGTCCACCCGTGAGGGTTGAAGTTGATTGTGTCTCGCTAATCGTCACGGTATCCAAAGTAACCTCACTCGTATCTGGACTTGGGGGGCTAGGAATACTAGCCCACCTGCCTGCACTTGACACCGTCGAATTCCTCGGCAAGCTTCCAAATGGCCTGTCCCTCCCCGCCGCAGACCAGTCTTTCCTGCCAGCCGCGGCCCCGAGTGTATGCCTTTCCTTCCCTCCATACCCCGGCGCTGGCACTGCGTCGAGCTCTGTTGGTGGTCCGCCTCTCCACAACTCTGCGTAAACACTGAATCCCATAATCGTTTGTGGGCTTTCTTCAATCGCCACCTCCGCTGCTTCTTCGCTTTCGAATGTGATCTTGATCCAGTTTTCGCCACCGGCAAAGCTTAAAGCTTTCGCCCTCTCTTCTGGCGTCAGGGTTCTGGCTCTCAGTGCGGTGGGATCTCCGCGACCGGCCTTAAACTTTAGCTGAGACAGAGCTGGGTCCCGTGGGTAGTCTTCGAGAATCGTGCCCGCAAGAGTCTCGTAGTAGGAAATGGCTGCATATTGTTGTGCGCTGGGAAATCCACGGAGGATGACTTCGGTTGGGATGCGGTGGACGGGGTGGTGTACGAGGTTCGGCTCATGATCCGTGTCACTGTTGCGATCATGTTGCAACACAGGTTGTGTGAGGCTTCGCTGCGAACCTAAGGGCCGGCGAGATTTATCTGTGGCCGAAGTGCCTGAGGGCGTCGGTTTTCTGGTGAATTCGGCCACGTATGAGGAGAAGATCGCATCTGCAACAAGAATATTCGGGTCTTCTTTCCTTGCTGGCGTTCCTGTCTTTGAGCGCGAACGCCTGACCGATCGTCCAAAGGAGCCGCTTTCGGGGATGGGCTTGCGTGCGCGGGTGTTGTGTTGGGTTTCCGAGCTGTGGGAGTTGAGGTCAGCAAAAGGTTCAGCAGGGTAATCGGCCTGGTCGTGGCGATATCGAGGATGAGATGGAAATCGAGGAGGACATACCTAGGGAAGACCATCGCATATGGGCGCTGGATCCCGTCTTCTCCTACATATAACTCGTCGTCCGGAACATTGTGGAGAATGAGAGGAGGCATCGCGGCTGTTTATATTATGGGAAGGGCGTATAAACAAAGAAGCACCTAGATGGCTGCGATGTGAAGCAGTTGTGAGGGGACAAAATCGGATCTGTTGCTGAGGTCGCTGTCGCAGCGATTTATTGTTGATGAACTTCGCGATTTCTGCTGATCCCTGGAGCAACGCGATTCGTCGCCCTGCAGGGGTTTAAGGGAAGGAGTTATTCCGTACCGAGCCGCCTATGTCATAGCTCCACAACGTCGACATCAAGGTTAATACCATTTATTTACAACCCACGACTGTGAGAAACATTAGAACAATTAAAACAATCAATTGCTATTAGATACTTCAAGATGTTTAGATTTGTAAGTATGGGGCCATCTTGGGGTCGAGAATGGAGCTAACAGCCAACCAGCGCAAAGGCCTCGACGTGATTACGCTGTTCCACAGCCCAACAGCCCCAGCTTCGATGAGAGTCCACAGTCTCTTGAAGCAAGCTTCAGCGGCCGCAGGAGAGACAGCTACAGAGGACCAAGCGAGTGACCACACGCAACAGACAAAGAGCAGCGTACAGACGCAGTTCGAGCTCAACGTTATCGAAGACGCCCCGACCCCGGATCAGCTGAAGAGCATTCTCGAATACGTCGGAGCGAATGGAGCCGGCAAAGTCGTCCAGGGCGCAACGAGTGAGAAGGATGCCTTTGCAAAGTGGAAGAAGGATAACGGCAGCTTCCAACGGCCATTGGTAAGCTCCCAGCGGTTGGAATAGCGTGGCGTGGCGCAGGCTGACAGAAGGTAGACGGTCGACTGGAACAACGGAAAGGTGGTGGCAGGTGCAAATGAATCGGAGATTCGGAAATTGTTGGAATCGCTGCCAAAGGAATGATTTTGAATTTAGCGTTCCCACACCGGCGGCATTTCCCGCCTGTCTCTCGATACCTCAAGTGAAGGTGGCTCGAGAAGTGTTGTTATATAGATTGGTGAATTTCACTCCACTCTTTCCAGGCTCACGAGCAAATCAAGTAAATAGCGAACCCAGGGTGGTTTTGAATGTGCTGAGTCAACATGCTTCTTTCAATTCTTGGTGGGGACCTGTGGTAGCTTTCGTGATCAATAACAGCCTCTGTCATATTTCCAGCAGTCTCATAATTATAGTCTGTTTGCAGCGTTGGTTATATGGGATCGGGTACTGACTGAGGTGTGTGGCTTCATACGGGCTGCCGTTTGGAGAGAAAAGTGAAATATAATCCAAGCACTTGCAGCTTGAGTCGAGGAGGATTAATGAGCCTGCTATTATCAGAAGCAAGAAGATGCCGGTTATCTCATTCTCGTCAAATCCACCGTGGCGCTGTCGCGCCTTCCCATCTCGTCAAGAAGTGGAAGTGATTTTTTTTGTTCTCTTTGTTGGCTTCTGCTCCTTCCTTCTCTCCTGCCTCCCTCCTGCCTTGTTTACTTTTAGAATTGCACAACTGGGTGGCACCTTCCTGTTGGATACTTGGCACTCAACGCTTGATGTTTGACGTGGACGCGTCTTCCCTCTCTACTCTTTCTTTCTTAACTTTCTCTTTCAACTTCTCTCTCAACTTCTCTCTCAACTTCTCTCTCAACTTCTCTCTCAAACTTCTCTCTCAACTTCTCTCTCAACTTCTCTCTCAACTTCTCTCTCAACTTCTCTCTCAACTTCTCTCTCAACTTCTCTCTCAACTTCTCTCTCAAACATGGTCGACACAGCGTCGTAACTATTGCATTCAACACAGAAATCCGCTTAAATTGGCTTGACAGTTCTGTGCCATCTATAAGAAGGCTCCAGGTTAGTGCTGTTTATCCACTCCAATTATAAACCATGTTCTCAACACCCAATGCAGATAAACTCAGCTTCAGCTTCAATATCTGCAGCTCGTGCCTTCCGATCTGACCTACATGATGAGTGTATGTTATCCCTGGTTACCAGTCTAAGCTTCATTTCTAATCTCCTCTTTCGGATTTCGTCCCACAGATGCTACCCATGGCACCGTTAATGCCGCCTAATGGCTTCATTGAGCTGCCTGTCGTCCCAGGATATGTGCCTCCTGAGCTGTTTACCAATTTCCCGCTAAATGCTCCTGCTTTCTTCTCGACCAACCTCAGATCACGCGCTATTCGACTTGTACCGAAACCGGCACCACAATATGCGGTCCGAACCAATGATCCAAACGATATTTACGAAAGAGCTAATTCCTATCGAGATAAATATCCAGATTTCGTTCATACTATCCAATCTTTGCCGATTGCCTGGGACGATCTATACACTTATTTTGACCCCTTGGATATCTGGATGGAGGGAGCCGGCTTCTGCTTCCACGTCATCCACCGTCTCGCAGGCACCAATATCGAGAAGAGACGACAGATAGAGTCATTTGTCAACGAATGGTCTGTAGTCAATCTCGCAAAGCTTGCCAGAGTGCCCCCCAACACGCCTGTCATAGCGGCATTTGAACCCGAAGATTATCAGTACTTCGACTTCGACAACTTGGCTCCCACCGACATTGTTGATGTATGCAATTTTCTTGCTCAACGGTGCTATGCTCTGCAACCACAACTCCATCTTATCAGAGAAGGCCTCGCCCGGTCCGTGGAAATTGATAGAAATAATTTTGCTCCCCCAGGTTAGTTAAGATCAACAAATCATCGCCGCACTATGCTATTTGCCACCATTTGAGCGAAAAATAACAAAATTCCCGGCAGTTCCAACTCGATCCGGCCGAAAGGCCCAACACCAGATTCCATGGCAGGAATCTCCAAATTCAGACGCAATAGGGCTTGGGATTGCTTCTGCTAGAGAGTCTACTGGAGAATATCAGCACCGGCGTGAAGTCTCGTTCGAAAAGAATTGCGGCATTGTGAGGAGAACGGATATCCCTACGCTCCCATATATACTAACTATTTGTTAAGGTCCGATACCCTCAATGTTCGCAGACGAAAATCGAACCGATTTACACGTATAATCCGCATAGAATCTCTCGGAGTGGACCTGTGGCTCTGGCCGGGCCGATTCTAACGGCCGTTACGCCACCTCGCGACTTCAAAGACCGAGCATTGGCCAACGATGACGACCAGAATCGAGTAATATCTGGTTCCAAGCCTAGAGTTAACCGGAACAGGGCCTATTCAAATGTGTCCAGGAACAAAACCTTTACAAAGTACGAGGCTGTAGCACTCGTTGAAGTCAAAACTGCCATTCTAGATCCACAGAATCCTGCGGGGAAAAATTATTATATTCAAAACTCCGCGAAACTCATGAACACCGTAATCGAAGAAGGCCGTTCGATCTATATCAGGGGATTTACAGACGATGAGTTCACTTCAGACCTTGTTCCAACAATGATGGAGTGTTGCGGAGAGATCGGGGAATATAGACCCATCAAGGGCTTTGCATTTATGACGTAAGTTATTGAACCCTCGGCCATGTTTTCGTTGCCTTTACGCGGATTCTAACCCTTGGTTTTAGCTTCAAAGCCCATACGAGCGCTACAGAGGCAATCCGACGCTTCAATGGATTCTTTTATGATGGCGGAGTATTGATAGTTGCACCCTATCGGAGAAAGGCCGAGTTTGATAATCGGAATGGGCCAAATCGCTACCAAGGAGACTCGTTTAGAGGCAACCAGCGCTACATGAACGATCATACTGGAGATCCATCCGAAGCTGGTGAGCACAGGCGAACTTATAAAACCACTGAAAGAGATCAGAATGCCAGTGTTTCAAACAATGGAGCTCAAATGCCGAGAAAAGAATCTAGCACACCTTCAAAACGACACAATACGCCGTCCATACAGAATCTTGCGATTAAGAAGACATATATTGAAAGTGGCACTATGCCCAGATGTGGGAAGGGACCGACAAGTTCAGGCCAGTCAACCAAGACGACGAAGTCTGTTGACACAGGCAAATTACGGTAAGTAATGCCCATACCTACAATTTGGCAGATACTGACTGCATACGACAGAAGCGACAGCATCTCAGACATTCCAACCAAGAAGGGGTCATTTGTTTCTGAAGACCTCTCTGTACCCGAGGAAGGAAAATATGGGACCTCATTCAGCAGCTATAGTTCATCCTTTACTCACAAGGAAAGCATATTTGATGAATCGCCGGCGGAGACCTTGCTCTACCACACCATGAAAATTTTTGAGAGCTCGTTTGGCAACAAGGAAAGTTCTATTACCAGCGGCGTTATCTCAGTTTCCCCCGAGCGTCGTGATCCCAGCTCGACCATGGGAGAATCGGATAGGCTTGGAAAAAAGAAAAAGAAAAAGCTTAAGAACATCGATTTTAATGTAATACCCACTGCTGGCACTGGCCACTCAACACGCAAGATGACGGGTGAGGCGATGAGTGCTGAGGCATTAAAAGCTGAGGGCGTATCTGATGCAAACAACGACGACGCTGGCTCTTCTAACCCCCTGAAACTGGATTCTAAGACAAGAGACGAAGAATCCTCCACGCAGCCTACTTCAAGTAAAAGCCTGACAGGAATCGGCGAGTTTGGAGGCAGAGCACCTTTGAAAAGGCCGACGAAGGTAAACCATGGTTCTCCTAGAAAGTTAACCACGGACGAGGGGTCGCCCAGATCCTCAAAGAAAAAGCATGGCAAGACGGACAGTAATACCTCATCTTTTGGTATCGAAGCCAGAGTGAAGAAATATGAAGGCTACGAACCAACTACGAATGAGATTACTTACAACGCTGGTGAGGCCCCTCAGTCAGAGGCTAGAAATCATGTGAAGGTCAAGTTTTTTAAAAGAAACAAGTCCAGCATCGACCTCAAAGAGAACACACACTCCGAGCGTGTCCTTCCAGCTACAGAGGTCAATATACTTGCCGACCCCACACACTGGCCGAGTCTTGGAGAAGGGAAGCCCAGTTGCCATGGTCATGGCCATTCAACCGTGGCGCCGTTGAACCCCGCGCCGGATGGATGCTTGGTGACAGCGAGGAGGAATTCTATGGCAGCTATTATTTCTCAAAAAACTAGAATCGTTCCTGCAGTACCACTGCTTCTTCGATCCGTGACAATGGCCGAGACGAGGTCTGTCAGCAGTGATTCAGCCAAGAGGTATTTCATTATCTATATTTCCATCCCTAATTTGTTTTCTGACATAATTGCAGCGACGACACGATCATCACTGTCGCCAACACCACAGGGACCAGACTCTGGCCTGCAGTAGTGAAGTGGGCCGGGAAGCCTCCGAGCACAGACGTCGTTGAAAACCAGCCCGAAGCAGCCGACCCCGCCAGCTGCCCGTAGTATTATATTTGACAAGTGGACGTTGCTATCTTCTTTTGCGCCCGGGATTAGTGAGAATGGAAGGGTAGGGGCCATGAGCCTGAATTATAAATAGATGCCTTGAGCACGTACGAAACTGGCGGCAAATAGTGGCTACACCAGGTCGGCTTTTAAAAGGGGGAGTCAGTGAGTGGGATCCGAATGTTATTGTAGTACGGAGCGCATACAGATGAAGAATTCATATGGCTTCCAAGATGGCTTCATTTGACCTAGAGCAAGGGACGTAGAAAACACGATATTTGTCAATTGATTTACATACTAAAATTCCCCATTCTACCAATATTTTCAAGGAGCATCTCCCATACACCCCTTCTAATTTTGGTATCGATTCCAAACGCCCGCTTCCCATGTCATAAGACCAGACCAACACATTAGAATTTTCCTTCAAGCCTGATATCCCTTGAGCTACTCCCAACCCTTATCGTAAACGCCCCGTCAACAGGCATAACCCAGTTTTGCTCCCTCACATCCCAGAAACTCAGATCTCTTCGAGTTAACTTGAAGTGTACATCCTTCACCTCTCCCGGCGTCAATTTTATCTTCTCAAAGCCTCTCAGCACTTTAACCGGGAAGTCACTCATATCAGTGTCGAACCAGCCACCTCGTCTCATCCCACCCATGGAGTCGCTAGGAACTGGGGACTTAGGGTATGATAAATACAATTGCGCAACTTCTGCGCCGGACACCCCACCAGTGTTTTTCAGGGTCACGGACACGGTAGCGTGGACGTCGAAAAGTGATGGGTTGCCACCCTCGCCGCCACCGGCTTGGGATGCCAGCTGTGTCGTGTTGTAGCCATCTGGGTATGGATATGACCCTGTAGTAATACCCGATACGTTGTTGATGTAGGGGTAAATGTACTTTGCTAACCTTCTGAATCCAGAAGGGTAGAGCGCAGATGAGGGGTCGGGAAGTGTTTGATCATAAGTTGGCGGAGCTGTGGCATTTGGCCGCAGGTCAGGTAGTGCCGACTTCCCCTTGACGGTAGTGACTTGAATATCGCTATACTCAAACTTGGTGTAGGAGAGACCAAATCCAAACTCGAAGCGCGGTGTGATGTCATATTTGTCAAAGTGTCTGTAGTCGATGTAGATGCCTTCAGAGAAGTTCTGCTGTGGGATCGGCGCATTGGGCAAATAGAGAACCTTGGCTCCACTCCCATAATCGTCAAGACTCTTTCCGATTGTATATGGAAGTTTACCGCTCGGGTTCGCATCGCCGAAAAGGATATCGACGAGGGCATTGCCGCTTTCTTGGCCAGGAAGATGAGCCATAACCACGGCTTTCACGCCGGGAAGATCAATCCAGCTTTCCATCAACACAGGGCCAACGGCGTGGACAACGACAACAGTATCGCCTTTCCCGCCACCACAGCCGTTTGTTACCTGCTGGACAAGCTTATCGCCATCCTTGTGTAATTTGAGGTCATTTCGATCGCCCGCAATGCCATCGGATTTCTTGTAGCCCTCGCCCGAGTCAGCGTTCACGAACACGATACAAATATCTTCGTCCTTCAGCATCGACGAGCTTCCTGGCGGGGCCTTGTTGGTCAATGAGTCGGCTACGTCGACTTTGGCCTTATTGACGGCCGCCTTGATCGCAGAAACTGGCGTAATGAGATACGGAAACTCAACGGCCCCAGAGCCCCATCCAGATCCTAGAGTTCCCTGGTTACAGGCACGATCCTCGCAAACATTTGGCCCATTGCCAGGCCCAGAGTCTTCCCCGAATATGCCAATCCTAAACTTCCTGTCCTGTGTCGAATCCTCTGGCCAGCCCACACGGCTAAGGGGCAAGATGCCGCTGTTTTTGAGCAACACCGTCCCTTGTATTGCCACCTCCTTTGCGATTTCGGCGTGGGAATTTTCCTCTTCGCCTTGAACATTGACAAACTGATTGACTATTTGAAGGCTGTTGTCATCTGGGCTACCATGGTGAAGACGTCCTTTGGCATCATTCGTCCACGACGAAAAGTTTGGCCCCTTTCGGTCAAATTTAGATCCGTCATCCTGTCCGAGTTGGTACCATGCTGCGACAATACGGGTCACCATATCATTCAACCGAGATACAGGCACAGAGCCATTGAGAACCGACTTGGTAAGTTCAGGGCCCCAGAGCGACTGGCCGTTTGCCCATACAAGACCATCTCCTGGCATGCTCATGTCTAACCCTGCCAATGTACTCGCCACCCCAGCTCGCTGCGCCAGCCAGTCGGACTGGACGAATCCTTGAAATCCGAGTTCATCTTTTAGAATGCCATTTATCAACTTGCTATTGGCGCAAGAGTATGAGTTATTCGTCATCTGGTAACTGCACATGACACTTGCAACGCCCGCTTTAACGGCATCAGCAAATGGCCATAGATAGAGCTCGTGCAAAGTCCTGTCGCCAATGTTTGAGCTGAGGGCATTTGGGATGGCCCATTCCCGAGCCTGCCGAAAGTGTTCTTGCTCATTCCCAATGTAGTGCTTGATTGTAGCCATGACTCCTTCGCCCTGGATGCCCTTGACCGTCTCGGCGGCAGCAACGCCCTGGAGGTACGGATCGGCTCCAAATCCTTCCCAGTTCCTGCCACCTGCAGGCATGCGCCCAAGTGGCCCAACGCAGGGGCCAAGGAGAACATTTATGCCCTTCAAGCGCGCTTCCTGACCGTGCGCTTTCCCCCTTGCATACATCAACGTTCTGTTCCACGTCGCGCCAACCGTCAACCCCGCCGGGAATGCTGTAGCATTGTCGGCAAATCTAATGCCCAGAGGCCCATCTTGGAGCGCCAGGCTCGGGAAGCCGACATGTGTAGCTGGTGCAGTGTTGCCTACTGCGAGGCCCATCTGCCAGCCTACTCCGGTCGAGACATTTACTTTTTCCGGCAGTGTCATCTTCTCAACCAGTTTCGCAGCTTTGGCATAGCTCTCTTTCCACGGCGTGTCGATCTCTCCTCCGAGTGGGGATGGGTACCATGGCGGCGACTCGCCGTCCAGCGGCACCATGTTGTAAACCCACCATCCGCCCCCACCACCCACGATTCCGATTATAATGACCACCACGGCGATCATGAGGCAGCATTTTGAGCGGCGGGTGCAGCTCCGGCGGAGCTTCGACAAGGGCTTCATTTCGGAAGGCTCCGTAGAAGGTGGGGTTGCATCGAGGTCGGAATCGGAAGAGGATCGATAGGCTTGGTCGAGCGACGGCCGCAAGAGACCTTCACGACTCTCATTGGCACCGTCCGTGGCTATGTTTCGAACCATATCGTACAAATGCCAGTTATATCAACAACCACCGCGGCAACACTACTGAACATGTGTTGCTATTCAGATGAGGCTATCCACAATATCCACGATACCACGATTGAACCCACAGCTGAGTCCAACCCTAGCTTTCTGGTGCACGGGCGCCTTGGTGGCAGCTTTGTTTGCGGCCCCACTTGTTGACGAACTTGTTATCCCCTTACAAACTGTGTGTAGACGTATGCGTTGATAATTTGCGATCGTTAAAATAGGATGTGCGTAAAGGGAGACAAGATGCTACTTACATATCGGGGTGAGGAGGATAAGAATTTGAGAAATAAGTGCTAGACGTGAATTCTGTTGGTTCCGCATACTTATTGTCCTCGTGGCGTAAGAACCAAACTCCTAGATGGAGTTTAATAGAACCCCTTTCGATGGAAAACTTTGTTAGTTAAGATTCTAACAATCATTCGAAAGACTGACCTTTTTATACTTGATACCCTCAGCGATGTGAACAAATGTAACGACGCCAAAAAAGATAGCGGCAACGAGCGCAGCAGCAAAAGACGGGTAGTAGTTATATTGGGCATTGCAGTTGCCTGGTGGAACGTATCCATTTGAATCTGGCGTGGCTGTTGGGCTGCATTCGGCGATATCGAGTGTAATGATTTTAGCTGCAACTGTCTAGTCTAGAATGGTGATGGGGTCGATTGTAACAAACTGAGTACGAGGAACCAGAGTAGTAATAAAAGTAGTAATAGGAGTGGGAAGAAACGTGGAAGCATCTGTCTGTGTCGCCTGAAAACTAAGAGCTGCGGAGCCAGTCGCCGACATCAAAGCGATGAGGAAACAGGTGATCTGTTCTTCTGATTAAGAAGGAACATTGCTAGAAAAGAAAATGTATGAGACAAATTAGAGCCAGATATTGGAAGGTATATGCTCCGAGGACAAAGCCATTATAGAGGAAGGAGAAAGCTTATATACTGTTGAGAGTATATGCGTTACCTACACGCAAGTACATCATTGGTGTGAAAGAACGAAGATGCGGACGACGACGACTACGACGAAACCAGCATTCCGTAAAATAAGTGAGGAGGGGGTAAATCGACGCACCTACAATTTTAAGACTGGATGCCAGACATGCAAGTAGGCCTCCTCCTCAACCCCTCTGCATCTGGCACTCTGCAATATTAATATATGCATATATAGAATCCGACGAGTCATGCGATGAATCCAAACCCGCATGCCAGCGCTGCATCAGCACAGGTCGAAAATGCGACTGCTATGTCTCCGATATCCTTCCCTCGAACGCACAGGACCAGCATTCACTCCCCAGAACACCAGCTAACCCCCCCCGCAGGCAAAGCAGAAGCTGCCGCAACCTGCCACAAACGCCGCAAAAGAGACGACGAAGATATTTAGGCAAGCGTGATCGTTCCCCCAGTTGTCTCCTCAATATCTTTAATAAGCTCGTAGACGGGTGTGACAAATCCACATTCTGTACTCTTTTCGGCAGCGAATAGCATGCCCACCCACTCCTTATCTAAATTGAATACCAACGATCCTGAATCCCCCCCCCTTGCAAATTGCTCACCTGAATGCAACGATTTGCATTCGTATTCATCGGAGAACAAGCCGTTACCCCACGAGATATTCCGCTGGATCCCATTGAACTCTGCAGCGGTGCACTTAGAGGTTCGGCCGACCTTCCCGTACCAAGTATTCGCAATAATGGTGTTAGTTCCCGAGACAGTTTCACCTTCTTGTGCAACATAGCGAGGTTCGATCCTAACAAAACACTCATCTTTAAACTGTTCTTCTATTGGTAAGAGGTTTTGCACCAGGAGTGCGGGATCGAGTTCTACCAAAGCCCAGTCCATCCTTCGACGATTAGCCAGCAGTCGATAACCTGACGCAAATTTGACTTGGCCAATAGGCCCCCGAGCAGCAATTTGGCGAAGACGTTCAATGATATCATGATCTTTTTGAGTCCCTTGATTATGTGCGACGCGAGCCATACAAACCCTCCTTGTTTGTATAGAATCGTATCTGGCCGGGTAATGAATGTTGATTTGGGCATCAACCCTCCTCCCGTATAAACCAATACCACGGGAGTCGTTAACTTCTTTCCCAGCTGGGTCGCCGGGTGCTATCACATGGTAGCAGGTGAGGAAGCATCTTTTCACCTCCTCTTCACGACCGTCACGAAAGTTCACTACAACACCAAGAGTTCCTGCTGCATCTGTACTCAACGCTGGCGCAATCGATGACCCGTTCGATGGAACCATTGGTATGCTGCTTACCCTCAAATACTCCAGCGCATCCTCAGATGGCTGTGCAGGTAAAATCCGCCCTGGTAGTATCTCAATAGAAATAGCAACCTCTCCATTAAAAGTAGTAGATCTGATGACGTTGGCAATGACTTCTTCAAAGTCTTGCCATGCATAAATCGTGCCTGGTTCAATAAAAACAATGGCTGTGATTTTCTTTTCGCTGTTGTAGAACGGAGCTCTGCGGTTGTGGTATGCGATCGATGTCCACTTCCCAGGGCAGTATTGCTCAACAGCAGCCAAGACAGACGGCTGAATTCGAGTAATAGTGTTGACTGCAGCATCGTCCCTGATAAAGTCGGAAACATCCCAGTACATCTTTTCTTCGTTGCGGATCTCTACTCTCATTTGGATTTGAGACGATGTTGCCTCGGTCTCGACCATCTCATAGATCTCCGAAGCCGCCATTTTCCACGATGCATTAAACTCGTCCTGAGTTCGGATGAGGATGATGTCTTTGGCCTTATCCGGTGTGTTTTGAGCAGCTAGGTTGTACGTGCCCATCATGCGCGTTGCGATATTGAGAGCTTTTAAAATATTCCATCTGCCTACTACAGCATGAATCGGCTAGTAACTTCATAGCAACCGGGTTGGTAACTATTCATAAACACAATACCTATAGAGGCTTCTTGAAGGCTATAGAATACAAAGACGCTAGCGTGCTTATAACCACTTTAGCTACCCGCCTATAATTATCCAACCTCAACCTCACTCTCTCACTCTACCTCTTTCAGGAACTCGAAATAACACAACACCAACCATCTGAACTACACTCAAATACGACGACAAGATGAGTGTGTTGAAGCGCAGGTTCAACCCAGAGCAAACTTCTGACCAAATTTACAATACTGAAAGTATGTATATAATCTTCACTCTCATCACTTTGCGAGACTTGCGAGTACGTTTCGAATACGCTGCTCAAGGCGATCAAAGACCGTACGCCCAGCTTGTGAAGCCTTCTTGACGACCCAGGGGAACGGAACGGGAATCTTGTAGCTAGGAGCTACGCGGTAGATGTCTTTGCAAGCATTGTATAACTCGACCGAGCAATATCCAGCTATTATTGTGTTAGTATAGTAGCAAAGTGATGAGAGTGAAGATTATATACATACTTTCAGTATTGTAAATTTGGTCAGAAGTTTGCTCTGGGTTGAACCTGCGCTTCAACACACTCATCTTGTCGTCGTATTTGAGTGTAGTTCAGATGGTTGGTGTTGTGTTATTTCGAGTTCCTGAAAGAGGTAGAGTGAGAGAGTGAGGTTGAGGTTGGATAATTATAGGCGGGTAGCTAAAGTGGTTATAAGCACGCTAGCGTCTTTGTATTCTATAGCCTTCAAGAAGCCTCTATAGGTATTGTGTTTATGAATAGTTACCAACCCGGTTGCTATGAAGTTACTAGCCGATTCATGCTGTAGTAGGCAGATGGAATATTTTAAAAGCTCTCTATATATTTCGCCGAGAGGCTTCGAGATAGCCTCTATGACTATTACGTCGTTAGACAGTCGCTAAGTTAGAGGCTGAGTCACGGTGTAGTGGGCAGATGGGACCCTTCATGGACCCCTTTTCTTGAGTCACTATGGTCTGTAACTTTCGAGATAGCATCTATGGATATAGGTCGATGAATAGTCACCAGCCTCATTATCACGAGGCTAGAGAGGCTAAATCATAGCTTAGTAGGTAGATGGAATCATAAAGCTTCTCCCTTTCTATTGCCACCTCGCTCCGAGGCATTCGAGAGAGGCCCCATGGGTATAATACCGATGTATAGTCAGTCACTCACCTCATTCCCATGGGCTGACACCCACTCCCCGCGATGTTATAGTAGAACCTCCAAAAAGAATACTCTGTGGTAAAACCACTAGACTAGCACCATGGCCTCTATGGCCATCGTAACACTTTCAAGCCTAATGGCAAACAGCACAATCCTAACAAGGAGCGACAGCTTTAAGAACGGCTCTGCTAGCGTGAAATTACAAGCAATTAAAGAAAGGGAACAGTAGACAAAAGTATATCAAACAGCTTAATGCCACTTGGCAAGGACAGAGCAGACAACTTAACACCACATTTATCAGAACACCTAGTTAGGTCATGAACGGTAAAGACACTGAAGAGGGAGGCAACACAAGCAAAGGGTCAGAACCAGAATCGCTTACCCCCTTAGAACAAGAGACTTTTGGCAAACTAGCGCCAAAACCACCTCTACCCCTACAATGTGTAAAGATTGTGCGAACTATGACTAAGTTTGCATATGAGAAAATCAAGGAGAGCAAGAAAGGGCCTAATCTAGAGAGAAAGGTTCCGATACTCAAGGCTCTATATAAGAACTCACTTTAGAAGCTTGCATGCCAAATCTTAATAGAGGATCGAAGGGGTGGCTTGTAGAACTACTACAACTACTTAAACAACACTTGTAGGATGTTGGTGGTTCTAAGACAGTCATTAAGATGGAGGACCACTAAGAAGAATGGCTTAAGACAAGCATTTTGCAAATGACCAAGTTTAAGAGTTCAACAGTAGTCAAGAACTACTACTAGGAACGCATAGGAGACCTAGAGTAGGCTAACGACAGAATGTGGGAGATGATTCATAGAGAAGGCACAAAACCCATTACATGCCTAGAAAGGAGAGTGATAGAACAACTCAGTGTGTTAAATAGTATGAACCCGTATACTGCCAAGCACTTTTCCTGACATCATAGAGTCTTAGCAGGTCCCAAAATAGGAAAATTTGGGATAAATAAACATTGTGTTACTGAGGTTATTATCATGTTGGTACAGCAACTATCACGCACATGCTTTATGCTGGCATGTGCATTCCTTGGCAGTATACGGGTTCATACTATTTAACACACTGGAACAACTTGACTCCTTATCTACACTACGAAGGATCGAAAAACCATAGGTTAGAGGTTAACGGGAATGGGTGATGATGGATGCAACAAAGGCTAATCACCCCTAGCACTATTACATCTACTAGGAATACTGTGGCTAGGATGACTATAAGTATCATTTACAGAAAAAAGAAAAACACCAGTTTTTCCCTGGATGACAAGTATGATGTTTACTCCTCTAACGATTCAAAAAACTAGGGGTCATCAATGGTAGGCCACTAGCAAGCAACACAAAGAGACCTAGTACGAACTAGCTATGTGCCACGACAGGTGGCATGTAGCTATTTGTGGTTGCTAAGATACAACAGCAACACCTCTAAGCTATAATAGACTTAGGAGTAACGGGCAACTTTATGATGAAAAAAGTAGCAGCACATACAGTTTCAGGACGCAACTAAAGACTGACCTCTATTAATGGTTGTAGATAGAGAGCCTATCTTAACTAACAACAGAATGGTAACCTACAATACAGTCCTATTAGAAATGGTCATGCTATGTAGACACTGTTACGGATATGGTAATGTGATGTCATGGTTACAGGGCTAGTGGGGCTAGGCTCTAGTAACGTGACCTATAAGTCACAAGGCTAGCGTTTACAGTGTAATGGTGGGTGCACCAGATGTGAGAATCTAGCCACCCAAGGAAGGGATGAATTTACTAAGACAACACACTGTCTTAGGAAACAGAGCCAAAGGGTTGTAGCTTAGACTATTCCACAACGCAGCAATCAGGTGTGTGATGTAGTGAAGTGGTTCAGACAAGTTGCAACAAATGTTGAGTCTGGGAACTCGGGGGTAAGTCAGAGGTTAACACCTCACTGACTTTTCAGAAACAAGGAGTAACAAGATGAATGCTTGGAAGCTTGGAAAAGACGTGGAAGTATGTGATAGTCGATTTACTGTATTGTCTGCTTGCCCTTTCTTAAGGAAAGGGCAATCCTATTTATGCTAAAGGAATGTAGTTCTCTCATTTTCCAAGACTTTCCATGACTTACCAGGCTTGGTAACTGTAGTCGACGTAAGAGAATCCCATAGAACCATCTCTTAGGTTTGTAGCCTATAGGAAGTAAAAGGAGGTCCAAGGTCAGAGTACTCCTATAGACAAATTATGTCATAGACAAATTATGTCATAACTTAACCAATCTTGTGGGTAACTAAAGAGCGATGACATGTAATGAATCATAGAGGTTCGTAGGAGCTTTTAGAGCTATCGTTCATGCTCCTAGGCCTCTAGTTGGTAGAGATATGTCATGTGGTAGTATGAGTGATGTCATGTAATGAATCATAGAGGGTTGTAGAGATATGCTATGTGGTAATATCGGCCCAGTAACTAAGGAGCGATGACGTGTAATGAATCATAGATGGTTGTAGCAATCGTTGAGTAGTATTGCTCTTGTTGTTGGTGTGATAAGCCAAAATATGTATAGTGACTTGTAGGTTTGAGGAGGAGATTTCCAAGTTTGCTCTTGAGTTTGATAGCAAACTGAGTGCAACGAATGTCAGTATGACATACAGCCACAACCCCATGTGGTGGATAGTAGAGGATATGATGGATATTAGTTATCTATAATATCCTCAATATCACATGTGATTGATAGCAGAGGATATGATGGATATTTGTTATCCATAATATCTCTAATATCCCTTTGGCACAATGCTACTATATAAGTAGATAGTATTCCCTTAGATAGGAGCTTCGTGCTCAACTCAATATAGTATTCTTTACAATACTGTAACGTGTTACTTAGAAAGCCTTTGTGTTTAATCCCCTGCCTCCTCTGTTAAGTCAACCTTACATAAGAAACCTCTATGTCTTCTATCATTTAGAAGTTAGTGTTACAGACACAAGGAAACGATATAGTTTGATATCGTACACATAGACAATCATGTATGCATCCTTAGTGTGCTGTGTCTTAAGAAACACAGCCCCTAGATCGACTAGGAGAATGAGAAAGTTGTAATGAGCTAGTGTACGTGTGAACAACGAACAGACACAATGTAAAGGGAGAGATCCTCCTAGGACTAGAAGGAGTTATGTGCAACTGCTAAGTCTAATGACCTAGCCTAGGCATCCTTACTAAATCAAATACCAGTGGAGTATAAGGAATACAAGTAGTTATTCTAGGAAGTCCCTAAGAAAGAGCGGATCTATGCACCGTTAATATAGATGGAATCATGGCGTTGATCATGCTGAAGTGGACTTGTGGAAGGAAGGAGTGCGTGGAACGACCATGGCTAGCTCACTAGCTACTGCGTTCTGCTGATTTGCATCATAGAGAAGTCTTACTAGATTTGTGATATCATTTTTGTATTACTCTTTGTTGTTGTTCCTCGAATCCGGACACTCAGCTGGAATAACTTCCACCTTAGCGCTCTATAGTGTTCTCGTCTTGATTCACTCTTCGAGAGGTCATAGTGGAAGTTGAAATTGTAGGCCATCCCTAGTTTATAGCTAGAAATCTACTGACTTATTTAGCCATCGCCTAAAGTCGCCATTCTCCGTTTCGACCGGGGCATGCAGCAAGGTCTTCTAGGAAGAATCTGTCACCTCTATCATGGAGTACCATGCCTTTGGAATCATTAGCGAAGGCCGGAAATCCGGGCATCATTATGATCTGCGGAGTTCAAGGTGACTTTACGAAGGATATTGTTACTCATCCACCCAAAACCGTGTGGACTAGGGAGCTGAAGTTTAGTATGCTCGCTTTATCCTCTCTAGACTAGCTATTTACTAATATATAAATAGCTGGTGTTGGGCAAGCCTCTGCGATGGTTAATAAAGGGATCCGTATCTGCACTGGTACTGGTATTGGCGCAGCGCTGTCAACCTGCATCCAGAACCCTAATTGGTACGCCGCTCTCAAATAATGTTATAAAGGGTGGATTTTCTAACATCGTGCTAGGTTCCTCATTTGGATAGGTTCTGATCAAGAGAAAACTTTTGGACCAACAGTAACGGGTTTGATTCGCAAACATATTGAGCCTGAAAGAATGATTCTCTAGGACTCAAGGAAACAAGGAGGGCGACCAGATACTATGGAACTACTCAAAGCCACGTGGGCGAGTTTTGGAGCTGAGGTCATCTTCATTACTTCCAACATGCAGGGGAATGATGAGATGATGCAAGGGTATCGTGAAGGTACGTTCGTCAGCACCTTAACCAACAGTAAATCACTAACCTCTGACAATCAGCTGGACTACACGCATTTGGCACGCTTTGGGACTTCTGATAGTTTACCGTCCACTCTGACGGCAGTTGATAGATGCATTACTGGCGCTGGATTTATGAACTATGTACTAGACATTTACAGCATTTACAACATTAGAAACGGAGGATAGAGAATAGAAGCATCGGCCACATTTATCGTCCCCTATGCATGGGAATGACAGTATCACCCCCCCTCAATAGCCCTGAATTCGAATAACCAACGTCAAAGACGGCCACAAAAAAACACCCTTAATCCGCCTTCGTCTTACTCCCCTTCAACTTCCCCACCGCCGGCATCTTCCCAATCCACCTCTCCCTCCCATCCTCCGTAGCATCAACCAACCACCTCGCCAACGCCCCCCTCTTCTGCATCACACTCCACCCCCCCTCCCCAATCCACCCCTCAAACACCTCTCCCTCCTCCCTATCCTTCCTCCACGCCTCCTCATCACTCCCCCCCGGAATCCCCGCGATCCTAAAAACCGTCCAATCCACCCCCTGCCCCGCCTCCTCGAACGCGCGCGCGATATCCAGAATAGCGCGGTAGGCGGAGTTAGCGAACAGACGTACGATGAAGACTAAGAAGAGACGCAGGAGAGAGAACTTGTCCTTTGGTTGAGGGATGGAGAGAGTGCCCATGGCGAAGATGCGGCGGACGGAGTGTTGGCGCATGAGGCTGAAGAGGGAGGTATAGAAGGTGGAGTAGATGGTGGGGTCAAATTTACTGGTTGTGGTTGGGCCGAGGAAGGAGAGGATGGTGTGGGAGGTTGAGACGGCGGTAGAGAGGCCGTCGAGGTCCGTTAGGGTGCCTTGGATTATCTGTGGCAGGTTAACTTGGTATTACATGATGCATGTCCATAGGTGATCTTGGAAGTATGGAGCGTACCTCGAGGAGGGGGTTTGATGCGAGATCTTCTGGGATCTTGGAGGGCGTTCTGGCAAAGACTACCACAGGGTGATTGCGATGGAGAAGCTCCCTGAGGAGGCATATTCCTGCAGGGCCCGTGCCGCCGAGGACGAGGACTTTGGGGCCTGCCATTGTCCTTCGTGTATCAGCGTTATGCCAACGAGATACTTCTAAGAGTTAACTGTTAAGTGACGGGTTCGTAGAAATGGGTTCATAAGGATGGGTTGAAGCTCTGTTATGTTGTCATGCCGTAATAAAGCAAGCCAATCACGTGGGCGGCTTTCGTATGAGCCGATTGAAGATATCACCCAGAGTTTCTGTTCACATAACTGTGTGTAAAAATAAAAAAGTGCACGGTACTGGAGAGCTCCATGGTGCACACTGTTGTGTCTTGCATCGGGATATATATGCATCCCCTTTTACTCACTGCCTCTGGTATTATATCACCCCCGTCCTGCTCTTCCCCCTATTCTAAATAAGTATCTCGCCCCTGGAAAGACCCCTATCTGTCACAATCGCACAGAGTGCTTCGTTGCACATCTCCAGTAGCGATCACGATGCATGCCCTACCATGACTCTAATCCCTTTCGCGTCCTAAATCTCAATACGCCTTTAAATCCTCCTACAGCGGCATCGACATGTCGTCGACAGTACCATAGGGCGTGGAATAAAAGATCGCTGGATGCACTCCCGGGTGACAGGTTTGACAGCCTTCTAAATTAACACCCTGTCGATCTCCTCGTCCTGCCCAGGGATAGTAATCCTTCATCCTTTGCTTACCGTGCCACAAAAGATATCCGCCTACCTGTCCAAAGGCACCACTGGAAAGTAGAAATTCTGCGGATCGCGCGGCTGATATTACGGCCGGACGCTCTCTCGAAACGCGATCCTGATCGGGTCACCACGTCGTTGTGACACCCTGAGCGCCGCCGCTACGGTCGTTGCCGTCAGCACTACTGTAGGATGATCATGGGGCGTGGCGGAGTCATCATGGCTGCACTCAACGAAGCAAAGAGCCTGATACGGTAAGTGCGCTCGATGGGTGCGATATTGCGGTATTGCGCGGACGCGTGTCAGCGTTAGGGTTGTCTTGCCGAGTGGGTTAAGCTTTCGTAGTGATTTTAGGGGACTTGGGACTTTGGAGGGGTCGCGATTTGGTGATTTGAGCTGGATTGACATTTCTTTATATGTATCGAAAGAGGTTTGTGGGAGTCGAGGGATTCGATAAGAAAGATACTGACTTTAGTATAGCGTCACAAAGGTTCGAGGGCTCTATATGAAGGATCTTCTATACCCGAGGGTAATCCGCCAACGAACGACCCAGACCACTCAATTCCATCTTTTCGATGATCCAACACAACCGTTGCTATCGAGGCTGAGATGGCTCATACGAGGCTTGAGACAGAATGAGAGTGGAGATGAGTGCCGGTGTGGCCGTTGGCCGCATCGGGATGTCCAGTGCGTTGAAGGTGAGCATATAAGCTTTTCTATTCCCCGTCTTGGTAACCTTATCACTCGACCATCCATTTCACTCTGTTATTACACACTGCCAGCCCCATTGCAAGACCGCTCTCCCATCCCACACTCGTGGATCTCACCTTAACTCCCACCCACCACACCCCAACCAAACGCAGCCCAACATGACCCCCCTAACCTTCCGCAACGGCATCTCCATCGCCCTCCTCGTCCTCTACGCCCCCCTCCTCCTCCTCGGCGCCTTCCTCTCCAAACGCCACGGCTTTGGCCGTTCCTCCGGCTGGATCTTCCTCGTCATCTTCTGCACCCTCCGCCTCCTCTCCGCCGCCATAAACCTCGCCCTCATCAACTCCCCCACCTCCACCTCCCTCCACATCGCCAACAGCATAACCAACTCCCTCGGGCTCTCCCCCCTCCTCCTCGCCTCCCTCGGCCTGCTCAACCGCGCCATCGAATCCATCGAGCGCCGCGCCCACTCGGTGACTGTCACGCCGCGCCATTTGCGTCTGATCCAGCTGCTCGTCATGATCGGTCTCATCCTCGCTATCGTCGGCGCTGTCAACCTCAGCGATGCCAAAACTGATGACGACGTCCATCAGGCGCGGACGCTCGTCCAGGCAGCGGCCGGACTCTTCATCGCTGGCTACGTCATCCTGTGCCTTGCGACCGCGCGCGTCTTCTTCGCCATCTCGTCCGCGGAGGCGGGGGAGCGGCGTCTCATTCCCGCGCTGACGGCTGCGCTGCCGTTCCTCCTCGTTCGCGTAGTCTACGCGGGCGTTGGTGCTTTCGGGGACAATGCGAAGTTCAATGCTGTGACGGGGAGTGATGTGGTTTTCCTGGTTATGGTGGTGCTTATGGAGTTGGCGGTGGTATGCATCTTTGAGGGCGTGGGTATCACGCTCAGGGCCATTCCAGAGGAGGATAGGGGGAAGGTGTGGGATTACATGGAGATGCCTGTGACGGGGGGGTTGGTGGGCAAGTTGGTAGGTGGGAGGAGGCATGAGTCGAGGAGGGGCGAGCCGGTGGCAGAGAGGAGGTATGGCGCGTAGGTGGAGGTAGAGGGGTGTATTTTGCTTTAGTCGGGTTTGAAAGCGGGGGGTAGCGCGGGTAATTCGTCAGAGGGGTATTTGGGTTATGTACAGCGAAAATATATAGTTACACTACTTATTTCATATTAGCATATAGACTATATAATTCATTATTCGTTTGTCTCGCTTCCTGCTTGCGGTGGCGTAGTTGGCGAGTGTGCGAGATTGGTACAAACAGATCGGCTTTCGATTGACTGTGGGCTTTATATATCCTGGGAAAATTCCATGCCCTAGGGAGAGCAGACCTGCTTTTTGCTCTGCTTATGCCCCTCTTCACTCGGCATCAACTTTGAGCAGTCTCCTCGTATTCTTCAACCTCCAAATGCAGTCCAGATACCCGTTTAATGGCAATATAACCCGACATTCAATATCTTTAGCCCCATCCATCACCACCCCAACGCCCCCAACTCCGATGTCATCTCCCCAATTCCCCCTCGCCCACTTAAACAGAATCCCGATCCGGCACCCAGAAATTCAGCTCCCTATCGGCCGTTGCAAACATATTGAAGCGCGGATTATACCGTATCGCCGCCACCTCGCTTTTACTCTCGAGCTCGCACATCGGTGTGTTCCCTCCCACCTGCGTCGCGCCCGTGATATTATACACGAGCACGTTGCTGCGCTGCTGCCCGCTCAGCACGTACCGCCCGTCGGGCGAGAAGCATACGTCGCCGCTGGTGTGATGGCGCGCCTCCGTGTCATCCTCTCCATCAGGTCCCTCTTTGGCAAGTGGGAGTCGACGCGCGGCCCCGGACTTTCGGATAAGGCCGTGCTTGAGCGTGCCATCGAAGGCGTCGAGTACGAAATGAGTGTTCCCGGCTGTGCCAACGAGGAGGCTTTTCCCGTCATTGGAGAAGTCGAGGGAGCGCCAGGCGCGCGCGGTTGGGTCGTGTTTGGCGAAGGGGTAGAGGTCGAAGGAGGCGAAGGGCTCTTTCTCGAATTTGCGGATGTCGTAGAGGAGGATGGTTTGCGCGGCGGCAGAGGCGATAGCGAGGACGCAGGCGGATGGATCGAAAGCTGTGAGGTGGGGGGAGTTGATGTTGAGCATGCCGATGGGGTTTACGCTGTTGAGGTCCCAGATGCGGATGGTGTTGTCGAGGGAGGAGGAGACGAATGTGTCGCTGCCGGGGTTCATTGTGAGGCAGGTTACCGACCCAGTGTGCCCTTTGAAGTAGCGTAGGAAGGAGTTGTCGTGAGTCGCGAGGTAGCGGATGTCATCTAGGGAGTATAAATTAGCATGTCGAGTCCTCTATCACAGGGTGGGGGGCGTCGGGCATACTGTTCTCCTTCGTACTGGCATAGATGATGCTCGTGGACTTGTGTGTGAATTTGGCGTGCTTGACACCGTACTTTTTGCTGAACAGCGACTTGTTGAACGTGCCATCGAGGACATTGTACAGTTGGATAGACTCATCCGTCTCGGAGGTCATCAAGAGCTCCCCCTTGTCATCAAAGTCCAGTGAGAGCACCGTCGTGGGCTCGTTATGATAGTCGCGCTTGAAGAGCTTGAAGAAGGCAGCATTAGCTATGAGTGGGCAATTGAGCGTATTCGAAACAGGCTTACCCTTGTTGGCCGGAAGTTTGAAATTATTTCGCTGACTTTCGCAATGGCCGGCACACTGATACCTGACCTGGAGAGGCCAATGCCTCCATTTGCATTGGGCGCCGGCCTTGGAGTCTCCACGTCCATAGGTGTGGAGCTCATGGTGGAGGAGTAAAGGGAGAAAAGAAATGTTATGCTAGTATTCAGTAATATGGCAAGTTAAAGTCATGCCTGAGAAGCTTATAAATACTCTATGCGCTCATTGTGATGTTGAGTTGCTCTCTTGTTGTCGTCGAGTGAGGCTGTTGCATTGGAGGAAGCTCGCCGCCGCCTTGTCCCAGCCTTCTACAACAGGCACGCACGTGACCAGATTTTGTTCAGCCTTGTCGCAAGGGTTGCTGCGGTTCGGATCGGCTTTCCAGTGTGGGATTGTCGGAGTCCGCAAAAAGCACTAAGACTAATATGGACAAGGGTCACGGTTCTGACTGCGGTCTCGGGGAAAACGGCTGCCACGCGAGGGATCAACCAGCATAAGCTCTCTGGGCGGCATATCCGTCGGCAAGCCCGCACTCTCTCTGGTGTTAATATATTATCTATTTTTCCAGCGGCTTCTTTTCCTTGTTGTCTTTGTTGTCTGCACACTAGGGGGCGCAATCGGATAACCACTCGTTTATCATATATCCGGCTCGCTGTCTACTCGGTCGAACAAGTCTTAGAACGGCCCGGAGGCGGCTTGAGTGCTGAGGAAGAGGAAGTTGCAAGAAGACATCGGTGAAAGATGTCGACCACGTTAGGGTGAGCCGGAGCACCAGGTTGAACGACTAAACCGCAGAATGCTAATAATTCCCCCAGCGCATTCATCGCTGGCGGCGTTGCAGCCTGCGGCGCAGTAACAGCAACCCACCCTTTCGAGACAGTCAAGATCCGGTTCGTTCGCGCCTCGCCCCTGGCCTTTTTCCCGTGCTGACCATTCTCAGCATGCAATTGCAGGGCGAGTTGCAAGGCAAGGCGCAACAACCTAAACTATATAAGGGTCCGATCCACGGCGTCACCGTCATTGTTCGAAATGAGGGTCTCAGAGGAATCTACCGCGGTATCGGGGCTGCCTACATATACCAAGTCCTACTTAACGGCTGCCGTCTCGGTTTTTACGAGCCCCTCCGTGCTACGGCGACGAAAGTTGTCTACGGCGACTCTACCGTGCAGTCCCTCGGGGTCAATGTCTTCTCCGGCGCATCCTCCGGTATCCTTGGCGCCGCGGCGGGAAGCCCGTTTTTCCTTATCAAGACGAGATTGCAGAGCTTCTCGCCAATGCGGCCGGTCGGCACGCAACATAAATATAAGAATGCGCTTGATGGGTTCAAGAGCATCTATGGCACCGAGGGGCTGAAGGGCTTATACCGCGGTGTGGGCGCTGCGATGGTGAGGACGGGCTTTGGCAGCTCCGTGCAGCTGCCAACATACTTCTTCGTGAAGAGGAGGTTAGTGAAACATTTTGGCATGGAAGAGGGGCCGGCGCTGCACCTCGCGAGTAGCACAACGAGTGGGTTCGTCGTATGCTGTGTAATGCATCCACCAGGTATGTTATGGATGAGAACCCCCATATTGTGCAGTGACTCTTACTAACACTCGCAGATACTATCATGTCCCGAATGTACAACCAGAACGGAAACCTCTACAAGGGCGTCTACGACTGTCTCTCGAAGACTGTGCGCACTGAGGGTTTCCTTGCCATCTATAAGGGTTACCTGCCGCACTTGGCGCGGATTCTCCCACATACAATCTTAACCTTATCTTTCGCCGAGCAGACGAATAAGTGGATGACGAAACTAGAGAAGAAGATATTGCCAGCTGGTGCGATATGAGAGGACTTGGGAAGGCGAACCAAAGGAGGAGAGGACTGGTGTAAGGTACCGTCACTTGTATATAATACCTTTTGCCGAGATGAGAGTAAATAAAGTCCGAGGTTAGATCTCTTGTATAAAGAAAAAGATTAAGGTTGTATAATTGGCAAATATCCAAGGTGTTACCGATTCTATCACTGATAGACCGCCCAGCCCCTGTTTTTACACCGGACCAGTATCACCGTATCGAGCTTTCACTGCCAGTTGACACAACGCTCTGAGAAACCAGCATCAACTCAAGACAGCCAGACCGGCAGCTGGCTCCCATAATACCTGATAGGTACACTCTCGCCTGGAACAAAAAAGTGGCAGAGCCAGGTCCTTCCAACGGAGAGAATGGCAAAGCAAAGGGGATTAAAAGCAAGCTCGCGCAGAAATTTAAGGCTCCACTCAGGCGGCTTAAGAAAGGAGGCAAACCCGAGGCAAATGAACCATCACGAATTACACACGGGCCAATATTTGCTGCCGGAAATGTACCGCAAGGTGTCGCACTCACCGGCGAGGGTTCGACCCGGCACCACCGAGCAAGGCCCAAAAGAGCAAAGCACGAAAGGAGGGAAACAAGAAGCCACAGAGAGCAGCAACATGGGATCTCCGCCCGCTGCCTGGAAAAGCGCATGCGCAGGCTTGGGGTAGAGCCTGAGGTAATGAACGACTATATAGAGGGCTTCCGATGGGCTGCACCCCCTCATGCTGGAGCCGGTATTGGCCTCGAGAGGCTCACATTTCTCTTCCTTGACCTTGGCAATATCCGTCTCGCATCACTCTTTCCAAGAGATCCAAAATCCCTTCCCAGGCATCTAGGAGGGCCCATTCTACGGCACCCAGAAGCGAGAACTACCAATCCGCCATGGGCCGACAAGACAAACCGGAACCAAGAAGTCATCCCCAAAGACTACCAGCCTCTCGAGAAGCTCATTGCAAATTATGGCGATGCGGCAAATACGTCCTGGCTAGATGAACGCTACGAGCACTGGCGACATCCTTCCACAGGCGCGGTTCAAGGTTTTGTCCCGTATCATGGGTTTGCAATCACCATTGGAGATCCTCTATGCGCTAAACCACAGTATCCTGAGGTTGTTTCTGCATACCTCAACTATATTAAGACAGATTGGGGAGATCTCAATCCGTTATGGCTTATGGCGGGCCCAGCGATAGAGGAGTTCCTTGGTGATAAATGCAATTGGCGCACCCTGAGCCCAGTCGCAGAGAACAGGGTTGATCCACACAACAACGTTGCCTCTAAATACCATGATATCGCCAGAAAGCTACGCCATGCCGAGCGCGAAAGGGTAAACAACTTCGAGTGGCCCAGGACCAGGCCTGTCCCAATGCTGTGCACATCAGGCTCTTGGCCGCCACGGCAAAAATGTCCAGGAATTCCATAGTGCCGGAGGTTCACTTTACAGAGATCAGACCTTGGATCGACGAGGAGTACCGCCGAACCCGAGTTAACGAGCCCATCGACGAGAGGCGCAAAGCCGGCGCCCAGGTTCACTTTACAGAGATCAGACCTTGGATCGACGAGGAGTACCGCCGGTACTTTTACGCCACTCATGGCTCCCGGGATGGCCGTATGCACTCCTTGTTCTGCACCAGCTAGCTCCAGAGAACGGCTACCAAGTGAAATTCTTGCTCGAGTTCCCACGCGCACCCTCCGGCACTATGGTTCCTGGACATTTTTGCCGTGGCGGCCAAGGAGCCTGATGTGCACAGCGTACTGGTGCAACAGATGCTGTTGTTGGCGGCCGCAATATGGGAAAGGGCAAGCTCAAGCCCCTAAAAAAAAGCTATGAGATCATCAATAGGCGTTTGAAACTGACGAATAAAACTGGGTTTCGTGAGAAATTCGGTGCTAGTTTGGATAGGGTTTATGTGTGTTATCCTTGGCCTGGGCTGGGTCCCGCGGCGATTAAGACGATTGTGGATTTTATGCAGGAAGAGAATTAGCGGGTTGGATGGAATTATGAGATATGATGGCATTGGGATTTGGTTCATCTAGGGTAATTTTTCTAATCTGCTACAAGGCAGACTGGTCTCGGGACAAGAAAATCAACTTAAGCGCTGATCTCCAGCTCAACTTCGCTCCGAACCACATAGGGTCAAGATCAGACTGAAACAGAGAACCACAGCAGTATGTTGAGCAACCCAGAAACAAGACAAGTTCCAACTCGATATTGTAGCAGTGCATACAAATGGACAGAGTCACGCCCCTTGGTGAATGAATTGGTAGACATTCTAGCATGCGGTGATAGAGGTATGTAACGGTACCCTTGGAACGGCAACATACATTTCATAAACTACGGTTGAGGGTTGAGCACTCTAAGTTGGCATATAAATATTATGGTGTGGTAGTGCTGTGGACGTAAGGATTACTACTAGGAGGTCGTCCATGAATTGTAACCTGCATCACATGGCGCTAATGAAGTATCAAATTGCCGTTCTGACCCTGACCCTATTATCTAATGACACGGGGTTGAATTTGCAGACAAAATTTATATAATTATCGTCCCATGAAGCCCAAACTTTCTTTCCCACTTTGTCGCTACCGCCGGCTTTTCTGTTCGCTGGCTTTGATCATTGTCATCTTCGTCGTCCTCGTTTTCTTCACCCAAAGCTGGTTCATCAACCTTAACTTTGATGCCATACTCTCGAATGCATCCGCAGAAAGGCTTATTTTGGGCCTGGTCTCCAATTTCCCTCAGCTTCGCAGACAGACGTGCAGCTGCTTGTTTGGGAGTAGCCTTTTTAATACTTTCCAATGAGTTTGGATCTCGCTCCACAGGTGCTTTTTGGGGGGGTGGTTCGACTGCAGGCGTTTCTTCGTCACTATCTGGCGGCTGTTCCCCAGGTCGAGATATACGCTTCTGGGGGATCTTAGGAGGTGGCGAAACGTCTCGTGACAAGTTGGGCGACTCTAGTGACCGCGGGAGAAGGATCTTTCCTTCGGCGCTGTTCAGGTAAGCAGCCTTGCTTTCCTCCAAGTCGCCCCATAGCACAAAGAGCCTCTCGCGCACAGCAGCAAGGACATCGGGCGTGGTGCGGAGATTCGCAGCATTTTCAGTCAATAGAAACTGCCCTGACTCATTATCGATTAAAACCCAAACACGCTCTTTTGTTCCGCTTTCGGATGGACTTGCATCTTCGACCTGTAATGCGAATCGCCAACTCCACTGTAGATGGTCATTATCACGGAGTACAAAGTCATCAATGTCTTTACCGACAGTATTAATATCATCCTCTTCATCCGACGTAGGGTCGAAGTCAGAGAGACAGTCAAATTCGTTTGGCTTTCTACCAACTGAGAAATCTTCGAGTTTGTGAGGGAAGAAGTCGGTGACGCGGAGGTTGGCGCGATAGTTGGCGTTGACGAAAGGTGCATATGTTTGATTCCCACCGTCTATGCTACCGGGCACACTGCGGCGGTTATTGAGTATTAGCGCCAGAGGAATGGCCGGTGATGTCTGCTTGTGGCATCTCACTTGTAAAGGTCAGCAAAATCGATTTGTTTTCCGCTATTAACAACATACCAGCAGTATTCAGTGCAGTTTTATCCTCTGCTGGCGTGTCGGCGACGGGCTTTCCTTGGCCAGACTCAATCTTAGACTTCTGTTGAAGTTTTTCTTGCATTGCCTTTCTCTTCTCCTTCCGCCGAAGCTTTCCGTTCATCTTCACAGGCTCATCATCGTCATCACGCTTGCGCTTTCCGGTAACTTCTTCAATTTCTTGTTCGAACTCGCGCTTCTGCTTCTTGACTGTCTCTTGGTAGTGTCTTTTGCGGCGTAGTGCGTTTTTCCACATATAATCCATATCTTCCTTGTTCTCAGGTGGGGCAAGAACTTCCACTTGGAGCTTGCCTGCGTGGGCACGTCGATCAGTACGAAGCTTCGCCTCCAGGTGACCGCCAGTTTTTGGGAACTCAAAATGAACGTTTAACAGCTTCACCCAGTTTCCAACTTTTACATGGTCTCTGAATCGCTCGCTGTGCTCATCAAACGCTGTAAGTTGGATAGACATTTTACCGTATGGGCCCTTCCATTCATTCGTCTTTGACTTATTGATCATCTTCGGGTTGGAATACCCGAAATCATCTCCATCCCGCCCTTCCAAAATCGGGTGTACACCTGGCATGACGTGGTTGTAGAAGTTCTTATTGCTTGTGTAGTCGGTAACATACACAGTGGTTCGATCGGACACATCAAACATGTGGATAACCTCCCCAACGATGTCACCAAACATCCCTGGCCGAGCATCCTTCAGCTCGCAAGATTTTACTTTGAGATTTGTTGCCTGGACTACTCTTTCCTGGAATTCTCTGGAATCTGGGAATGCACCTCTTTGAATATTAGTTTGTAGCCAAGCAACGTATCTGACTTCTTCTATGTTGACCTTGCCACGTTTTGATGTCGGCTGAGGAAGAGCCGGGTCTGTGGGAATTTGCACTGGAAATACGTGGATTTCGGTACGATAGTTCGTAATCAGAGAGATAGCGCCTGAATGTATTTGGACCTACTGAATGAGCTACAGGTATATCAATAAAAGGGTGCACCTACTCTACAGTTCCTAATAAGGATAGGCTGTGCCACACCAGCAATGACCGGCATGTCTGGCCGAGGTAAGAAAACGTTAAGCTTCATAATGTCCACGTCATATGATTCCTCGATAGACTGATCGACAATTGTAAGGGTCATTTTCCAATCTACGCAACTATAAGTCTCAGGCCCATCTACAGTACACCAAAGAGGGGGGGTTGCCTACCTGCGCCCCCAGTCTGCCTTGGAGGCTGGTAGTCTCTGATCAAGCCAACAACGTTGACAAATGGCTTTTGTTTTGCTACTAGAATGGCGTCCATATCAGAGATTTCCCGGATCGATTTGAAATCCTTTGGAAGAGCCATCGTTGGAGATGGCTCGGTTGTCATGCTGTCCGTCATCTCTGCGGCTCCAATGTGGCAGCAGAAGTCGTGGGAAAGAGGTAGGTATCGCAGACAGATCGCGGCAGTAATGAATTACTAGACTTAGTATATTATATTGTGCATTTCGAGGTTGTGAGCTGGTTGCTCTCTGTGAAAGGAGTCAAATCTGGCGGCTAAATTCCATAAATAAAGGGCAGCTTGACGTCGCAATTTATATAAATTACAGCGAGACGCGACTGTAATGGTGAGAGACGGGACTGCCAAGCCTCGGGCCTAATTGAACTCAGCTTACATAATCCGATTTGCATTGAAAGATGCCAACTCACGTGCTAGGAAGCTCAACCGCACGACAGTTACCGCATCCGTATTGGCGCCTGTTTGTCCGTTCAACTGCAACTTCTTGTCTCTGATTCTGAAATACCGAATCATCTTCCTCCACACCACAACCTTCCAACTTCACCTTCAACCCCGCTACACTTCAGAACCTCCACGACCTTCGAACGTTCGAGTGGAGCCATTACAGACAACGTCTAGAACAAGGCTCACACAGTACACTACAGCTATGTCTGAACGTTACATTCCAGAGCATCGTCGTACGCAGTTCAAGGCGAAGGGTACCTTCAAGCCTGAGGAGCTCCGTCGTCGTCGTGAAGAACAGCAAGTTGAGATTCGCAAAGCTAAGCGTGAGGAGAACCTTGCAAAGCGCAGAGGCCTTGCCAGCGCCGATGGATCCAGGCCGGGCGCATCGTTAGGGGCTGCTCCTGATAGTGACGATGATACTGCTCCCACGGAGTCTCAGGTACGTGAAGGCACATAGCTCACCCTACTTCATATCCCTATGGTTATCCCGTCATTTGTGACGACAAGACCGCCGAGTATTGCAAGCAAAATGCAATTATTCTGCTGTTTTGTTTACTTTTCGCATTTTGCCCCGCTGTGGGGATTTACTTCGCTTGTCTGTGCACGACGCTTGGTCATGACATGTGTGGTTGGTGTACGAGAGCTTTGACGATATATGTTATAACAACGATGAACTATGGAAACATATGCTAATATACTTCGTCATTATAGCTAAATGAGGACCTCCCACAAATGGTACAGGGTGTCCTGTCAGACCAAATCGATAAGCAAATTCAGGCCACGACTAAGTTTAGAAAGCTCCTTTCAAAGGAGAGGAACCCACCTATCGAGGAAGTTATCAAGACTGGTGTTGTTAGCCGTTTTGTCGAGTTCCTTCGTTCGCCTCACACCTTGGTCCAGTTCGAAGCTGCCTGGGCTTTGACCAACATTGCTTCTGGATCAGCACAACAGACACAAGTCGTCATTGAGGCTGGTGCCGTCCCAATATTCGTTGAGTTACTTGCCAGCCATGAGCCAGATGTGCGTGAGCAGGCCGTTTGGGCGTTGGGAAATATTGCTGGTGACAGCCCTTCGTGCCGTGATTACGTTTTGAGCTGTGACGCTCTCAAGCCTCTTTTGTCTCTTCTTGGCGACAGCCGCAAGCTTAGCATGCTTCGCAACGCAACCTGGACTTTGAGCAACTTCTGCCGTGGCAAGACTCCTCAGCCAGATTGGAACACTGTAAGTCACTTCCCGAAATCTTCCCACATTCGTCAAATACTAATCGCCGTAGATTTTGCCCGCCCTGCCCGTCTTGGCGAAGCTTGTTTACTCCCTCGATGACGAGGTCTTAATCGATGCTTGCTGGGCAGTCTCATACCTGTCTGATGGGGCCAACGACAAGATTCAAGCAGTTATCGAGGCCGGTATCCCACGCCGCCTTGTAGAGCTCCTGATGCACGCATCCACTTCCGTCCAGACACCTGCTCTGCGTTCCGTGGGTAACATTGTTACTGGCGATGACGTCCAGACCCAGGTCATTGTCAACTGCGGTGCTCTTCCAGCCTTACTGTCGCTGTTGAGCTCCAGCAAGGATGGCATTCGCAAGGAGGCTTGCTGGACCATCTCCAACGTTACTGCTGGCAACTCCACCCAGATCCAGGCTGTTATCGATGCCAACATTATCCCACCTCTCATCCACCTCCTGTCGAATGGAGATCTTAAGACTCGCAAGGAGGCATGCTGGGCCATCTCCAACGCCACCTCCGGTGGTCTCCAGAAGCCTGAGCAGATCCGTTACCTTGTCGCCCAGGGCTGCATTAAGCCACTGTGTGACCTTCTGGCCTGCCCTGACAACAAGATCATCCAGGTTGCCCTTGATGGCCTAGAGAACATCCTCAAGGTTGGAGAGATGGACAAGGAGTCCTCTGGTGAGGGCCCAGAGAGCATCAACAGATATGCTCTCTTCATTGAGGAGTGCAACGGCATGGAGAAGATCCACGACTGCCAGACCAACGCCAACGAGGAGATCTATATGAAGGCATACAACATGATCGAGAAGTACTTCTCCGATGAGGATGACAACGCCGTCGATAACGAGGCTGCCGAACAGGCACAGGGTGCCAACGGCACCTTCGGCTTCGGTACCCAGGGCCAATCTGGTGGCTTCAACTTCGCCAACGGTGGAGACTCCATGGATATGTAAATGCAACTACATATCCACGAATATATCTTCGCGCCTTGGGTTACTTTACCACCAACATACTCCTCTTAATTTTACCGGCATCTCTTAACCCTTTTAGTCACAGCACATAACAAATTCGACTCCCCACACGACACAGCACCAAGCCCTCGACGAGAGGACTTCCCCTCCCCCCCCTCGCACAGTTTTTGCGATGTGACCCACGATAAGCGAAAAAGATTCACCGTCATGTAATTTCCTTTGTCAGCAAACCCCACCAAACCACCGGCACATCAACATCATCAGGCGTTCCGTTTTTACGAAGTTTCGTATGTAAGTCGGGGCATAGTTGGCTTAAAAGCTGCTGTTCCCGCATTTGCGCGTGGGGAGAAAGTATTTTGAGATGGAGATATCAGATCAGGCATGGGCTTGGTAGCTTTAAAGCTCCGGCTCGCGGGATGGGAGAGATGGTGCGTACAGAGGCGATGATAGATGGGGATAGTGGATGGAGAGAGGCTGGGTAGCTTTAAAGCTCCCGCCTGCCCACGGGTTTTTTGATAGCCTGGGGGAGATGATGGACTGTTGTCATGCCTACGATATGCCTAGACGTGCAACCGATCTTGATGATGAGATGGGATGCGTGTCAATGGATTGAGTATACAAAAAGGTGCCCTTCATATTTGCATGACATGTATGCATCGCTGTTATGAACGTACATCTATTCTACAAACTGATTCCCACACAACATTCCCACACACCCCAATCAATGAATCCGCACAATACGCAATACGCTCCTGCACACAAAACTGTACCGTTACCTCATGAAATAAGTCGATAAATAAAATCCGTCAGGTCGTGTGATTATGACTAAAACTGCCTTGTATTTTTCTGAAAGATGATTGGGGGTCCAGCTGCGGGGATCTGCTCACATTATGACGTGGGTACCAGTCAGTGCAGGAGGGGTTCCGCCCACAGCTCGATGGCGGGGTAAGGTGATTATTGATTGATGACGCCCTGGGTCAACTGTATCACGAACACTCTTCTACAAGAACCACAACTTCTTGATTCTTTCCTCGTTCAGTCAGTTTAACAGACGTATACTATCCAAAACTCAAATACAAAGATTATTTTCGGTTCACTCGAGAACATACAAACCGCAACAATGGCCCAAGAACGCCGTATCTCCGTCCTCGACGTAAGACCCCAACTCAAACCCTCAGCCCTCCACACCACACACTCCCAAATCCCTAACACCCTCTCTCTCCCAGAAATCCTTCGAATCTCGCCTCCCCCCCTCCTCCAAAATGCTCTTCGACGCCAAAGCCGGGCAGTCCCTCTCCTTCGAAGCCATCGCGAAGCAACTCGGCCGCAGCGAAGTCGCCGTCGCAGCCCTCTTCTACGGGCAAGCCGCCGCCTCCCAAGAGGACGTCGAGAAGCTGTCCAATCTCCTTGGCATTCCGTTGCCGGCGCTGGAGACTCAGTTGCTGGGCTTTCCCGATAGGGGACGCGCGGGGCCGATGCCGCCGGTGGAGCCGCTGATTTATAGGTTGTATGAGATTGTGCAGAATTATGGGTATGCGTATAAGGCGGTGCTGAATGAGAAGTTTGGGGATGGGATTATGAGCGCGATTGCGTTTGAGACGAAGGTGGATAAGGAGGTTGATGAGAGTGGGAATGCGTGGGCGATTATTACGTTGAAGGGGAAGTGGTGAGTTTTGCCCTGATGTCCATGTGTTTTGGGGAACGAGGGAATGGGTTTGCTAACTATTTTGTTATAGGCTTCCCTTCTCCAGGTTTTAATTTGGTGGAGGGTGATGTTGGTGATCAGAAGACTACGCGTTCATATGTATCATGTTTTTCTCACGAGCACAGTTGCAGTAATAATAAACACTTCCAAACGACAGACCAGCATATTGATTGCTATAATATAAAAGGCATAGAACCACCCAATCCCCAACTAATCCACTCAAGGGCGAGTTCCTGACTCCTAGAATTAGGCCCCCATTTTTCTGTGAACTAATTCCAGTAATACCCAAAAGAAATCCCTGTCCCATAACCAACAGATTGTTTGAGAAGCAAACGACCCTCCAAACCCTGCGACGGGCGTGGGAGCTGCGGAGCGTGTCGTTGATGTGCCTTTCGAAGCCGTTGGTGATGGGCTCAAAAGAGTGTAGTGAAAGTAGGTCTGTAATCGCACACGATTGGTACAAGATCCTTGCCCAAAGCCCGTCGGGGGACAGAGAGAGACAATGAATTCGAGGGCATGGCATCCTGCGAAGTTGAGAGAGGCGCCATGCTCGCGAAGGTAGAGACAAGCTGCGGTTTCGCTCCAGTATTTGTGCAGTAGCTTGTTCAAATGGTACTGGGAGTGACGAGATGATGGCGAGGTTGGCGAGGGTAGGTTATTACATAACCAGGCATCCCGCACCGTAGATCTCGTTGACCTTCTGAACAACGCCGTAGATCTCGTTGACCTTGCGTTGACGCTGGCCGGAGATGGCGGAGGGACCCATTTTGATTGGTTGGTTGGTGGAGGGTGTTATTGATATATTTGGGGAGTGGCAAGTGGTTGGTTTGATTTGATTGTCTGTGGAAAGCTGTTGTGTTTGTGACGAAGAGAAAAAGACGAGGTATGGGCGGATCCCAGGTGGATACTTATACTCAACTTCGAGATAGCCAGGTAGCGGCGAGGGGTATGTAAACTGCATTCTTCCGGTTGACCAAGCTTGAACAGTATTGGAAAGGGACGGCACGGCGTAGGGACCCATTCTTAAGACTTGAAAGAAGGAGAGGTGACAGACGGTTCTGCGATGAATGGAGAGAGCGAGTGAGGGTGGGGGGAGAGAGGTCAGGAGCACTTACCGTGAAAGCATCGTCAAGGGGATGAGCAGGCTGGAACTGAACAGTCGTTGTAATAAACGACAAGTCCGTGGTCACAGGCAATATGTGACTGTTTTTCGATAAAGAAGGAATAGAAGGAACAGAAGAAACAATCGAGGCTCTTCGGTTATCGAATAAGGGCTAGGCTGCATCATTGGTGCATTGGTACATTTGTTTGGACGTCAGGAGTGGTTTTTTTGTTGTTGGATTGGTGGTTGTTGTGGTGAGTTGTGGTTGTGGTTGAGAGTCGCTTAGCCCCTTAGTATTGTTCCCCCTGTTGAACCTATCCCCCTACTGGCCCCGCCCTTAGTATTGTTCTTCCTCGCCATATCGCCCGCTAGAAACACATCGATATGATCGCCACTAACAGAACACGGTTAACTGATCTCGCGATACCAGGTTGTCGGGACGCATAACGGCTTTACAGTCAGTGGCCAGGTCGGCCAGAGCTCGAGACAAGTCATCCCCATCGAGTGCATACACCGGTGACGGCGATGCAAAGTCGGAGGATGTAACGCTGATTGCGTTGAACAGCTTTCCTTGTCTATGCCCCCTTGTCTACCGTGCTGGCACGGTGGGATATCACTCATGTGCCGAACCCCACCGTGAAGATTCATAGCAGTCTGTTTAGCGTCCAAATCTCCTATGCTTCATAATGCCAAGACTGAAGACTCTCTTGCCATTCAATGAACCATGACAACGGTATGTGAGGGGGAGTGAAGCCTCACACGGTCCTTTGCTCTCCCTGTTGTTGGCCTCACCGAAGCCTACCCACGTGAGACATCGTGCCAGACCGCGATCTGCGGATGCTCTCAGCTAGTCACATATTTCTCCCCGACAGATAATGAGCGGTGGCCAACGCTCCCGGTTAGCTGACCGATCAATCAAAACAGACAACTGATCAGAGGCGCGCATTCCTCGAAATGCTACAGCCGACGCCTCAAGAAATAAAACCCCTATCAAGTATATTGCCCCGCCCACGGCACGCATACATCGCATGCGTTGCTGACGAGGTCTCCCCTCGGACGGGATGTGGAATGAGCAATGCCACCTCCTCTCGCCTGCTTACTATTGTCTGGCGGGGAACTCGAGACACGGGCTTCGATACAGACCCAGAATCGCGGCAGAGACCAACGTGGCTCGGAAGATGCGTTTGTGATGGGAGGGGTACGAGTCCCGTACACTCGCGCTAACTGAGACAGCTGTGCTGTTTCGTGCCCGACAAAGGTATCATCGCGGTGTGGAGTGATCATGCCTTTGTTGGGCACGGCAGAGTATCAATTTAGGGATAAGGGTGTGATCTGAACGTCGGAATTGTTGTTGGAAACTGACATGTTTTGAACGAAAGGAAACGAGTACCCCTTACCAAACATGACTCCAGCAATGCTCACACACGCCTCCCGATAGTTGCCTTCTGTTTGTTGGTTCAGGGGGGCTCGAACAACACGGCCAAGGTAGAGTGCGTTCTAATGATCCAGGTGATGCACAGCAAGGCAGACCGCCATTCCAACAATGGAACTGAGGTAGAGTGAGTCAAATGGCCCCTTCAAAGTTTGGTCTAGATTCGAGACGTAGAAGGCAGCGGAAGGTCCCCCTTTACAGCACCTACTTGACTTCGAGGCATCAGCCAGACCGTAAAGGAGCAGGGAAATGGCTCAATGCAAGACGCAGTATAGCCGTGAATTGGCATGATAATATATTCTATGTACAGATTATCATACTATCACCACCTGAAATCTGTCGAGTGATCTGGCCATGCTGTAATACTTATCGGTTGCTGTACTCTGTCACTCTATTTCCCATTGACAAACGCCGTAGTCAACGTCCCAATACCCGGCAGGATCTCAACAGAGAACTCGTCGCCATCACGGAGATACTCCTTCGGCGAGAAGCCGTGGCCCACACCAGCTGGGGTGCCAGTCAAGATGACCGTTCCAGGCTTCAGCGTCGTCCCCTGCGAGAGGAAGCTCACGATCTTAGCGACGGAGAAGATAAGGTCTCTTTGACGATGTCAGTATCGATCATGTTCATAAATGTTATCGGCGATCGACATTGAGAAGATTGGGAATAAGAATGGGGGTCACTTACTCGGTCCCACAGTCTTGCAAGACTCGTCCGTTCTTCAGACCACGAACTCGGAGTTTACTCACGTCGTACTCCTTGCTGGAGATCAACACCGGGCCTGTGTTCATTGTCACTCACAGTCCATAGCTGGCTCGGGAACATGACAGCATACCAATCGGACACGCGCCATCAAAGCCCTTCGAAAAACACCACTGCGTCTGCGCGAACTGAGCATTGCGCGCCGAGATGTCGTTCGCTGCCGTGTAGCCCAAGACATACTCAAGCGCGTCAGCCTCCGATACATCCTTTGCTGCGCGATTAATAACAATCGCGAGCTCGGACTCGAAGTCAGTGGTGTCATCTCCAATCGTGGATTTAGGAATCGTGAAGGGCGTTGGCCAGGGGTCTGCTAGGGCAGTTTCCGGCTTGCTGTTGACGTGGATGGGCAGTTAGATCATGCGCTCTTGATATGCACACGGCTGGGGACGGAAATGGGCTGCATACAGGAATAGGGTAGGCAGAGTCGGCAGCGCCATCTTGACCTCCTTCGCATGCTGAGCATACTATAGTTCCTGTTAGCACTCCTCGTAACCCCCCAACAGACGACTTCGCCAGATCACACACATTAAGCCCAATACACCTTATCGTCCCAACCTCCTCCTGCGCAAGCGGCGACAAAAGCCGCGCTATCGACTCCGTCTTCCCCGTCTTCGACCCGGGGCTAAGCGCCGACTTGCCGCTGAAGATATCGACGAGGACCTCTTTTTCAGCGCGCAGAGCTGCTCCGACGTCCACGGCGCTGTCGGCGGGCTGACCGAGGAGGATCGCTGAGCTGTCTGATTTGGGGATGAAGCGTACTAGACCTGTGTTTTGTGTTAGAAATAGGCAGGGGTAACGCTGCTAGGTTTGTTTAGAGTCCTTGCGATTAAATGAAGCGGCTGCCATCTTGGTCTGTATGTGAAGCTTTGTGTTTGTAGGCTGGATGCACAAGCACAAAATCCTGACGTTGCTAAACCGTTAGGGTAATAATGCCCAGACTAAATATGCATTTGAGCCTCAAATAATCAAAAATCGGCGCTTCTTCTATAATCAACAGCTATCAGTCCACAAGCAGTCCTCAATAGAACCCCCCGATTCGGAGCCTATCACGTGATTTCACCCCCCTTAAATCGGATGACTAAGGGTGAGGGACCCCTCGGTCCAAAGGGTCTGCGCCAGGCGTTTGATGGGCTGCCCAGCATTGACAACAACGGGCCAGGGAAACCCAGCGCAGAGCACAGCGAGGACATGGAGCTAACAGTAGAGAATATCACCTATGTGCACCCAGGAACTACAGATGCACTTTCTTCAGAGCATCGGGAATACCTGATGCAGCGCCACGGCACCCTGGGGCTTGATCCGATTCTACGAATGGGAGATGCAGACCCCTATAACTGGACCTCGTCGAATGTATGCTGCCCTTGCTTCTACGGATTCGTCTAGCTTGAATAACTCAAGTGTCACTTTGCAGAAAGTTATCAATCTCATTCTCGTTGCGTTCCACGCTTCCATGTCGACATTCACTGCGGCCTCCATCATTCCTGCCTATCAAGTCATGGCAGAGTATTTGGGCAGACCGCTCCAGGATATTACGTACCTCACGTCTCTCCAGATCGCCATTCTGGGGGTAGCACCGCTCATCTGGAAGCCGATATCCCATCGTTATGGACGGCGCCCCATCTTCCTGCTCTCTCTCATCTGCAGCTTGTTGGGGCAATATCGGCTATGTGAATACCACAAGCTGATAACTACAGCTATATCCCTTTCTATAGACTGACACGTGCATCTTGTAATGGTGGGTGCACCAGATGTGAGAATCTAGCCACCCAAGGAAGGGATGATTTTAACTAAGACAACACACTGTCTTAGGAAACAGAGCCAAAGGGTCGTAGCTTAGACTATTCCACAACGCAGCAATCAGGTGTGTGATGTAGTGAAGTGGTTCAGACAAGTTGCAACAAATGTTGAGTCTGGGAACTCAGGGGTAAGTCAGAGGTTAACACCTCACTGACTTTTCAGAAACAAGGAGTAACAAGATGAATGCTTGGAAGCTTGGAAAAGACGTGGAAGTATGTGATAGTCGATTTACTGTATTGTCTGCTTGCCCTTTCTTAAGGAAAGGGCAATCCTATTTATGCTAAAGGAATGTAGTTCTCTCATTTTCCAAGACTTTCCATGACTTACCAGGCTTGGTAACTGTAGTCGATGTAAGAGAATCCCATAGAACCATCTCTTAGGTTCGTAGCCTATAGGAAGTAAAAGGAGGTCCAAGGTCAGAGTACCCCTATAGACAAATTATGTCATAGACAAATTATGTCATAACATAACCAATCTTGTGGGTAACTAAAGAGCGATGACATGTAATGAATCATAGAGGTTCGTAGGAGCTTTTAGAGCTATCGTTCATGCTCCTAGGCCTCTAGTTGGTAGAGATATGTCATGTGGTAGTATGAGTGATGTCATGTAATGAATCATAGAGGGTTGTAGAGATATGCTATGTGGTAATATCGGCCCAGTAACTAAGGAGCGATGACGTGTAATGAATCATAGATGGTTGTAGCAATCGTTGAGTAGTATTGCTCTTGTTGTTGGTGTGATAAGCCAAAATATGTATAGTGACTTGTAGGTTTGAGGAGAAGATTTCCAAGTTTGCTCTTGAGTTTGATAGCAAACTGAGTGCAACGAATGTCAGTATGACAACTGTGAGAGTGGTGTCCTGGTTCATTCTTCAGAGCTTGTTGGGTTTGCTTTTCAAGATATTTCTGAATTGTTTGTTGCTCTGTGATTTGTTGCTCGTTGCTCTGGATCAGTTCCTGTAACTGGAGAATGGCATCATCCTTTTCAGCCAGTATCAAATTCGAGTCCTCTGCTAGGGCCAAATAGTCCCGAAGAATGTTCTTGTGCAAAGTCCATGCCATTTTCTGGTTGGCGGCAGATAGTTTCTGGAATTCGTTGTAATGGTGGGTGCACCAGATATGAGAATCTAGCCACCCAAGGAAGGGATGAATTTACTAAGACAACACACTGTCTTAGGAAACAGAGCCAAAGGGTTGTAGCTTAGACTATTCCACAACGCAGCAATCAGGTGTATGATGTGGTGAAGTGGTTTAGACAAGTTGCAACAAATGTTGAGTCTGAGAACTCAGGGGTAAGTCAGAGGTTAGCACCTCACTGACTTTTCAAAAACAGAGAATAACAAGATCAATGCTTGGAAGCTTGGAAAAGACGTAGAAGTATGTGCTAGTCGATTTACTGTATTGCCTGCTTGCCCTTTCTTAAGGAAAGGGCAATCCTATTTATGCCAAAGGAGTGTAGTTCTCTCATTTTCCATGACTTTCCATGACTAACCAGGCTTGGTAAATGTATTAGAAATCAAGTGCGACCCACAACTAGCTTGCTAATCATGTAGTGAACGTAAGAGAATCCCATAGAACCATCTCTTGGGTTCCTAGCCTATAGGAAGTGAAAAGGAGGTCCAAGGTCAGAGTACCTATAGATAAATTATGTCATAACTTAACCAATCTTGTGGGTAACTAAGGAGCGATGACGTGTAATGAATCATAGAGGGTTGTAGAAGCTTCTAGAGCTATCGTTCATGTTCCTAGGCCTCTAGTTGGTAGATATATGCCATGTGGTAGTATTGGCCCACCCCCTTAAGGAGGAGATTTTCTTAATAACTTGTTCAATGAGTGTTCAAATGATATGCCGTGATGTATGTAGCATAAACAGATGTAGTAGAAGAGTTTGCAGCAATCGTTGAGTAGTATTGCTTCTGTTGTTGGTGTGATAAGCCAAGATATGTATGGTGACTTGTAGGTTTGAGGAGGAGATTTCTAAGTTTGCTCTTGAGTTTGATAGCAAACTGAGTGCAACGAATGTCAGTATGACACAAAGGCCAGTTATATCCTTGTCGAGGGAGCGTTGTAAAAGGTCTGACTTGCGAAGGTGGTGTGTGTGTATCGAGCTGACTGTTGAGAGCCAACTTTGAGGGGTTGCCTCGGGTTCAGCTCAAAGAGCAGGAAAAGAGGTATAAGAGAGATTGAGTTTTATGTCACGGTTCACTAAGGCATAGGGCGCCAGTTGGGTATTATGAATTAAACTCAATCTAGAGAAGAAAGGAAAGAGAAGAGGAGCACTTGAGCAGTGGCTCGATCTATATACAGCTATGTTGTTGTGGAGTGAATTCTCTTTAGAGACCAGTCCTGAGAATTCACTCCACAACTGAAAACTTCGCTCCAACCCCAGAAAGCTCCCCACACCCCTGAACCCCCACTCGAGCTGCAAGGCGCACTTGATATCATAACATCTGTAACTGAGGGCGGAGGACCTGCCTTAAGTCTTACCATGTGACCGTAACCAGTCCGACTCAGATCCCTTCCGTCACTAAGGGCGGAGGCATCCTTACATCTCCTAGCTTAAACTGTGACTTAATTTTGGCTCTATATAGATCTCAAAAGATAGCTGGAGGTTTGTAGGATGCACTATGTACAGGTATTGAGTCTTTGATCCTGCTTCTTTAAGGATAGCACGTAGGGCGGGCTTCTGATTAGTAAATCTTATAAAATGCACCTAGTAGCAGCGATATTAGGCAAGTAGCAGGGGGGCATATACTTGGGATACTTATCAAACGCACCTAGCAGCGGTGCTATAGAGCAGCAGCAGAGTAGCTTAATAATGATATATTAGCGTTAGAATACCATTTTATGAACTTAGAAAGGCAGTTAACGGAATTCACCTCCGGCTGTTAATGGAATGGACTAGTGAAGCGACGTCTGGTGCCATCTGCTGTCTAGTGATTTTGATCTTAGCGAGTCTGCTGTGCCATTTTTCGCCACCTATTAGCCATCTCATGACGATTCAGGCTAAATAAGGGCCTGCCTTCTGTCCTAAGGCTACCACTACACGCTTTGGCCTGTACAGAGTAGTCCATACCTTGAAGCCGATAACAGCACAAGTGGGGCGTCCAAAACGCCACAATGCATGAGGGAATACATTAACATGGCGGAGAGCGTATTCGCATTCCATTTTCATCAGCACCGATCGGGTTTGCCACCATCCTCTTACTCCGTGGCCGTGTTGAAGCATCCTTTGACAAGGCCTTAGCGCTTGGCATCCTTGTGTCTCCCCAAAGTTTGCCACCGAGATATCAGTTACGCGCGAGTTGCGCGAGCTGCGCGGCTGACGGATGGGCGGGTCTGGAGCTGCTCCTTAGACATTGCTTACATGGCATCGTCGGTGTCATCTCTTTGTTGGCTCGAGGCCGCCAAAAGACTAACGTCCCGTCCCGCCACCGAGAGACATGCAATGCACAACCAGGCCTATCACGCTGACCATGCCGTAAGCACTCTTTATCGGGCCTTCTGCACCTCTCCAGCCATAAGGCTGTGCTTTTTTATGGGTTTCCCAGCATAATCAGAGGGATTTAATTCCACGGCCAATGCTTGATTCCCATGCCGTACTGTCTGAGCCGGCTGTTGCCTGCCATACGGTCTCTTTGCCGTTGAGATTCTCATGCGGGAAGCAATTCGCTGACACATACCGGGAGCACGAGACTGGTAGAAAATTGGAAATGCAGGAACAAGGAACGGTCATCAAGCTTGACCGAAGGCAAGGCTGTTGAAGCGATTGGAGAGCAGGTCTTGTGCGTTTCTCTAACACGAGATTTCGGATTCTTGTGAGCATCAAAACACACCGGGTAAATGAGATGTCAACTCGACATTCAAAAGCAGCGGATTCAGCAATTAGCCGGGCCTACGGAGTTTCCTGTAGGACCGAGGGGATAAGGGTATTTCTTGGAACTTGGCCACTTTCGAGACGCCATTGTCCTGTGCATACTGGATCAACAGTACGATGGTTGTGATATGCAGGATCACGACGCGGACTTGCTGTGGTGCTGAGGCTGGGCACTGGGCGTACCAGCTTCCCCAACAACGTACAACCACAGCCAATTGCGTTTGACGCCGAAGGAAGGATGAAGGTTTAAACTTCAACATTCAGAAGGATCAGCTTCAGCTCGCTGCTAGTGCACTGTCGGAGGCCTAGAATCGTCATTTCCGATCTCCTTTTTCATGGATATTGTTATTGGGGATAGGGAAAGTGTCGTCGAGCCTAGCCTTGCTGCCCTCACAGCCTCCCCACACCTCAGGTTCCCCCACCTCAGCGTCATCATGTCACTCAACACCACCATCGGAACGCCCAACAAGTGGGATGCAGACCTGGTTTGGCCGTCCGGTCAAGCCATTCAGTCGCTTTAATTACGTGGGCGTCGTTTCAAGGTTTGATATCGAAGGATTTCTAATACCAGCCGCCGGACGCGGCGCAGCCTTGCGCTGCCTTTCAGAGACCAGATCAGATATGCTGGTCCAGGCAGCTATGGGGTGATTCAGAGCTTTGATTAAATAAATACCTTCTGCATCCCCTCATTTCTTTTAATTTGCCCCCCTCAGTTGCTATCCAACCATTACTAGCTACTAACCTCTCGCCAAATCAACCCGAGCCTGTTCGAGGACAGCAAATCACCACATCGTTGAAGCTCCAAGTCTAGCCTTGCAGCATAAGGCACCCCAGTCCAAATACCGGCACAGGATCTGAGCCTGTTCATCCATTCTATCCGCCAGCGGCTTCGACTTCAAATATGTCGGGATACGACAGCGACGAGTCAATGGGACGACCAAGACTTCTCACGCCGGGTCTGAGGTAAGCTTGATACCACGGCAATCAGATCATACTCACCACTTGCTAACCAACCCAGTGAGACTCACTCGATGCAGGGTTCTGGGTGCAGCTCCGAAGACCGAAACTCTAGCCCAGAGCGAAGCCCGAAACGGAGATGTACATATAACCCATATGATCCACGGCTCAACGGCGATGGCAACCATATGGCGTCTGCTGCCAGTCCTCCGGGGCACCCAACAGCTTTCGTCTTCATCCCTTGCTCCCCAGTTAGAAGCTGGACTACACCAATCCCTAGCTCGCTTCGTTCAACTGTGCCGAGTCCTGGCTTACCTTGTTCGACCATACCGTCTTTCGGCATGCCTTGTTCGACCTTACCGTCTTCTGGCATGCATTGTTCGACCATACCGTCTTCTGGCGCGCCTTGTTCGACCATACCGACTCCAGGGTCACCCCGTTCATTCGGCCAGAGCCGTGAGTTCCTGCCTTTGATACTTTCGGGGGGGCTCCTCTACAACAGAGCTCGCAACCCATATCCAGTATCGGCCATGGCATTGGCTGCAGAGCGTTACTCGCGTGTGCCTGCATCCCCAAGGTTACGCATCATCGACTGGAGACTGAGGTTAAATTCGTGGCCAGAGGCGTCCAGGAGCCAGGCGGATGCGGAGATGGATACGTGCGAAGCGGCGTTGAGGAGATCGAGTACCTGGTAGCATTTCGGCTTGGTCGCTGTGGTCAAATATTGCCCAACAGTAAAGTCGGGAGTATCACAACCGTTTCTCTTGACATGCTAGTCAAAAGATCCACGCCGGCATCTACATGGATGAAGCGCATGAGGCATGGTTGCTGAAGCTTGTCTCTTACATTCGTTTTCTTTTTCTTGTCAAAGGATGCACGCCGCCATCAATAGAGATGGGGCACGGCGCAGGGTTGCCAGAAGATCGTCTCTCTCACTCGTTCTCCTTTCCGGTAAAGATGATGCCTTTGGTGTCCTCCATTATCTAGGCACACGAGTCAGGATTGTTAGAAGCTCGTCTCTCACACTCGTTATTTTTTCTTGTGAAGATAAAGCGATTTGCATCCCTTGCTACTCAGGGCACATGAGTCAGAATTGTTGGAAGCCTCTTTCTTTTAGTCGTTATCTGTTGCTCAAGACACATGAGTCTGGACAGGAAGCTTCTTTCTTTCAGTCGTTATCTTTTCTGGCGAAGAGGAAGCTCTAGGCGGCCTCTATTACCTGTCATACCATAACATTCGTTTCTATATTTATTCCTCCGTTGGCCTTAGGCTTGATCTGAGCATTTTCTGGTGTCAAGGGGTATTGTTGTTTTCAGATAACCACTTGGTTGTTCTCAAAAAGTGTTTTATAAATCATGTCACGTGGTTAGTGTCACGTGGTTATGAGATGGTGAATCTGAAAGGCGACTATGGATGGGTTGGGCTGCTAGAAACGTCTTAAAAAGTATTGTGGTAGAATATCAGCGATTAAAAAGTCTATCTGCATATCAAGTGACACAGAGCCTCTTTCAAAGCGAAAAAAGCTAGAAAGTACGGAGTACAAAGCGTGTGATTCAAAAAGAAATAAAATAAAGTGAATAATCATCAGGCTCTGTACCATTTTCCAAAAAGTAGCCACGCACCATCTCGTTGCCTGGTTTCGCCAACCTTGGGCCACATTTCACCACTAACAATCTGCACTGGCCAGCTCTCATAATCGCCCTGGAACTCTGTCGAATGTAGAGGATAGCGGCGACTAGCAACAAGAGTCAGTTCATTTAAGCGAGGCTAGTAGGCTACGGTACCTATCACCAAAGCTTGGGCTGCTTCTCCGTACCTTGATCAACATCATCATAACTTGGACACTTCACAACTCCAAACCCCATCTTCCTCACTTCAACCATCACACTTTCTATTGTCTGTGACATATCATCACAACTGTTCCGTGCAGTCACAGACCCAATATCTTACTTGCTCCACTCGAACGAAACGTTCACAGCTCCGCGAGGACATCCTACTCGTACGACTTGTCTATCGCCAGATCTGAGCTCTCATCATCACCATGTCTGCCGAACCAGACTATGTCAGCAAGAAGAAGGTTAACTTGAAGTGAGTTCACTTGTGAGGTCGAGCTTCATGGCAATAGGTTTACTGACTGGCTCCACAGTGACGCTTCCGGCGCAGAACACAAAGATGTAAGCATATAACGCCACCGTACGATCTGGCCGGCCCATGGCGGATACTGACAGTTCCCAGGCCGACGATACTGCAACTGCTATTCTCAAGAAGAAGAAGAAGCCAAACTCGTTAATGTAAGCCTATCTCTGTGAATTCAATGATGTGCAGATACTGATATCTGTTGCAAACAGGGTTACTGATGCCATCAACGATGACAACTCTATTATCGCCCTCTCCAACAACACCATGGAGGTATTAGGATTATTCCGTGGTGACACCGTCTTGGTCAAGGGAAAGAAGCGCAAGGATACCGTTCTTATCGTTCTGGCCGATGACGAGCTGGATGATGGAAGTGCACGTATCAACCGTGTTGTCAGGCATAACCTCCGCGTAAAGCACGGAGATATGATTACCGTGCACGCGTGTCCGGATATCAAATACGTACGTTAGGAAAGTCCACAGGATCGTATGATTATGCTAACAGTTTATTAGGCAAAGCGCATTGCGGTTCTTCCAATTGCCGATACCGTTGAAGGCCTTACCGGCTCCCTCTTCGATGTTTTCCTTGCACCATACTTCCGCGAATCATACAGGCCGGTACGCCAAGGCGATCTCTTCATGGTCCGAGGTGGCATGAGACAAGTCGAATTTAAGGTAGTCGAGGTGGACCCACCGGAGTACGGAGTTGTTGCACAAGATACAGTCATTCACTGCGAGGGCGAGCCAATTCAACGTGAGGATGAGGAGGGTAACCTCAACGAGGTCGGCTACGATGATATTGGTGGATGCAGAAAGCAAATGGCACAGATCCGTGAGATGGTTGAGCTCCCTCTCAGACATCCACAGCTGTTCAAGTCGATCGGTATCAAGCCACCTCGTGGTGTTCTCATGTTCGGTCCTCCCGGTACGGGTAAGACCCTCATGGCGAGAGCGGTTGCCAACGAGACTGGTGCATTTTTCTTCCTGATCAACGGTCCTGAGATTATGTCCAAGATGGCCGGAGAGTCTGAGTCGAATTTACGCAAGGCATTCGAGGAGGCCGAGAAGAACTCCCCCGCAATCATCTTCATCGACGAAATCGACTCTATTGCGCCAAAGCGTGACAAGACCAATGGAGAGGTTGAGCGCCGTGTCGTTTCCCAGCTTCTTACCCTGATGGATGGCATGAAGGCTAGATCCAATGTCGTTGTCATGGCTGCAACCAACAGGCCTAACTCCATCGATCCTGCTCTCCGTCGTTTCGGTCGCTTCGATCGCGAGGTTGATATTGGTATCCCCGACCCAACTGGCCGTCTCGAGATTCTTCAAATTCACACCAAGAACATGAAGTTGGGTGATGATGTTGATCTGGAGCAGATCGCATCCGAGACTCACGGATATGTCGGTTCCGATATTGCGTCTCTCTGCTCTGAGGCTGCCATGCAGCAGATTCGTGAGAAGATGGATCTCATCGATCTTGATGAGGAGACGATCGATGCCGAGGTTCTCGACTCCCTCGGAGTCACGATGGACAACTTCCGCTTCGCCCTTGGTGTCTCCAACCCATCCGCTCTTCGCGAGGTTGCCGTTGTCGAGGTACCAAATGTTCGCTGGGACGACATTGGAGGACTGGAGAACGTCAAGCGCGAGCTCATCGAGAGCGTGCAGTACCCAGTCGACCATCCCGAGAAGTTCCTCAAGTTTGGTCTTTCGCCATCTCGTGGTGTTCTTTTCTACGGTCCACCAGGTACTGGTAAGACACTGCTCGCCAAGGCTGTTGCCAACGAGTGCTCTGCCAACTTCATCTCCGTCAAGGGGCCCGAGCTTCTGAGCATGTGGTTTGGTGAGTCTGAGAGCAACATCCGTGATATTTTCGACAAGGCCAGAGCTGCTGCTCCTTGTGTTGTCTTCCTCGATGAGTTGGATTCCATCGCCAAGTCGCGTGGTGGATCTGTCGGCGATGCCGGCGGTGCCTCTGACCGTGTTGTCAACCAGCTTCTTACTGGTGAGTTAATTCCCCTCTTTCCTGAGATTATCACAAACTAACAAATCTCAGAAATGGACGGAATGACCTCCAAGAAGAACGTCTTCGTTATCGGCGCTACTAACAGACCTGAGCAACTCGATAACGCTCTGTGCCGTCCCGGACGTCTCGATACCCTCGTTTACGTCCCGCTTCCAGACGAGACATCCCGTGCTGGTATCCTCAAGGCCCAGCTCCGCAAGACCCCGGTCGCTCCAGATGTGGACATCGCCTACATTGCGTCCAAGACCGAGGGCTTCTCCGGTGCTGATTTGGGTTTCATCACTCAGCGTGCCGTCAAGCTCGCCATCAAGGAGGCCATCTCTCTCGATATCGAGCGCCGCAAGGCTCGCGAGGCGGCTGGCGAGGATGTTGAGATGGAGGATGAGGATGCCGAGGACCCAGTCCCAGAGCTGACCAAGGCACATTTCGAGGAGGCCATGGCATCTGCCCGCCGCTCCGTTACCGACGTCGAGATCCGCCGTTACGAGGCCTTCGCCCAGTCGATGAAGAGCTCCGGCGGTGGTGCCTTCTTCAAGTTCCCTGAGGGAGGTGACCCAGAAGCTCAGGGTGCCGGAAGCGGTGGCTTCGGCGAGGCCGGCAACGATGACAGCCTTTACGATTAGTTAACCATGTACTCTATACGTTTCTATTTTTTTCTCTTTATTGCATCTCAGTCTAGTGGGTGTCACAGGGCATGATCGGGTCTTGCTTCACCAGGAGTTACGCTCCTTTGTAGCAGGTATCTCTAGAGGTTAGCAACGTCGATCTCGAGTTTTCGGGTCGTCCGACCTACACATCTAGGAGCGATATGGTTTGGGATATGAATATTCGATGAGTTACAGGACAGCGTTGGGAGTGAAGGGAGGATTAGACAAGACGGATGGGAGTCGTTGCTTTCTCTTGCTACTTGGTAGTATCGCCATAGATTGTTTAATAACATGCTCTATCTAAATACTGAAAGTTCCAAATCGTGACATATGTGACTATACCATTTCCTAAGTAAATACAACAACTGAATAAATCCGATTTTCGCTCATAAAAGTCGTCATCGCCTACCCAGGAACGGCATCCAATCTCTCGTTAGCCATTTCCTCGGCGCTGACCCAAAAATTTATACCAAGTCACGTGCCTATCCCACTAGCTCCGCTCGGCTTCACGGTCATCAAATAGCACCACTACCACCAAGCCAACCAGCTCCTCCAGCACCTCTCTAACACCTCAATTGCCAATCCACAATGTTCCTCCAACGCACCGTGATCGCGGCCCGCCGCGCGGCCGTCAGCCCTGCCATCAGGCGCAGCTTCTCCAGCGCAATTGTTCGCCGTAAGTTTCTCCGAGGAAGGCTTCCCGAGGTGTGATCGGGCGAATGCGGTTTAGGAGGGAGAGAGAGGAAGGGGGATGGAGGGGGGGTCAATCGGCGTCGCTGCGGATTGTGGGGGATGGGAAGGGGAATTGATAGCTAATTCGTGTGTGTAGAGGAGAGCAACAAGTACAGCGTCGCTACCAAGGCGAAGCCTTTCTCTGGTATGTTCGCACATCACGACCCAGCGACTTTTTTTGGGATAGGGAATGGTGGCTAATATTATCGATGCAGAGATCAAGAATCAGGATGATCTCCTCCCCCAGGGTGCCCAGCCTGGCACCATCCCCACCGATCTCGAGCAGGCGACTGGTCTAGAGCGTGTTGAGATTTTGGGGAAAATGGAGGGGATTGACATCTTCGACATGAGGCCTCTGGATTCCAGCCGTACCGGTAAGATAAAAACCGCCCGCGCATGCACTCGCTGCTTTACAATATACATACTCGAGACAGATGCGAAAGACGGAATGGAATGCTAATGTATACAAGGAACCATCGCCGACCCTATCATGGTCAAGTCCTTCGGCGAGGAGCAGTACGTTGGCTGCACCGGCTCCCCTGCCGACTCCCACGTCACCATCTGGCTTACCGTACGTCTCCCCACCACCACGTCCCCCCCCAATCCACTCCATACCATAGCTATCCGTAACTAACACCCCCCCCCCAACAACAGATGTCCCGCGAGCGCCCCGTCGGGCGCTGCCCCGAGTGCGGCTCCGTGTACAAGATGGAGTACGTCGGTCCCCAGGACGACGGCCACCACGACGACGATCACCACGATGATGGACTCGATCACGGCTACGCGCACCCGCTGCTCGAGGAGCCGAAGACGTTTGCGGATTTCGTGAAGCCGGAGTACAGATAGATGTGTTTCTTGGCTTGTGTGCGAACTGTACGGAATGGATAGATAGATTGGTCGGGGGGGGGGAGCGGAGCCGGGGGGGTATTGTTGTATAGAAAATCTATGGGTGGTTTGTTATTTGTCCTGTCTATGTGTGTCCGATGTGCCAAGGGGAGATACAGGGTGAGATTGTAGATATGCAACTAATTGATCAAGAGTCCCATGTAAGGCATCCAACAGCGTATGGCATATTCGTCTCTTATTGTCCGTCCTCACTTCATCGGTCAATTTCTTCTTGAGAAAGAAAATGCAATTCCATAATTTCAAAAATCGTGTTACAGTATATACGAGCACAATTTCGAGATATAGATGGGGGATATGGGGGAACAACTGACTGTATATTCAGTAATTTGCGAGCTGCAGTTCAAATAGTCTGTCCAGTAGGTATAAAAGGATTCAGGCATACTTTAGAGCCTAGAAGGATTGGAAGGCCCGCGCAGGGGCGCCAAAAACTCCAGCTTGCTTTCTGGAAATTATATGTCCAGGAGATACAGCTCTAAAAGCCTTTGTCAACTACAGTCAAATACCAATTAACCCCATTCCTCTCCATAATACCATAATAATGCTCAATCATCCTCAAAAAGTTCACTTGCACCCCCTCCACAATCACGTCCAAAAGATTCACATCCCCTTCTGAAAATTGTTTGTTCTGCACCCGTCCTGTGTATTTATTTACATCCAACGAAACGCGTAATAGGAAAGTGATGATATGCTGCGTATCCGAAACGCTCCTCCCCTCAGTAGTAGTATCGATATCCAAAAACGCCGGTTCCCAAATGCATACTTCTATCCGGCCCCACGACGACTTTCCACACTCCATCTTCTCTCTTCCAACCTCTTCCTCCCATCTTCAATTCTTTTTCCAGCTCCCTTCGCACCCGCATTAATCCCCCATCCTCAAGGCCTAACCTCAACAACCATCTCCAAACACTCCCTCGTAATCCTCACCCCCTCCTCCATCACCACCCCCGGAATCTCCAACCCACCCCCCTCCCTCTCCCCCCTCCTATCCCTCCCCCCCGTCCCCGCATACACCTCCCCCCTCTCCTCCGCCCTCTTCCTCGCCCCCGCCTCCCGCCTCGCCGCATTAGTATCCTCCCTAATATCCGCCATCACCTGCTCCATCAATCTCGGGAAGGTGTCGCATTCTGAGTCGGGGGAGCGCAGGAGCGTGAGCGCGTGTTGTCGGATGCGGGTCGGCCAGTTGGAGGCGTCGGAGGAGAGGATGTGGGAGAGGTGGTTGTGGATGCTGGGGGGGTGTTAGTGGGTGGTGGGTGGTGGATGGGGATTATGTCATTGGGGGGAGAGTGGTGAAGGGACGGGGTAGAAGGGGAGAAGGAAGGGAGGGGGGGGGGCGGCGTACCGGTCAATATGCCCATCTTTTATAAGCTGAGCGTTTATCTCAGATCTCAAATCTGGGTCTGGGGCGTTGGCAGCAGCGGGCGTCCGAGGGATCACCACGCCTGTTGGTGTCTTGCCCGGGGACGGTTGTGCCATTGTGTAGAAAGATTATCGCAAATACGCTTCACGATTCTCGTGTATAGCAAAATCTCGCCCGTTTTCCGGATTCGGGAGCCTCTCAATTGTATATTCCTTCTTTCTGGTTTGGTGCTGGCTGAGGGGAAACAGTTGCGAAGGCGTCGGTCACTAACTTCCAATTCTGTGACTATTGCAACAGTGGGTGCTTGCATAACAATGCTATATCTCCTCGCTATGCAGACTGCAATTATAATATCGAGTGAAACAGCTACCAGATTTTATGGGTGTTATGGTCGTGGCATTGTCGCTTTGGATTGGGGGACTGGGTAGGTTGAGAGTTGCGTAAATTTGGGAAGTCTTTCAGCCTTGTCGTTAGGCGGGAGATGGGGGGAAGGTGCGAGGGGGGGACGAGGTTGGAGATGTGATAAGGACTATGGTTGTGGTGAAATGCTTTTAATATGTTAGATAGGCATACCTCTGTAATTGTCAATATATCGAATGGTAATATTTGATTTTGTAACGTGGAAAGGTAAATAATTATTTTATTAACTTGTTTCATTTTCGTCAATTTTAGTTACCGGAAATATAAAAACATGTGTTCGACCAACCATATGAATTAAATAAAACCCAGAGAGCATTTTCAAAGTATTACATAACGAAAGACCATATCAATCGAAAAGCCTCAATTCTAGCTCAAGAATAATTAAGAGTTAAGAGACGTTATAAGGATGGCTGGTTTCTGATCGTGATATACTCCAAAAACGGACATGATCACGTCACATACAAGGCTGAGCTCGCACGAGCCTTGGGATAGTTAGCTGTTTCATGGTGATCAGCTTCTAGCATCAGAATGGAGCTGGCGCCCATCAATGCACCTGCCGTCTCCATTGGGGCTGTTGCAGCTTCTCCACCACGTGGTCGTACGCTTATACAGGTCCATTAACTGGTCGCACATAGCTATATATATGGGGACCGGTGTCGTCACCGAACAGTCGTCCCAGCCCTCCATCTCACCGGTCCTGTCGTCTGTCTGTCTCCAAATATCGTTGGAGTCGGTGCTCCCACAACGACCTCGGTCGAAACTCGGGCGAGACAACGCCGACGACAACGAGAGAATGAACACTCTGTTAGTTTCCAAACCAAACCTCGCCTATCACCTCGGGAATAGAACACGTCTCCTCATACCCGTTCCCGCCTATTTGTCCTGCATCACTTGGCTTGCCTGGAAGGGAGGGGGGCGGTGAGGGAGATAAGTTAGGTAGACGCCCGTGGACTCCTGGGGGGACCCGAGCTGCTTTCGTCTCAAGCGCCAATGCCAACGGTACGGCCCGAAATCCATGTTCCTGGCCATGGTCGTCTGTCAATCGAACACGTATCCCTTCCGCCTGAAGGGAAGGCGTGCAGCCGGTTGCTCAGCTGGAACTTACCGGTCAACTGTGTGCTCTCAGGAAATATGAGATACGTGGTGCGAGAGCGGCCACAGGAAGAGTCAAGGGCCACAGCACCACACATTGGGCAAAGCAAACAGCGGAAGCCGCCGAGCAGCTTACCGCGTCTCGAGTTACAATTCCGATGGGTTTTGATCATCAGACGTCCGTTGAGCTGGTCAATATCTCTCTTTTGTGGTTTGACAAACTGAGAGGTCTGAGATGGCATAGGCCCGGGGATGAAGCGGAGTGTGAAACCCTAGTAACGGCCAGAACATGAGCGAGTCCAGCCCGGACAATGTAGGCTTATTCCACTAACCCCGTCGACTCTGGCATAGGAGTAGCTGCAAGCCGGCATGGTTATGGCGCACACCGCACGTCTTGTAATTTGGTAATACATGCCCAACGGGGTGGTAGATGACCTGAGCTACTGTGGAGTATCCCCCATATGCGTGGCGGAGCGGGAGTCGGAGCAGGCAGGGGGCGGGGCGGCATATTGTTCCGGGGCCTATGGAGAAAAGACGGTGAGTGTTTTGAGAGTGAGCATGTGGGAGTTGGGCCGCGTGCGGATGCTCAAATGTGAGACTGCGCCGGGACTACATCAGACCGAGGTGACGGGGACATTGGTGATGTTGTCAAGAGGCATTTAACGTGCTGTACATCTGCGTACGGCGTACAGGATGCGCGAGGGAGCCTCTCGAATTGATGTTCGGGTGGGAGGGAGGGAGCCTCTCGAATGTTCGGTAGTGGCATACGCTGACCAACTGAACCGAACGAAACATGGGCATCTTGAAGCTGAAGCTGAATGAATGGCACCGCGGGGCCTTGGAGGGGGCGACCCGGGGGATCTTAGAAGGACTAATCCTTTGGTAAAAAAGCCCTAGAGCGTCGAGACCTGCCAAGGCGCTTGGAATCATGGCGGGGCGACCGGGTGACCTGGGAGGGTCGCTCTTAGGGTGTTCCGCCGGTTCCGCCGTCGATGTCGATGGAGGGGGATGCAAGATTGCCTCTTTGAGATGTTGGGATGGGCTGGGCTAACGTAGTTAACGGAGTACTGGTATTCTACCACTTACTAACTAACATCCTAACATCCTAACATCCTAACATCCTAACATCCTAACATCCTAACATCCTAACATCCTAACATCCTAACATCCTAACATTCTAACATCCCAACTAACTAACATCCCAACTAACTACATCCTAACATCCTAACTAACAACTAGCTTCCTAGCTTCCTAGCTTCCCAACTTCCCAACTTCCCAACTTCCCAACTTCCCAACTAACCAACCAACTAATGTACATACACCCCAACGAATGCGACTTGCAGACAGCTTGCAGACCAATTTTGCAGCTCTAGACCGCCTCCGGGGAATACTTGGTTAGAGTTGTACTGCGGTGTGTGAGTAGCTGCATCAAAGCGAACCCGGCATGCAGGCATTAGTTTGTTAGTTGTAGTTTGTTAGTTGTTGTTTGTTAGTTGTAGTTTGTTAGTTGTTGTTTGTTAGTTGTAGTTTGTTAGTTGTAGTTTGTTAGTTGTAGTTTGTTAGTTGTAGTTTGTTAGTTGTAGTTTGTTAGTTGTTGTTTGTTAGTTGTTGTTTGTTAGTTTGTTAGTTGTTGTTTTTTAGTTTGTAGTTGTTGTTTGTTAGTTGTGTTGTTTGTTAGTTGTTGTTGTTAGTTGGTTAGTTGGGAAGCTAGTTAGTTGGTTAGCTAGTTAGTTGGTAACTAGTTAGCTAGTTAGTTGGTTAGCTAGTTAGTTGTTAGCTAGTTAGTTAGCATTGGTCCTTCACAACAACCTCATTCTTTTCCAACAGGTCCAATAATACTACCTACTCTACTACCTACTCTACTACCTACTCACTACACTGGCCCATGTCCATACCAACTAAATAAATAAACCTCACGAAAAGTAACGCCATCCATCTCCCGCATTTTTGGGGGGTCTCTCTCCCCACATCAAAATTCCCATTTCCCATACCCCAAAAAACCACACCGATCATACCCCCAATCCGACCTTCGGGACTCGTCGTTATCATACATACATTACAATTCCTGTCGCTGCCCTTTTCTGCACCACCAGAATATTACTGTCTTTCGCACTTTCCCAATTTCTTCGCACCACAGCACCACTTCTATTCTGGATCGCAGTCCCCCTTCCTCAAACTGTCAGATACCAGAAGCACCTGACTCGACCTGTGCGATCTGGGCCGCACGACTAAGACCAATTTTGCCGCCGTAGTGGCAACTGGCAACCCCGACAGCTACGCCACCCCTATGGTATCCTACCTACCTGGAACAATCCCATATAACTCCCCGTCCACCGCCCGCACCCCAGACAGGCATGAGTGAATACCAGAACCGGTAATACTCATAATTCGGATCGCAAGCGGAGGGAGTCCGATCTCGGGAGGAAAAACTTACCACCATGGATTCTTCTTCAGAGCCAATTCCCACCATGGCGAGCTCCTCTTCGCCTGGCATTGCATATTGGATCCTTCACTATGTCCAATACGCATACCCATTGGTGTTGCTCGTGGTCTTCCTGACTGCATTCGTTGCGCACAGCATCATTTCCTCCCCCAGTAACCAGTCTGTCACTTCTCGATCTACCCTCACGGGCCCAGGAGGCAAGCCACTACCGCCGACCTCGAGACCGCCCAGCAATGGCCCGCCAGTGCCGACGAACGATGGGTTTGGCAAGACCCGCAGCTTGCTCTTCTGCTGGCTGTCGGTTGGCCTGATTGGCACCTTTGTCGGAAACATTGTCAATATCGTGGTGCACGCCGTCTCGGAGCGCAAGGAGGGCTGGTGGTGTGGTGAGGCGCCTGCGGTATGTTCACACGACCTCCTTCTCTTCTTACTCTGTGGTGACTCGGGCTAATTTGGGGTCGCAGGCATACGTGATCGGCTCCGCATTTCTCTACTCGCTCTTTCTTATTTCGCTGGTCGATACACATCCGTCTCCGAGTGTCGTTCATTTGATAACATGGAGTGTTGCGTTGGTCGGGGAGCTTGTTCTCATTGGGGCCTCAATCGTGTATATCACGTCACCGCACCGCGAAATAAATTCTTTGAACCCAGATACGGCTATATTAGAGGTTCCAAATCAATGGGAGATTGTCGAGGTCCTCTGTGATGCCACTAGGGTACTCTTTCTGGTGCTCTGCGTGGCATTCTACGCGTTCTTCTCCTATCAGCAATCGTCCACGCCCAGTAAAAGAAGGACCTCTCGAGAGCGCGCTGCTGCGAGGGACGAGCGAATGCCCCTGCTCAATGGACACACCGTCACCGGTGATGTTCACGTAGAGAATGGACACACGGAACACGAGAATGGAGGGCATTCGCCAGGGGAGTCAACGTACGGTGCTACTACCATGAATGGACATGCTGCTATAAACGGCGACGCTGCTATGAATGGACATGGCCAGGGTCCGGCAGGTCCTACTGATTCGGCGGCATTTTACAGACCTACGACTGCGCCTTCGAGGAGCTGGTGGGAATACCTACGTGGATACTCGCTATTCTTCCCATACCTGTGGCCGAACAAGTCATTGAGGCTCCAGATCACAGTGGTTGTCTGTTTTGTGCTCGTGCTGCTACAACGACTGGTCAATGTCCTTGTCCCAATCCAGATGGGCAATGTGACAGACATGCTGTCCGAAGACGATCCGGAAGAGGAGGGCATTCTCCAGATGCTGAAGGGTGGACCTACAGGCCCGGGAATGCCGTGGTTGGCCATTTCTCTCCTCATCGTGTACAAGGTTTTCCAGGGGACGTCGGGTCTCCTTGCGGCCGGGAGAGCCGTGCTCTGGATTCCAGTCTCCCAGTACTCTTACCAAGCGCTGTCTACTTCCTCGTTTGAGCACGTCCACGACCTAAGCCTGGACTTTCACCTGGGGAAACGCACTGGAGAGGTCCTGTCGGCTCTCAGCAAGGGTGCTGCGATCAACACGTTCCTGGAGCAGATCACTTTCCAAGTTCTGCCGATGCTCATCGACTTGGTACTCGCCATTATCTACTTTTCCATCAAATTCGACATCTACTACTCTCTCACTCTCAGCGTCGTTACCTTCTGGTACCTCTACGCGACTGTCCGCCTCGCGCAGCTGCGCGCTGAGCAGCGTAGACGGATGATCAATGCGGACAGAGAGGAGGATGCAGTCAAAAATGACTCGATTCAGTCATATGAAACCGTGAAATACTTTGGCGCTGAGGAGTACGAGTCCAACAGGTACAGAAAAGCCGTCCAAAACTTCCAGAACGAGGAATATCAAGTCACTCTCTCTTTGAGCGTCATGAACATTGTCCAGAACATGATCTTCATGCTCGGATTACTGGTTGTGTCCTTAATCGCTGCATATCAAGTTACGTCTGGACTTCGACGTGTAGGAGAGTTCGTCTCGCTTATCACCTACATGGCCCAGCTACAGCAGCCGTTGAACTTCTTCGGCACGTTCTATAAGAATGTTCAGAGTGCCATGATCAATGGAGAACGTCTTTTGGAGCTCTTCAAAGAGCAACCGACCGTTACGGACCACCCTGGTGCACGCGATCTGAACAAATGTGAAGGGCGGATTACCTTTGAGGGTGTCAAATTCTCCTATGACCAGCGGAAACCCGCATTGCAAGACCTTACCTTTGACTGTCTGCCGGGAACGACAACTGCACTGGTCGGTGAATCGGGTGGTGGGAAATCGACAATTTTCCGCCTTCTGTTCCGTTTTTACAACGAGCAGGCTGGTAGAATTCTACTTGACAACCATGATGTCCAGAACTTGACCATCAAATCTCTGCGAAGCCATATCGGTGTCGTGCCGCAAGATACAGTACTTTTCAACGAGACAATCATGTATAACTTGAGGTACGCGAACCAAGATGCTACTGACGAGGACATCTTCAATGCCTGCAGAGCGGCCAGTATCCACGACAAGATCCTTTCATTCCCCGATGCCTACGACACCAAAGTCGGCGAGCGTGGGCTCCGTCTGAGCGGCGGTGAAAAGCAAAGAGTCGCCATCGCGCGCACCATCCTGAAGAACCCCCGGATCATCATGCTCGACGAGGCAACAGCGGCACTGGATTCAGAGACTGAGCAACACATCCAAGAAGCCCTCAAGCGGCTGTCCGTCGGTCGCACAATGCTTGTCATAGCGTAAGCACAATCCTTCCACTTGTCCACATGAGCACCCCCACTAATTTGATTTCCCACAACAGCCACCGCCTCTCCACCATCACCAGCGCAGACCAGATCCTGGTCCTACACGAGGGATCGGTGTACGAGCGCGGGACCCACGACCAGCTCCTCGCCAAGAAGGGGCGCTACTACAATATGTGGCGTAAACAGATTCGCGCGGAGAGAGCAGCTGAAGAAGCGCGCCTCCTGAGCGATCGCGCGGCGGTACTGAGAGAGCAGGCCTTGGCGAGACCGGGGAGCTGTGATGGTCTGGGGAGTGAGGAGACTTCGGATAATGATACTGCCCACGATGGAGCTGAAGCTGAGGCACAGAGACCTCTACTTGGGCCTGGCGAACATATTCGTGGCCCATTCCGGGGAGAGGCGTTCTTGGTTCGGAGAAGTACTCATGATGGGATACCGCCGGGTTCTCCTTGAGTAAATATACGTTTAACGAAGTCACGGCAAGCTTTGTCTACCACAGCTGCATGGCTTTGTTTGTGGGAATCAATCGCTCGTTCTCCCATCGTCCTCACATCGATAGCTCACATGAGCATATCCACAACGCCGAGCGGACTCACTCACTCACACCCCCTCGACACACACTTTACCTTCTTTTTTAATACTTACGTCCTGCAGCGCTTCATTAACGAATGTCACGGCAACCAAACAGCTGTTCTTCCCCCTGGAAACCGAGCATCAGCGAACCCGCATTATTCCTCACACCTTAATTAAACTTCACCCTTTTTAAACCCTGGATGGGGGTCGCCTTAATTACTCAATTCGTCGCTCTCGCCCTATTCATTCAACGGCGGCCCTGCTTTTTGCGTTTCCCTTCCCTTGATTTTTTTTCGCCCTCACCTACCTGTTTGCTTTTTGCTTTTTTCACAAAAAAAAGTTGAAATCTGCATCCTCTTTTTTATTCCTTTTGGGTCCTTTCAGCATCGAGCGTGTTTGTTTTGCGGCGGCGTGCTCTGCTTTTTTGCTTTCTCACATTGGCCGAGCAAGTGGCCGGAGGGATTTGTATATGTTGCGTTTCCCAGCCACTACCTCACTCACGGAGCCCCCCCGCCCCCCTTTGCTATCTGAGCTATGGGGTGGTTTGCGACCTGCACATGCCTTTTTTTGTTCTCCTATTTAATTGGTTCTTTGCGGAGGTTTAATTTCTACTTGAGAAGGGTGTCTGGGGGGACCGACTGGCGGGGGGCGGGGAGGGGGTTTTGGGTAGATATATTTGGTATGAATGGAACGGGGGTATGCAGGGGCCGAAGGCGTAGCTTTGTTCTTTCTGCTTTTAGGCATGTAAAATAAGGAACGACCTGGAGGTTTTGCGTGGTGGCTTTACCAGAACAGTAGAGGGAGGATGGGGGGAATGGAGGGGAGGGGTAGCGAGGGGAAACGGGGGTTGGGGGGGGGTGAGAGATGCGGGGGAGGGGAAAAGAATGATGTGTTTGGTTGGTTGGTGCGGGGCGAAAATAGATAAGATGCGAATCTGAGGATCTTTGCACTTGTGGTGTCTCTTCTTGTTTGTGAATGCACGAGACGGGTCTGATCGTGTTGGTTGCTTCAGTGTGTTTGGTTCAGAGGTATGCATTGCACCACCGCTGTTGCTGCTGCGCTGTTCTAAATACTTCCCCCCCTTCTCTCTATCAGGCGTCCTCATATGTGCACCCAACATCACATACCCCAAATCCCCCCTCACCACTCCCGTCTCCGCCGTTCTCCACCCCTCCCCTCCCCCGCACGCACTAGCCCCCTCACACCATCGTACAATATTATGAAAAATTGCAGCGCGCAGAAAATAAAAAACCCCGTCTATCCCAAGAGAGTCGTAATTAGGAAAAGAAAAATTGTCGCCCGTCCACCATCCCCAGTCTATACCAACCCATCCCGGATCCAGCCTGCTAAATGTTTTACATGCGGCGGATTGTTTGTGCTTACTCGCGAGAGACGTCGCGGCCGAAAGCCTTCGATTTGAGCCAGTCTACGACGACGAGGACGCGGTTACGTGCTAGTAGGATGTTAGATTCTTGTTGATGGGATAATAGAGGGAGGAGGGATGGGGATGGGGATGGGGGAGGTACTCACTGCTAAAGCACATACTCAGATACGCGCTGCGCCAGAAGAGATACGTGAGGCTTCCACCCGAGGCAAAGTTGCCATTAAACCACGTCACATCCGCGACCGCGCGATCACTGCCAATATACGCCAACGAACCCTGGTGCGAGTAGTGGAACGGCTTGATATCCTTGATGCGACGAAGACTCTTCTGGAGGTCCTCGAGCTCGGTAGCAACAACCGGCGCATCGGTGCGAGTAACGTTCAACGAGGTGGAGAGCTCATCAATGCGGCTCTCGAGGAACTCAGTCTTAGCCATCGTATTGAACAGACGCGCGAGGAAAGCGCCCTCCTGCGCAGCAACCTGGGCAGTTGGCGCATAACCCGCAACAGCGCAGTCACCCGTGGCCCAGATGTCGGTGGTTCCCTGGACGACGAGGTACTCGTTGACGGCGAGGCCGCGGCGGGAGTCCTTCTGCGCGGGGATCTGGGACATGAGGTCGTGGACGATGGGGCGGACGGCGTTACCGGTCGCCCAGACGAGGAGGCCGTAGGGGAGGATCGTGGTGGTCTTCTTGCCGTCGGGGCTGGTGGCTTCGGCTTCGACGGTGTTGGCGGTGACTTTCTTGACGGCGGTCTTGGTCATGATGGTGATTTTCTCCTCTTTGAAGGTCGACTCCGTGTAGTCGATCAGCTGCTTGGAGAAGGAGGGGAGCACGTTGGGGAGAGCCTCGATCAGCGTCACCTTGAACTTGTCGCTGATTTCAGGGACCCATTTGCGAATGTCTTGGTCAAAGAAGTCTTGCAGCTCGCCGGCGAATTCGACGCCGGTTGGGCCGCCGCCGACGACGACCATGTGGAGGAGACGCTTGATTTCCTCGGGCGATTGGTCTTTGAATGTCGCGGTCTCGATGCAGTCCATGATCTTGGTGCGGATGCGCTGGGCATCACCGACCTCCTTCAGGAAGCAAGAGTGCTCGGTGACACCCTGGATGCCGAAGGTGGCATTCTCGGCGCCAACAGCGATGACTAGCTTGTCGTAGGAGACCTCGGTTTTCGCGGAGGTGCCCTTGATCTCAGAGTTATCGGCGATGCTGACGGTCTTGCGGATTGGGTCGATGTGCGAGGCTTCGGCTTCGTAGAAAGTAACGGCGGCCTTCTTGTGTCTGAGAATGGATCGGATCGGCTCCATGATAGATCTGTGCTCGATGGTACCGGTCGTGCATGATGGCAGAAGGGGTGTGAATAGGAAGTAGTTGCGAGGAGAGACTACAATGACGTTGTAGTTCTCGGTGTTGAGCTTCTTGAGCAGCGAGACCGCGCCCCATCCGGTACCTGCGGCAATTGATTAGATTCTCGATCGATACAAGCTATCGTGGGCATGGAGGGCTTCAGGGCTTACCTAGGATAACGAGGTTCTGCTTGTTTGGATCGGGAATTGGCTGCTCCATAGGATGACGCAGTTCGTAGATGCCGTATCCCATGTAAGCTACGCCTCCGATGAGAGAGAGGTAGGTCGCTCTCCACATCAACCTGAAGGCTCTGAACTTGCGGCGAGGCTTCACCGGCTCAACAGGCTTGATGTCCGCATAGCCTCTGCGCGACGACTGCTGCAGTCTGCTCGCACTGACGATGCTGCTGCTTGGTCTCGCACGTGACAGAATGGCGAATGAGCGACGAGCAACGCTCTGGAGCCCAATTGAGGGCGACTGAAGCATCGTTGAAGCTCTGATTGATGAAGCCATTGCTTCGAGAGTTGGCAATGCGTGCCAGAAGAAAAGGTGAGGGTCAGAGAGAAAGGGCGGAGTCGGAGAGGGGAGGGGCTATGGGGAATTCTCAGCAATTTTTGTTTTCGCGCCTGGAACCTTATGCGAGGCGGCGGCCGCTTGTGAATGGATGAGCAAAGGTGATGACATAGCGCGGCTACTGATTGATAACTAGGATATCACTTTATTGCAAGTCACAACTGATGTTAAGAATTTTTTTCTTTTTTGCGGCGGGCGCAAAGGGGGGAAATAAAAAATGCCAATGCCTTTGTTGAGGCTATCTGCTTGTAAATTACAGTGTACAGCTCGTCGAGAGGCAATTTCATGAGTTATAATAATGGGAGACCAAGGCTCGATCCCTTTCAATTATTCATACTGTATTCACAGAGGGGGAGCTAGCAAACTAGCAGAACTAGTGTCGGAATTACTTTACAGTACTCGTACATGACGCGACGGCAATTTCGGAAGAACGGCAGCTACAATTCTCTCCTTCACTCTAGTCCGAGAGCTATGTGGGGGCACTTGCTCTGTCTATCTTATGGTGTATGGGTATCGCCCAGCCGCCGCAGTTGAATTCCTCTTCAGCTTCATTAGTTCAGCCTTGTGGATGTTTGACATGGCTGTCGCGGCACCGAGACCGAGGCATGTAGGCATCAGCAGCCAGTATCGAGTGATGCAAGCTTGGGGCTTTGCAACCACACCACCTCGGGATTCTCGTTGGACAGTCTCAGCCGCCTGGCTCATGCTATCGCCTTCGGTTCCCGAACCATGCAGTAGAGCTTGCAACCCTCTGCGTCGTCGTCGCAGTCCATGCCCCTGACGAATTTGAACCCCATCGCCTCGTAGATCTTGGTATTCGGCTCGTCCCGACTACTTTCCAGATAGCATTTGATACCTTCCGCATCTGCCTTCTTGGTGACTTCGTTGAACAAGGCTCTTCCGACACCCTTCCCTTGTGCTTCAGGTAGAACGCTGATGATGTTCAGAAAGTAGTAGCCTTTCGGGTCCGTCCAAACTTCCTTATGGGCTTCCGCCTGGCGCGCTTTCCATATATAGTATCGCTGCCAGGGTCAATTAAGCTCTCACATGACAGAGCCATCATTCTTACCTTGACGTTCAACCCTCCTCGCCCATACCGTAGGTTCATTGCCACCTGGCTTCCCCAGAGTCGCCAACCCTCGAAGCCATTCCAGAACCACTCGCCCCATGTTAATGGCTTGTCAGTCGCTCTGGGCGGTATCCACATAGCAATCCCAAGGACTTTATCTGAGCCTTCCTCCTTGGCCACATGGAACAAGGCATTACGTAGACCCCATAGGCAGCGGATGCGAAGAGATACGCGGTTGCGATTCAAATCAATCTGTTTGGTTGTTAGTGGCGCCAACAACGAACTCGTTTGCCAAATAGATGCTTAGAATAGAACGGATTTTGTTTGGGACGTGTACTCTTTACACCGCAACTCACCTTCGATCGATCGTTAAAAATCCATAAATTATATGGGTCATTTGCGAACGCTTCTTGAATCGTCCTTATGCCGCCATCGATATCCTCTTCTCTCATAGGACTCACAACAACCGGCATGATGGCTTTTGATAGAGTCTCTGGGCTATATTACCCCGACTTATTGATCTATGCCAGGATAGGATGGGAATGCCAGGATGTGTAACTTACTCCGTACTCCGTACTCCGTACAAGTGCTCAAGTTTGTGGCTGGCATCCGTTCCCGGCCCGCAAAACGCCAAGACGCCTGCCGACTTCAAAACACAAACCACGACAACTCATCCGCTTGAGACGGAACTGAGACGCCTCAGGACGAGCCTGCCACACAACCGCATTGCGATCTCTTCCAGTTGCAGTCAAGAAGCCCAATAACCCAGTAAGGTCCACATGATAATGCGTCAGCTTGTGTGGATTCTCTCAAGTGTTACTTCCTCCTCGCTGTGTTTCTGGTGAGTGCGCATGTATATCGCTGTCGCAAGCTTGGGCACGCGAGGCAGTCTCGGGGATGATCAGAGCTCCTGATCTCCACTCAGTTCTATGGCTTCTTGATCTCAGCGTCAAAAGGGAAGGATCCGTTGCATTTGTGCGGCAGTTCGCTCCTGAAGTCTGGGGTTTCCTGTCATGCCAAGATCACGGAATCATGTGTCTACCCGATGCCATCCATATCTTGTTGATATCCTGATGATCGGAAGTTCTTCATCCTTTTCGTAGTATGGCTGGCACATACGGCACTTTTATTTCTTTTCATTTTCTGTAGTTTGGCTGCTTCATTCGTCATTTTTCATTCTCAATTGGCTCTTTTTGTTTGTTACGAATACTCTACGTCCGACCTTCGACCTACCTCTCTTTCCGAATCAGTATATTCTATGTTACGGCTTTGAACCGATTATCTATCAAGTTCGGTAGAAGGCAAAAGCCATGGCTCCATTCAACCATTTCGGTGCTGTTTTCTCGACGCCACGACCCCCGGTTTCTCCGCCATCGACGGAACGGACTGCGAGGGAACGAAGGGCATTGCGAGATTTCCAGCCAGAGAGGGCTCCGAATATATCTAGGGACTCGAGACCAAGGCGATGCCGACGGCTATCACCTCGACAGCTACCTGCCGCGGTCGATTCGGATAGTGTCAGTACTGGCGAAGTGGGTGACGAAGTGAGCAGCGCTTCGGATAGTGGCAGTGCTTCCGCGGCGACAGAGAGAGGTACATTAGGTGATGCGATAGCTGGAGCTGGTTCTGTGACTGACAGTGCCCTCGATGCAATCCTTGGTGGCCAAAGTTCTACCGCCGTTGCAGCGCCCGAGAAAACCAGTGCCGCTGAAATAGAAAGCAAGCCGACTGATATCGCCACCACGGCGAGCGAACCGGAGGCCGTTGCCATTACATCGAGCAAACCATCGTCTGCCGCCGTTGAAACGAGTAGGCCAGCTATCATTACCACAACGCCAACGAAACATTCTAGCAAAACGCCTGACACACCATCATCATCAGCTCCGCCTGTAGCGGCATTGCCAGGAACTACCAGAGTATTGTCGCCAGAAGCTGCCGCTACTCCTACACCTAGTAAGGTAGGAGGACTGACAAGGGTTACCCCGGAATTTACCAGGGCCTTTCCAACGCCAAAAGCACAACTGCAGAGTGCAGACCGCGTCAGTCTCAGCAACACCCAAGCCACAGGTGCTGCGGGGCTAAAGGCCCAGGGTCAGGCTATTGACTCTACTAGTAAGTCTGAGCCTGACTCCCATTGAGACTCCGACTCCGACTCTGGTATTAACTCTGGCGTAGAGTCTGGCGATGATCTCGATTCAGATTATGAGGACGACTCTACCGAGTCGCGGTTGGTCGCCTTCACAACAATCTCTGGCACCCCTCTCTCGACATTATCAGCCATCTTGGATCCTACTGCTGTGAGGACCTTGCCAGACAGCGTCACCACGGCATCTCAGACTGGTGGTCAACCTACGATAGCTTCGGCTGCTGCCAACAAGCCACCGCTTACCCCTGAAGCCTCAAATGGCCTGATTGCATTCGGTGCTGTCGGTAAGAATTACGCAATCCAATTCATATCACCAGCTAATATGTTATAGGTGGCGTTCTTGTACTCAGCTTTGTAGTATGCATCCTGCTTCGTCTCCTCAAGACCGACGCCTTCGGCTGCTTCAACTGTTGTGGAAGCAAACGCAAGTCTCAGAATAGTGCCTCAGAGTCCCTTTACCATGCAAGCGGCGTCTTCGGCACAGCTGCTCCCTCAGAAATTCAAACCCATTCGCGAGGCTTCTCGGCATTTTTCAACCCCATGATCCAGTTAAGAGCCGCCAAGTACGAAAAAGACCCAAGTCAGGGCCAAACGTACTCGCGCAACTCGTTGATACAGAATGCGGCGCCCATCGCTGTGAGCCAACAGCCTATGCAATCTAGGGATGACCCTCCTCCCATGCCTGTCCTTCCACTAGCGTACCGTCAGGCCGCCAATGGGAAGAACCCGCGGATATCGGAGGTCTCCAGTCTATCATCTGGCTTCGGAGACGCTGTAATCGATATACCTGAATCGGGACCAACTACATATGTTACCAACAAGTCGGGCCAAGGTTTACCTAAACCTAACAGTCAAACGCTCGGGCTGGACGTAGGCCCCCGGTTCTCATGGGCAAACGTACCTACTCCCCGAACACTCGGTAACCACAGAAACAGAGACACTGCTAACACTGCTACGACGACCACCTCTCGTGACTCAGAGCCCAGGTTCCGCACCGTAACGAGCTGGGTGCATCAGCAGGCGAACCGGGTGATGAAGAACCAAAGTGATAGCGGTGCTTCTGCTGCCCCTAGCCAAGAGAGGAGCAGCGTCCCGGACATACCGGCTTTTCCCGAGGCATACGGGGGAGGAAAGCATCAGAGGATGCCGAGTGTGGACGGATGTGGTGTCCAGGGCACATCCGGGCGATGAAGTTGAGATTAAGGAGAGTTCGAGGATCCCGAGCACCTTGTTGACGAGGAAGTTGAGGCATTGAGGGGTGGAGGATGGGGCTATCTAGCAGTGTAATAACACACGTGGTGTATTGAAGAGTGAGACATGGGGGAGGGGATATATCATAGTATCTGTCTATGGGGTAGCTCCTGGGGACTACTAGCGGGGTTGGAGAGCGTTGGGTTTTGAAGGAATTAGATTTGGATAAATATATATAGTTAGTTAACTTAAATAAGTTATATATTATGTAACAACTGGCCATCACTTGTCGATCAAGAAGTCTGTTCCTTGGTGGATGAGAAAATGGCGACTTATAAAGCCGGCAGATGGCTGGCAACTCACCGGTTAATTGGTCTGATTCAACTTTGGCGGCTTTCTTTTGCATATCTTATTCTGTTTTTATTTTTCGGTTTCCTTCATTCGCTGCATTTCTCAGTGCCTCGTGGCCAAAGTCTCATTGTTGACGTTCCTCACGTGGTCGTCGTCAGTTGCCCCTCACATTCTGTACTAGGCGCGTTACTAAAAATAAAGGGCAAAAGTTTTATAATACCCGGTAAGTTCAAAAATAAGTTTTATATACCATGCTGATTCTTACTAAGCAGGAAACCACTCAACGCGCTCGGCGCGTTGGACTCGCGTTGCCCCCCTTTCCGTTGCCTTCGCCGTCGCCCCTTTTGCCGTCGCCGTCGCCGTCGGCCGCCTCGCCCTCGCCGTCCTAGCTGACTCGCCAGCCGCCGCCCTCATTGAGGCACTCGGCGACTCTTCGGAAGCCCTCCCTCATCGCGAGGATGGCTTCTCTTCGCGAGCTGACCGTTCCTGTGAACGGTCAGCTTTTCCTCGACCTAGGCGCCTGGTCGAGAGCCCTTGACGACTGGGCTGTCAAGGAGAAGTTCTCCTGGCGCTATAAGTGCCGGGACACCACACGAGCTGTTGCCGTGTGCCCCGAGGAGGGGTGTAGCTGGCGCTGTAGCGCCAGCTACGTTTGTGACGACCAGCTTTGGGCGCTGGTCGTCACGGACTCGGTCCATTCTTGCGTGGCTCGTGGCCAGCGCAAGCATGCCTCTTCTTCAAAGAAGGCATGGTTGGACCCGGTGGTCTCTCGTCACCTTCAGGTGACGAGGAAGACCACCGCTCATGAGATAGTTGATCTCCTCCGCGTTCGATTCGCGGAGGAGATCAGCTACGAGAGGGCGCAGAAGTGCCGTCTGCGCCTTCTCGACGGTGATATTGGGGCACAACGGCATAGCTTTGCCTTGTTGCCCCAATATAAGGCGCACCTTGAGGCAGAATGCCTCGGGGTTCATGTTGATCTCGTTCGAGATCAACATGATCGCTTTCAGAGAGTCTTCGTGTGTCCTCCGCACTCGCGGGACACATTCAGACTCTCTCGGCGCCTTGTCGCCGTCGACGGGACCTTTTTAAAGGCCCGTTTTATACAAACCTTGCTTCTCGCCGTTGGTATTGATGCCAACGGCGAGAACGTTCCCTTGGCTTGGGCGGTAGTGGAGTCCGAGAATGGAGACTCTTGGAGGTGGTTTTTAGACCACCTCAAGTGGTCTATTCCGGAGTTCACCACCGAGCCAAGCACCCTTGTCTCGGATCGAGACAAGGGGCTTATTGAAGCTGCGAGGACTCTTGGTCCTCGCGTGGCGATAGCTCACTGCTGTCGCCACCTCTCGGAGAACTTCTCGGAGAAGTTCGGGCGGGGGTTACTCCCTGCCTTCTGGAAGGTAGCTCGAGCGAAGACTCGAGCTGCCTATCACGGGCAACTGGAGGAGCTCCGGGTTATTAAACCCGGAGCTGCCTCCTATTTAGAAGCCGCTGACCCAGATACCTGGGCAGCGGCTTTATGTCGTGGCCGTCGATACGGCCACGATACCTCAAATATCGTGGAGAGTCTGAATAAGACTCTCCGGTTTGAGCGGGAGCTCCCAATTGTGGAGCTCCTTGACGCGCTGTGGCATCGTGTGATGGCACAGCGCGCTGATCGAAAAGCCACAGCCTCAAGGGCTGTGGCTAGCCATCAAGAACCCCCTCTTCTCGTGGGTCTTGTGGCGGCTGGGAGGGAGTGGGCTCGGACCAATATGGTCCAAGTCTCTACTCCCACGGAGGGAAGGGTGATACAGCCCGACGGGGCTGTACACCTGGTGGATTTGACGGCAGGAACCTGTTCCTGCCGTCGATATCAAGACAATGGCGTGCCATGTGGGCATGCCATTGCCTTGATTCTACGATTACGGGGGCAAGTAGGTGCCTACTTGCCCCCCCTTTTACTATCTACGACATGGCAAGCTCAATACGAGCTTGCCATGCCTCCTATGGATATGTCGGGTCTTCTGGTAGAACCAGAAGACCCTTGCCAGCCGCCGACTACGAGAATACCTCGTGGTCGGCCCAAGAAAGAGCGGGTTCGTCAGGAGGATGCTCGCCGCCCTCGAGGGCGGCGAGCAGCCAGGGACCACGGTGGACTGCTCCCCCTGGGAGCAGTCGTGGCGCGCGTACCGGACTTGGTACGCAGCCGCTGCTCCACCTGTGGGGAGCCTGGGCATAACGCCCGGAGCTGCCGACGGTCTCATGAATGAGGCCGTCGAAAGGAGCGACGGCGAGGTTGGGGGGTTGGGGGGGGGCTACGGGGGGCTACGGGGGAGAGGGATTGGGGGGTTTTTACTGGTCGAAGGGGGTTTCATTTTTCGCAGGGTATATAAAACTTATCACGTAAATTGCAGGGTATATAAAACTTTTGCCCAAGAATAAAACCCGAGGTACAAAATTGCGGGACTCAAAAGGCTCAGCCTCAACCCGTGAGGCTGATAAGACGTCGTAATTGCAAACGTACTCGCCCCACACTCTTCAAACCAAGTCGAAATCGCATTCTACAAGGGCTGGCATAGGCCAAATAACCTTATAACCTAGGGCCTTCAACTCTGCATATATTGCATGTCTTCGTTGAAGCTCACTACACCATTCACAGCTCCCCACGGCACTAGGTGCAAGGCAGCATATATTCCGAGATGCTGGACGAAAACCTACCCGCCTTCTTCATGAAGCCAAACCCCGATGACCCTCTCCGAAGCACAATCTACCTAGGCCAAGGCGGCCAAGAGCTCAGTCCCGAATACACCCTCCGCCGACCCGACCCCAAGCAGACCCCCGAAGCGCGCAACTGCTACGCCGTCGCCCTCTACGACTCGCACAACCCGGACGTCCTGTACGCCGAAGTCCTCGTGCAGCCAGAATGGACGCAGCCGACGCTCTCCCAGGCCGAGATCCGCGCAAACAACGGGCTCACCCCGCCGCCGGTGCCGATCGTGCCGAATAGCTTCACGATACAGTTGTATAACCCGGACCAGCAGGTGGCCGTGAAGCAGATCGCGGGGTCGTGGAATTTGTCGGCGTACTGGGAGTTTGAGATGCCGCAGCAGACGTTTAGGCTGCCATCGGCGTCGTCGTTGGATAGGGAGCAGAGCGATCCTGCGGCGTCGATAGTTACGCCTAAGGTGACGTTTAAGTGGAAGAAGGATGGGAAGTTGTCCAAGGATATCACTTGTTTCATGGCGGGGAAGTCTACGAATGGGAAGAAGAGCAAGGAGCCTGATATCACTATTGCCATGTTTCGGAAGGGCAAGGAGATGACGATGTACGAGCCGAATATGCACCGGGTGGATGTTGAAGATACAAAGGGTCTCGAGGTTGTGATTTTACTAGGCGCAACCGTCATAAAAGATATCTTCTTCGAAGCCTCAAAGGAAATGTTCAACATCAGCACCGTCGCCGCCCCAGCCATCGCCTCCCCAGCCCGAAAATTCAGCGGACCCGGACCCGTTATGAGCGGCGCCAGGCAGACCGCAGCACCCACCCCCGCCCTCGGCGCATACTCCCTCCCACCACCAATATCCAACGCCCAAGCCCCTCCACGCACCCAAGCCTCACCTCCATCTAACAACCACTCCATGAGCCCTCTAGACCAATGGCAGATGAACCAAGAAACCGCTCGCCTACGCGCCCAAGTCGAGTCCGAAGAGCGCGACCGCGACCGCCGCAGCAGAGACGAACAAAAGGAGCGAGACCGCCGCGATCGCGAGGAGCAGAAGCGCATCAAGAAGATGCTCGAAGCCGAAGCCAAAGAGCAAGCGCGCCGCGACGCTGAAGTCGCGAAGGAGACTGAGCGCTTGCGTAGACAATACGGCGTTGCTACCGTGCGTGACGACGGCGCCCAGCCGACTGTTCACTTCGCGCCCCCGCTCCCCGCGCGCCCGGTCTCATATATACAGGGCCCTGCGATGCCACCGCGGCCACAGGGATACACGAGCGGGCAACAGAACCGGCAGAATCTATATAACCAGGCCCAGCCGATGCAACAGCTCCCGCAGCACTTCTCGGCGCCGCACTCGCAGCCTTCGCCTGTGCAGCGCCCGGTGAGCGCTAATGCGGCGCAGACGGGGCCGTTTTCGTCGCAGACGCTGAATAATGTAAGGACTTCTGTTTTATTGTGACACGACGTGGTGATGGGGGCTAATGAGATATAGTGGTGGTCCGGTCCGAATGCGTCAGCTCCTCCGCCGACGAAGAATAAACGAAGCAACTCGGGGACGTCGCATCCGCAGACGCATGGGAGTAGCAGTGGGAGTGTGAGCAGACTGCTGGGGATAGGAGTTGAAGGGGAAGGAGGGAGGCAAAAGGTCAAGAAGAAGCGCAGCGTGTATTTCTGAAAAGTGGGTTGAATGGGATGGGATGTACGAGGATGGCAGGATCTATGAGTGAGTGATTAAGCGTGGGATGGAGGAGGGGCGTTTTGTCGAGATTTATGATATCCATGATTGCGAAATTTATATAGTTATAGATGTAGGGAACGCTGGAATGCGAATGAGTTGATCTGGATATAATCTGGGTAATCTGGGTAATCTGTGCCTGGCCCGTCAACGGCACGGTCCCGTGATGGACCCTTTGACTTACAAGTCAGGATCGGCACCTGACAAAGCCGAAAACTGCGGGGGGCCGTCGTTGGTGATCAACAAAAATGATGGGTAGAAATATCTCTCTTCTCAATTTACAGAATTACCAGATTCGGCCAGACATGACCTATACTATGTATAGCCAGTGTATAATTAGCCAGACCCACTTAATCGCAGGAATGCGGGGCGTGAGCGAATGGAAGGGTGCCAAGAGTGCTAAGTACTCTTATTTGCTTATTTGCCTCTTTGGGGTCGGTGCGCGACCTTTAAGTTCCTTGGCCTCAGTAATCTTGCCCTTAAGATATAATATCCAGATCCCAGAACCAGGACATCAACTCTTTCGCAGCTATGTTCTGGGGCCGCGGGCTCTTATCCGCCGGCTACTCACGCCTCTCCAATGGCGGCCTGACAGTCCGGCACCAGTCCCCCTTCACGCGCTGGCACATCAATGCCTTCACGGCGCTATCGCTGCTCTTCCTCGCCGCCATCGTCTACTGCCACCAGACATTCTACCGCGACCCTGGCTCCTTCTTCTTCGACCCCATAGCGGGATACCGCCCATTCTACAGCGTCGTGCGTCAATCGCAGGTGAACGAGTTCCTGATTTCCGAGGCGACGTCGCCGAGCCCTCCACGAGGCACCCTTGGCGGCACCGATGTCCCCCATAAACCCACCCTCTGCATTGGCATGTCGAGTGTGAAGAGGCCTGAAGACCAATACGTACAGGTAGCCGTCGGGTCGCTGGTGCGGGATCTGACACCGGAGGAGCGGAACAGCATTCACTTCGCCGTATTGTTCGCGCACACGAATCCCTCCGACCACCCCTTATTCAATGCGCCATGGCTGTCTGGGTTGCTCGACGCGCCGCTTAGCTACAATGTCTCTGGTTCCAAGATGGCTCGCCTGAAGGAGCTGGAGAAGGAGCGCAAGTTCAACGAGAAACTCATGTTCGACTTCCTCTACCTGATCGACCACTGCCGGCAAACGGGAGCAACGTGGATCGCCATGGTTGAAGACGATGTCCTGGCACAAGACGGGTGGTACCACCACACGCTCCGCGCTCTCGAAGAGGTGAAGGAGAAGCATGACGAGAACAAGACGTGGGTCTACCTGCGTCTCTTCTACACCGAGAAGTTTCTGGGATGGAACTCGGAAGAGTGGCCCACATACCTGGCATGGAGCATCTTCTTCGCGACGATCCCCGCGCTCCTCGCCCTCATTATCCGCAACCGCGCCCCCTCCGCCCGCAAGAGCCTCACCAACTCCCTCATCGCAACTTTCTGCCTTGGCTTCGTCCCCGCCTGCATCATACTCTACTTCCTCGCCGGGCGCGTCAGCATGCAACCGCTACCACCGGGAGTGAGTCTCATGAATAGCTACGGCTGCTGCGCGCAGGGCCTCGTGTTCTCGCAGGATATCATGCCGAAACTCGTGGCGAGGTTAGAGTCGGTGCCGCCTGGCCCGGCGGATGTGGCTGTGGAGACGTGGGCAATCGAAGAGGGTTTTGAAAGATGGGCGCTGACGCCGAGTGTTATACAGCATATTGGGAGGAAGACGATGAAGCAGGTGTTTGGCGAACCGGATAAGCCGAGCGAGAGGTACAGCATTGGAGCTGCGAGGGGGCTGTGGAATTTTGGTTTCGAATTGCATGATAGCGAGGCGTTGAAGTTTGAGCATATGAAGGTTTCGGGACAGCTTAGATGAGTGCGGTTGTTGTGAGGGACTACGAGGGTGCTTGGTCTACCTGCTTAGGGCTCGTGGTGGGCCTTGATCGGCCAGGGAAGGAGCGTTGCTGCGTAACTTCCTCGCCGAGTATTTGGCTGGACAGGAGGGAGCGTTGCTGCGTAACTTCCTCGTCGAGTATCCGGTCAGACAGGGAAGGAGCGTTCTGCGTGACTTCCTCGGCGAGTATCCGGTCGGGAAGGATCGCCTCTCCCGAGCTACCTTGAGAAAGCCGCCTTCTACCATCCCGACCATGGCATATTAATGATATCACGAAACACGGTTGCTTCCCCCCACCAAAGCACACCACCACCAGCAAAGGACTGTACAATATACATATCGCACAAGCAGCTCAAGAACTGCGCAAATCGAACCAGACGGCGTTCATCTGATGTCACGCCATTGACACATTGCGTCCTGTCTTGGATACATGATCGTGGGTTCGACGTGTGGGTGTTATGGGGCGTTATGGGGATAGATTAGGGGGCAAGGGGTTTCAAACCCGGGTTCGGGGCGACGTGTAATATATGGGTCTATATCTATGTGAATGTAAAATATGACCATGCTACGCCTATTGGCAAAGCGCATTTATAAAACCAAATATTACCATTGACGACGCTGTAGAGCATTTGAATATCTGGGAAATCATCCTGCTTAACTTACGTTACTGCTTACACAACACTCATATCTTCGTAACGCGACGCTAAGATGATCCTAACATACGACCGACCCCTCATATGACCATCGTTGGTCCCTATATTGTAGGTTCATCATTAGCAATATACATCTCAGTGCTGTGAATTCAAAAACTTATCCTTTGATACTTTACTACTGAAATTACCATGGCTATTAATCCATCCCTAGTACTCTCAGAAAACAAACGCTTCTTCGAGAGCGAGCGATGCAACGACGCTGCTCCGATTGGGGGACCCAAAAGCATATCTCATCCAGTCAGCATCACGGATAATCTGAGACTGTCCACCCAAGCTCCCATGGTCATCGCTCTTCCGCGGCCACGTTCACCGCGGCTTATTTGTCGGTCCCACAGCCATAGCCTACTTCTTCTGGACCCTCTCCATCAAACACCCCGGTTTGGAGATCGAGGGCAAGCTGCCAGTGGATTGGTGCAAGGCCTACATCGAGTTGGGGCATGACTCTGTGCCTACTTTGCTGAATGAGAGCTGTGGAATTACTAACGAGTTTCTAACTTCCAATGCCATCAAGGCGTGTCTCTACCAAGATGAGAGTCGTGGAATGGAAGTGATAGATGCACTCCGCAACCTCGAGACGGATCCAACTTACTGCGAGTGGATGAAAGGCCGCGCAGGCGCGCTCTATATTCTGCGCATAATACGAAAGTGGCTGCCTAATCTGACCACGGCCGTAAACGAGGTCATCACATTGCTAATCGAGGATATCCTCCCGCAGCAGCCTTGGAGCTGGAGCGATCGGAGATATATAGGGGCAGTGCATGGCGATATTGGAATCCTGACCCAGATCTTCTTGAGTGATCCATCCTACGCTCCCAAGCTGGAAAGCAAGCTTCTGGAGCTCTTGAATGTGCAGGGCGAAGAGGGCAACTGGCCAGTTATTGAGGGCAAGGAGAAAGGGCTCATCCAATTTTGCCACGGTGCGCCGGGCGTCCTTATCTCGCTCCTGGCTATCAGACAGCATTTTACTGCGCTGCATGAGAAGATTGACAAGGCCATCGTGCTTGGGAGTAAGATGACGTGGGAGAGGGGCCTCCTGACTAAAGAGCCCAATATCTGTCATGGTATCACAGGCAATGCCTTGGTGCTTGAGCCGCGGCAGAAAGAGCACTTTCTTTGCCTTGCAACGCCTGAGAAGGTCGCGCAGGGCGTTGCGGACGGGGTGTTTGAGAAAGATTCGGACCCGTTTGGATTACTCTGGGGGGAGGCAGGTAGGGCCTGGGTCTGGATGGAAGTTTGGGATGGGAGCGAGGGGAAGCTCATCCTCTATAGTGACGTGTAGGCCATAATCGGCTTCTACGAGAATTCGAACCCACTACATGTGAACTATATGAGCTATATACTACGCACTATCGCGCCGTGCAGCTCCCGGCCAACAACCAACTCACACCCCACCCACACATCCTACACCGCCTCCCCCGCCGTCCTCCTCAGCGCTCCTACCGTCCACTCGTTCCACAACACCAAACGCACTCTTCTCCACCCCCCTCGCCCCTTGAATCATCAACTCCGACACCGCGGCCGTGAACCGCGTCCGGTCCGCCATGCCGATCAGATACGTAGACGGGATGTGCGTCCAGGCCGCGTGCGTGGTGGTGCTGAAGAAGAAGCCTGCGCTGTGGGAGCGGAGCGACGCGATGAGGGAGGCGGCGCCGGGGGGGAGGTCGTGGTAGAAAATGGTGGTGGCGTCGGTGGGGGTGACGGTGAAGGTGTCGGTTTCGGCGTTGTACTTCATCCACTCGGGCATTGTGGAATAATCGCCCCTGGGGGCCGGGCTGGAAACCTGGGGGCGCGACGAAGCCGTTGATCACGACCGACACCAGAGGGAAGGAAGGAAGGAGCGGTCCTTCCTTCCTAGTGAGTTTTTGCATTTATAAGGGAAGGAACGACCGGCTTCTAAAGGAAAGAGCGACTCCAGTAAGGAAGGACCGTTCCTTCTTATTTTGGGCTTTACAGTTATGAGGGAAGGAACGACCGACTAGCTGAGGAAGGAACCATCGACTCTAGAAGGAAAGAACGGTCCTTCCTTCCTAGGGGGTTACATTTATAAAAGAGGGAACGACCGACTAACTGAGGAAGGAACGGCCACTTTCAAATGGAAAGAGCGCCCGACTCCAGAGGAAAGGAACGTTCCTTCCTAACCTTGGGTTTTATAGTTATAAGGGAAGGAACCGCTGACTATGTGAGGAAGGAACGATCGACTATATAGAGGAGGAGCGGCCCTTCCTACCTTGGAACTTTATAGTTGTTACAAGGGAAGGAACGACCGTGGGTAGCCATATTTTGGATTTTTCGTTCCTTCCTTACATGGCTGAAAGGGGTAGATTTTATATTTATATGGTAGGGTAGGGCCCACCCCGAGAGGGGAGAGGTGAGTTGACTCTCTAGCTTTAGAGTACAAGTATCAGCAAACAAGGTATCATCTCACAGCGCACAGGGATAAGGCAAAAATCGGGTGTAGATGTGTATGAATTCCCATCCATCGGCTCAGCCGACCGATATACAAGTACGTTGCTACGAACACTACCCCACCATCCGTTCGTCCTCCTCCTGGCCCCCTATACCCCTATCCTCCCCTCACTCATCCCTCAGTCAGTCACACCCGTCTCGGTGGACTGCATCCTGCAGGACTCCACCCAAAGGACATACATAAAACCTCCCTCGCCCCCCCCCCCCCCCCGAAAAAAAAAAAAGGGAACAAAAAAAAGTTTGTTTCAAAGATAAAAGATCCCCCATCCAGGTTAATAGCCTGGGCACCACAGGGGGTAGCAACGGACGTGGCAGCCGGCAGTTTATTCACCGCCGTTTGCCCGTCCGCCGCGGGGCCCTTGCGGTCCCAGCTCTCCCTTCCCCCGCTCTCTCTCTAAGTGGTTGATCACTTCCTCCACTTCGCCAACTTCATAATCATCCACCACCACTCCCATCCCCGCGGTCTTCCATACAGAAAGGGTATATATAAATGCTCTCTCTCCGCGTATTGCTCGAAGACTGCACAACTGCACTGCACTGCCTCAAAAACTGAACAATGCCATCAAAAAAACGCGCAACTCGCAAGAAACTAGTGTTGAACAAAGGGAACAAAAAAAGGTTGTCAAAAAAGGCAAAACAAAAACGTAAAGCTCGAAGATTTCCGTACCGCAAGAAGTAAGATATTGGTGAGTAGGGTTTTTGAGACAAAAAATAAAGGACGAATTATGATATGATGAATAAATCGCTGTGCCAGACAGAACAAAAAAAGGGGTAGATAGGTAGCGACGTGAGTGGGGGAACACAATAACCCTCACAAAACGCAGCAAAAAAACAACATCGGCCGTAAAAGCAAAAAAACACGAGTTATCAACAGCCCTTAGCTGAATCCCCAGATCCCCGACAACCCGCCCCATTAAAAACCCAAATTCCAAACAAACCCAACGTTTCAAAACGCCAACGAAAATCCGCTCCCCGTTGTTTCCCGTTCCAATCTTACGCACTCCGATCCCAAGAATGAAAAACACCGCGTCGTAGGAACCCGCGAAACCAAGGCCGTCAGTGGGGTGTCATAAGGCATCATCTGTGTCCCGAGTTCGGTTCGGGGGATAGGCCTGCCGGGTCTATGGGTTCGAACTCGACAAGCTGGTTCATCTCCATGTCTGCCTGCGATTGCTCGAGGTATGCGGGTGACGGGGAGTTCTGGTGCATGGGCAGGGTGAGGGAGTGTTTGGAGTACATCTCGTTGAGCCCGGAGCCGTCGTCGGAGAGGCTGGCGTGGTTCATGTTGTAGGCGTCGGCGGAACCGGAGCGGTGCATCATGGAGAGTGGCGGGGATTGGTCGACGATAGCGGGGTCGCCGTGGCTCATGAAGGAGAGGGGTGAGACCGAGGGGGGGACTATGGAGGAGGGGTCGACCATGGGGGAGAGGAAGGGGACGGTGTAGGGAGTATTGTAGCTGGATGCCTGGAGTGGGCCGGTCTCGGGACCTTGGGAGTAGAAGGAGGGGCTTGCGTAGTCGGATGGCGGGGTCGTCGTGGCGGCGGACATGGGGTATTGTCTGAAATCCATGCCGTAACCCGTCGAAGTATCGATCCGTAAGTTCGAGCCCATCGGGGTAAGGTTGTTTGGCTGTTGCGGGACAGGCGCGAAGATGTTGGGGCTGTGGTGCGTTTGATGCTCGCCGGGGTGCTGGATGAGGAAAGACGGCATAGGCGCGCTGAACATGGAGAAGTCGATGGCCGTCGGTACGGATCTACTCCTTTGGCGTTTGTGACCTGGTCCGCGTGCGCCGGGGTGGACGCCAATACCCCATTGCTCCTGGAACATGCCGACGTGTGCCTGCGCGTTGTAGTTTGGTTGGGATGCGGGGCGGTGTCCGATTGGAGAGTTGGGCGCCGAAACGGCCAACTGGTGCTGAGACTCGAATGGGTTGTGACGGTTGATGAATGAATCCAGGTTGGCAAGCTTAGCTAGTTGTCCACTCAGGACCTTCGGGTGTCCTCCAAGCCTGTGTATTAAAACTTGCGACGCTTGGTGCTCCTCTGTGAAATCCCCAACATCAACAAACCCGCCTGATCCAGAACAATCCATGAAAAACATCGGGGGCCGGTTAAGCTCCACGACTAGTCCCCCTTGACTTCCTCCGTCAATATCGCCATTTTCCAGGTATATGTTCTTGATGTATGCGAAAGGGTATTCGATCTTGTAGCCAGCCTGGTCGTTGTTGATATAGTACGTCATGCACTCCTTCTTGGGCGAGTAGAAAATGATAAGGTCCATCATAGTTTGGCCAATTCGTTTCCAGGTTCCAATCTGCAGGGACCTACAGTGGAAATGGTGGATGACTTCAGGGTCTTAGTAAGGGGACCGCGTACAGTGAAGGGGTTTACTTACGAACTTTGCCCTGGGGGCCCTGGTCAGCACCCATCATGCCTCCTGCGCGATAAGACACAAGTCCGTCGCGCCCCATGAAGTTTGCGCCCATAGGCCTGCCAGACTCCATAGTTTGTAGGCCAAGGTACTGACGCATGCCTTCTGGAATGTTATCGATATCCTCACCGCCCTCAATGCCCTTCTTAGCCAGCAACTTGATCTTGGCACGTCTACACGTCTTCATTAGTGCACCGGTCGCGTCAAGAGTGTAGCTCTCAGCATACCTGTTCTGGAACCAAATCTGCACCGAGCGCTCCGTCATGTTGATTTCATCCGCGATCCGTTCCCTCACCGACGCAGTCGGCGTCGGGTTCTTGAGGAACTCCTGCTCGAGTGTGGCCAGCTGGTCCTGGGTCGCGCGCTGTCTCTTCTGGTTCTTCTGCTGCTGCGTCAGGGTGCTCTTCCGCGGCGGGCGTCGCGAGGCAGAGTTGCTGGTTGTGGCCGAGGCGGAGGGAGACGGGGACGGCGTGGCCATCTTTTTCGGCTCGTTGTCCCCATGTTCGGACATGGTGTCTGAGCTCGCCGGGAAGCGGGTGGTGGCCCGGTCGTGGACGCAGCCTGCCAGGTAAACAAAGGGTTACGGGTCACTCTCGGGTTCGTGTTGCGGTGGTTGCCGTGGTCGAAGACTTGCCGAAGTTCGGAGAGCGGCGGTGTGTCGATGGAGAGATCTGGTCGGGCGGGTTCGTGTGTGAGGAACGTCGAGAATGAGAGGAGCGTGTTGACTCGGTATATAATGGTTCGCTGTAACTGGCAGGAAATAGAGAGTATGGTGCTCGAGGCGCGGGGTTGTCGTGTTGTTGTTGGACTAGCGTTGGATGAAGATCGGTGGGTGTCGTTGGTCAGAAAATGAGTGTGAAGTCGAGATTGTAATAGCTGGTTGTTGAGCCGAATGAAAGTATCGGACCTGAAAGGAGTGACAGGTATCCGTAATGGCTGAACGATGAAAAGAAAATAGAAGGACGAGGAGGAAAAGAAGATTTTTCGTTCAGCAGCAGCGACGACGTGAAGGCGACGATGATGGGAGTGTCAAGGAGAGGAGGAGGAGGAGAGGAGGAGGAGGAGAGGAGGAGGAAGAGTTGTAGGTAGGGTAGTAGGTGAGGTGGGTTTTGGTGGGTGTAGGTTTTGTGGGTGTAGGTAGTAAGTTGGTGGGTGGTGGTGGTGGTGGTGGGTAGATTTAGTGGGTGGATGTAGTTGTGGGTGATGGTGGTGGTGGTGGGTGATGGGTGGTGGGTGGTGGGTAGATTTAGTGGGTGGATGTAGTGTGGGTGGTGGTGGGTAGATTTAGTGGGTGGATGTAGTTGTGGGTGGTGGTGGTGGGTAGATTTAGTGGGTGGATGTAGTTGTGGGTGGTGGTGGTGGTGGTGGGTGGTGGGTAGATTTAGTGGGTGGATGTAGTTGTGGGTGATGGTGGTGGTGGTGGGTGATGGGTGGTGGGTGGTGGGTAGATTTAGTGGGTGGATGTAGTTGTGGGTGGTGGTGGTGGGTAGATTTAGTGGGTGGATGTAGTTGTGGGTGGTGGTGGTGGGTAGATTTAGTGGGTGGATGGATGTAGTTGTGGGTGATGGTGATGGGTGATGGGTGATGGGTGATGGGTGGTGGGTTAGGTTAGGTAGCAGCTGGATGGAAGGGGAAAGGGAAGGGCGGTAGAAGAGGGGGAGGTGTGGATTGTGGGAGTGGGTGTGGTTAGATAGAGACCTCCTACTACTCCTCTCACTCCCTCACCGACGGCCAACCACTGAGACCCTCACCAACCCTACCACCAAAACCCTCACCAACCCTACCACCAAAATCCCCACCAACCCTACCACCAAAATCCCCACCAACCCTACCACCAAAACCCTCTCCAACCCCTAGACGAGGATGCTGGGTTAAGGGGCTTACTGCACGTCAATCACTACTCGACTACCTTCGCCACAATCGCCCAACACACGCCTCCCCTCGCCTCCTCACCATCCACACGCCACACACCCGCCACCTTCCCTCCGCTCCGGCGCATCTGCTCCGAATGGGTGTGCGCCGATGGGGATGCCGATGACGATGACGATAATGCATGGGTCGACTCCCTTCCTCCTTCACCATTATCCCGTCTCGTAGATCTCTCACACCACTCCAGTACCTCCGTACTCCTGCTGTGCATCCGTGATACTCTCTACAGCCGGCGAGTCCCCCGGCGCATCGCAACCCCAAGTGGACCCACGGCTCAGTGCGCACTTCCCTCCCTCCAGGAACAGGTTTAGCGTCAGGTACGATGGGTCGCTTGTGGGGGGATTACGTGATGCTGGGACGGACACAACATTCAAAGTCAGACGGCGACTGTAAGTTAATGGTTGTCGGTTCAGGGGTGAAACGCCGGCAGATCTGAGCACCGGCGAATCATTGTTGCATGTGTTTCTCCGCATACATACTTTGTTTGCACTCCCAATTTTCGCTGCATGAATCGATGCGGTCGACTGCGATATGAAGCAACCTATCACATACGTTCTGGCCCCTGGGGTCGCGCACAGCCCGCAACGACATCTTCCAAGACGCTTCCAAGACGCTTCCAAGACGCTGTTGACTCGCTCGCCAACCACGCCTACCCCGCTATCAGCCTTTCTTCCCCTACCCCTCCCTCCTTCGACGCCACCCACTACACCACGGCTTCGCGGATGGAGCCGCCGGAGCTTGTTTCATACTGTAAAGATGTCATCCTCGTCGTGGGCTCCTTCGCACGCCTCCCGGGGAGTTAGTCGTTCCATTCCTGACGGGTCGTTCGTTCTTTATTATTTTGCGGGTCGCTCCTTCCCCATTCTCTGGGCGTGCAAAAAATTAATCACCGTGGTGGCAGGAATGATGCATTTACACTGTAGCGAAGCAGAATGTGGCAAGAATGAAAGGCCGTAACTTATCGTAAAAAGTCACCCATCTACCAAAAAAAAAGGATCGAGTGGAAAAGAAATGCCATAAAAATTGATGGATGTTTGCAACTGCCGTGAATCGAACACGAACCTCCACCTTGGAAGGGTGGAATCCTAACCATTGGACCACAGAAGCTGGTTATTGATGGCAGGAACGAGGCAGAACTGTAACAAGAACGAATAAAAAAATAGAAAAATTCAGGAGAGAACTTTTCAGCCCTACACGAAGCAAAAGAAAAAGCCAAAAAATTAATGGATGTTTGCAACTGCCGTGAATCGAACACGAACCTCCACCTTGGAAGGGTGGAATCCTAACCATTGGACCACAGAAGCCGGTTATTGTTGGCAAGGAACACGTAGATTGAATTTTACAGCGTTGTATAACTGATTTTTTGGTAATGGTCAAGCTCGCGTAGCATCACATGATAGGGTCAGGTAGCGTGAAGAACGGTATATAATAATTGTGGGTGGAAGCAAAGTGCGACCACTCAATTGCGACAACTCACAACCTACATATGTTCACCGCTACTCCTTACTAAAACCTCGAACATTCCTGTACATAGTATTTTATATAGTAAATCAATGCAATTCATTCAATGGAAGGGACTCCTCTATCAGAAGCCTGTAAATGGCTGTCAGAAAACCCTTCTGAGTCTATTGACGTAGCTAGTCGGATCTTCAAGATCCATAGGTCGACTATACGGTCAAGCCTCAACCGGTCAGCCCGCCAGAAGAAGCCCCGCAGGGGTAAGAATAAGGTGCTATCTACTGCCCAAACGGAGGCCCTAAAGACCTGGATTACAGAGCAATATCACCTAGGGCTTGGGGCTAATAGGCATATGGTATATGCTGCAATATGCCACCTACGGGCCCCATTACCTCCACCCTCACAGAGCTGGCTCACTAAATATATTAAGAGTGAGCTTCTAGACTTCCATTTTATCACTACGAAGCCTATTGCACAGCAGCGTACGCAAGCTCAGAAGGAGCCTGCTATTATAAAGTGGTTTGAAGAGTACATGGCATTTATACTACAGCATGGTATAAAACCAGAGTCACTTTGGAATATGGATGAAACTGGATTTAGGATTGGAATTCCAGGAGGAGAGAGAGTTATAGTCCCCCGAGCTATAACACAGCTCTATACTGCAAGCCTTGAGAATCGTATATCTATTACGATTATAGAGGCAATATCTGCAGCTGGACATAAGATTGCACCTGTACTTGTTGTACCGGGTAAAATCCATATGGCAGCGTGGTACCCTGAAAACCTCGATCGCGACAAGCTGATATTACTCTCAGAAACTAGCTATTCTAATAGCCAGCTTGCTCTACGGTGGTTACAGCACTTCATACAGCTTACTGCTCCACACGACCTAGAAAATCCTAAGGTTCTACTGCTTGATTCTCATGTGAGCCATACAAGCCCTGAGTTTATCATTACAGCAGCAAAGAATCACATTATCTTATACACGTTTCCCAGCCACCTTACACACATTTTACAGCCATTAGACGTGGGAATATTCCAGCCTTACAAGCATTGGCATAGGCAGGCTGTGCTCCGTGCTATACGGGAAGTGGACATTTCCTACAACCTACCCCTATTTATGAGGGATCTCCCACGAATGCGGGAGCTTACCTTTAAGGAGTCTACCATACAATCAGCGTTCCAGAAAGCTGGTATGTGGCCTATAAGCTGTGATATAGCTATTGAGAACTACGTACTTACCCAGAGCCTATGCCTACAGGGCCTATAGAGCCTATAGAGCCTACAACACCTACCCTGCCACAGCCTATTATGCCTATTCTGTCTACTTACCAGGGTGTACAACAGGGCCTACAGCGGTGGAAGGAGCGGGTTCCAGAGGCCTTTAGTAGCCCCTCACGCCAGAGCTACAGTAACTGACTTACTGGGGCAGCCCGGGTTCTGGCCACCGGCCAGCTCCAGGAGCTCGACCTACAGGCTGTTCGGCAGCAGGTCAAGAACTCCAAGAAGAAGCGGGGGGGCCGGGCCCAACTCCAGCGTGGAGGTGAGTGTAATGGTGGGTGCACCAGATATGAGAATCTAGCCACCCAAGGAAGGGATGAATTTACTAAGACAACACACTGTCTTAGGAAACAGAGCCAAAGGGTTGTAGCTTAGACTATTCCACAACGCAGCAATCAGGTGTATGATGTGGTGAAGTGGTTTAGACAAGTTGCAACAAATGTTGAGTCTGAGAACTCAGGGGTAAGTCAGAGGTTAGCACCTCACTGACTTTTCAAAAACAGAGAATAACAAGATCAATGCTTGGAAGCTTGGAAAAGACGTAGAAGTATGTGCTAGTCGATTTACTGTATTGCCTGCTTGCCCTTTCTTAAGGAAAGGGCAATCCTATTTATGCCAAAGGAGTGTAGTTCTCTTATTTTCCATGACTTTCCATGACTAACCAGGCTTGGTAAATGTATTAGAAATCAAGTGCGACCCACAACTAGCTTGCTAATCATGTAGTGAACGTAAGAGAATCCCATAGAACCATCTCTTGGGTTCCTAGCCTATAGGAAGTGAAAAGGAGGTCCAAGGTCAGAGTACCTATAGACAAATTATGTCATAACTTAACCAATCTTGTGGGTAACTAAGGAGCGATGACGTGTAATGAATCATAGAGGGTTGTAGAAGCTTCTAGAGCTATCGTTCATGTTCCTAGGCCTCTAGTTGGTAGATATATGCCATGTGGTAGTATTGGCCCACCCCCTTAAGGAGGAGATTTTCTTAATAACTTGTTCAATGAGTGTCCAAATGATATGCCGTGATGTATGTAGCATAAACAGATGTAGTAGAAGAGTTTTCAGCAATCGTTGAGTAGTATTGCTTCTGTTGTTGGTGTGATAAGCCCAGATATGTATGGTGACTTGTAGGTTTGAGGAGGAGATTTCTAAGTTTGCTCTTGAGTTTGATAGCAAACTGAGTGCAACGAATGTCAGTATGACAGTGAGCTCCGGGCTTCAGGCCCAGACAGCTGAGCTTGAGGCCCAGAAGCTCACTGCTAAAGAAGCCCGGAGGCAGAGCCAGGCTACAAACTGAGCCCGGAAGCAGCTCAAACGAGCAGGAATTGAAGCCCAAAAACAGGAGCGCCTCCGGAAGAAGAGCGTGGCTCAGCTTACTCAATCGGGCCTCCCAATTCCTCCGGAGCTAGAAGACCCAATTACTGACCCAGAAGCTGATTCTAGGTCAGAATATGAGAGTGCGAGTGAGGGTGGGCATGGGAGTGCATGGGAGTGGGAATGAAAAAGTGATAATTTCATAGAATTGAATTTTTAAGTACTTTTACATACAAATTACTATGTGGGGGTACTTATGGTCACAATTTTGAGTGGTCGCACATTGCTTCCTCTTGCTTCAAGTGGTCGCACTTTGCTTCCACCCACTATTAGTGCCCTAATTTCTCGCCAAATTAAAACCTATAGGACATGGCAACAACAACAGTAGTAATTCATTACTAATGCATTATTCACGATGGATGAGATAATTTCACTACCTCAACTTAATCTATGGTCTGATACTGTTACCATTCATAGTAATCTTCAATTTGAGGATGACAGATATCGGGAAGAACGTCTTGTCACAGAAGAAGGAGAGGAGGGGGTAAGAACCGCCTTATATATACCTAATGCATTACTAATGCATTAAGCTCGAAACAACTACAGTTATTTCAGCGATGTTAGCGATAAAGCAACCCGTGTAATAAAGTGAACTATACAACAGATTTACCAGAATACCCAGAAACATCCAAAAATGGCGTCGCCTATATCATCAATACTGTAATTGTAAGGATGCCTCCGTACCTAGATACTCGAAGAACCTGTCTCAGAACTGTTACGGTCACTACAAGCATACAATCCGACTCGGTGGGGTTTCGAACCAGTAGAGGAGCATATAGCGAGTTACACTATAGTGGGGGACGGTAAGTGTATAGGGTTCAGGGCTGATGTAGACCTGTTGTGGTGGAAGGTTCAGGGCTAGGGTTGGGATAACCGAGTCGGGCCCGTTTCGGGAGTTAAGGAAACAGACTCAACGGGGTTCCCCCTTCATCTTTTTTGTATCCTTCGTAGTAGACCTATAGGATAGCATCCGTTTAGCCTCCGACTCGCACTCTCATATGCTATTACTGTGAGCTGGGTGCCCTGTGTCCTTACAGTAATGCTGACTTCTAAACGATAGAAGACACAGAGGTTTCTTGCGTAAGGTTGACTTGACAGAGGAGGCATGTAAGGACACAGGGCACCCAGCTCACAGTAATAGCATATGAGAGTGCGAGTCGGAGGCTAAACGGATGCTATCCTATAGGTCTACTATGAAGGATACAAAAAAGATGATGGGGAACCCCCGTCAGTCGATTTTCTCAAGTATCCGAAACCCATCCGACTCGGTTCCGACTCAGTTAGGCCACCCAAATGATCATACGTGACCCCGCGGCTACCCGGAGTCTACTCCCTAGAATGAGAGACGAGAAGGCATCCTTACACTACCCCCCTCCTGAGAGAGTGCTTTGTCCGCAAGGCACGCGGCTAGTATCATGTCCGCAACGCACGCGGCTAATATCCTGTCCACAACGTCTCCGAATCATCTCCGTATCATCTCCGTGAATGGAGCGTTTCTTGTTATCATAATGTTGGCTGGTAATTGCGTCCGGAACAACTTCGTTTGTCGTGCGCGTCGGGAAGGTGCTTTGTTTGCCACCGTAGTCATCCCGAGGTGGTATCGCGTTAGGGTCCGTGTGGCATGCGAAACTGGAGTTCGCTTTTGTTGGATCTCACGTTTGTTCTTGGGGTCCGAAACAGTACCGGAAGGTGTCCGCTACCCGTTTGAGTAGAATTTTCGTAAAATGTGAAAGAAGAAGTGGCCGCGCTAACCCGATTCGGCGTTCATTGTTGTAAGCCAACATTTGAGTATTCCGCTTCGCCCACTTCCTCTTGTTTTTACCTTACAACAACAACGCCAGCAACCCTCCCGCCCGAGACCGGTAAGTGGCCCCTCCCCGTCCGTTTGTTTATGATACTGATAGATTGTATAGTATCCTCCAATCTAAAGAACGAGTAGGTGATGGGAGCGCGTTGGCGCGGTGTTGATAACTTGTGCTGGGCTGACGGAATCAC